TCCACTCATCTATTGTTGGACTTTTAGTTTGTCTCCTATCATGGCTACTGTAAATAATGTTGCTATGAACATATAGATTTATATATCTTTTTTATTTAGTGTTTTGAGTTTTTTTAGATTAAATACTCAGAAGTGGAATTGCGGGGTCCTTTGTCCAGTTATACCCTTTGTTGTTGTTTTTATTTATTTTTATTATTTTTTTTAGAGAAAGGGGAACAGAGGGATAGAGGGAGAGAAACATCAATGTGTGGTTGCCTCTTACGCACTCCCAACTGGGGACTCAGCCCACAACCCACGCATATGCCCTGACTGGGAATTGAACCTGTGATTCTTTGGTTCACAGACTGGCACTCAGTCCACTGAGCCAGCCAGGAGCCTTTGCTTTAAAGTTTATTTTGTCTTGTATGAGTATTGCTATCCCAGATTTTTTTCTTTGTTTTTTTCTATATTCACGAGATATCTTTTCCATTCTTTCAGCCTGTGGGTCTTTCAGTCTGAAAAGTGAGTCTGTTGTAGACAACATACGTAAAGATCTTGCTTTGTTCTCCATTCAGCCACCAATGTCTTTTGATTGAAGCATTTAATCACTTGAATTTAAAGTAATTGGTTATATATATATATATATATATATATACACACACATATATATATATATACATATATAGCCTTTTTATATTTCATATTTAAATTTTTATTGATTTTAGAGAGAGACATCAGTTTTGTTGTTCCACTTATTTATGCACTCATTGGTTGCTTCTTGTATGTACCCTGACCAGGGATCAAACCCTCAACCTTGGTGAATCAGAATGACACTCTTAACAACTAAGCTACCCAGTTTTTAAATGAAACATTTTTGATCATTAATTTCTTATTTAAAAAGACCCTTTAACATTTTATATAGCAGTGGTTGAGTGGATAAACGAACTCCTTTAGCTTTTACTCATCTAGAAAGCTCTTTATCAATGCTAAATGATAGCTTTGCTTGGTAGAGCAATCTTGGTTGCAGACCCTTGGTTTTCATCACTTTGAATATTTTGTACAAATCCCTTCTGTCCTGCAAAGTTTCTTTGGCTAAATCAGCTGACAGTCTTATGGAAGCTCCTTTGTAAGCATGTTTTTCTCTTGCTTCTTTTTTTTTCAAAATATTTTTAATATGTTTTATTGATTATGCCATTACAGTTGTTTTATTTCCCCCTTCATTTCCCTCCACCCTGTACACCCCTCCCCACCATTCCCCCCTTTTGTTTATGTCCATATGTCACAAGTTCTTTAGATTCTATATTTCCCATACTATTCTTGCCCTCCCCATCTATTTTCTACCTACCGTCTATGCTACTTATTTTCTGTGCCATCTTCACCCTTCTCCCACTCCTCTGTTGCTAAGCCTCCATGTGATCTTCATTTCTGCTCCTGATCTAGCTGTCCTCTTAGTTTGCTTTTGTTTTAGGTGTGGTTGTTAATAACTGTGAGTTTGCTCTCCTTTCACTGTTCATATTTTTTTATCTTCTTTTTCTCAGATAAGTCCCTTTAATATTTCACATAATAAGGGCTTGGTGATGATGAACTCTTTTGACTTGACCTTATCTGAGAAACACTTTATCTGCCCTTCCATTCTAAATGAAAGCTTTGCTGGATAGAGCAATCTTAGATGTAGGTCTTTGGATTTCATGACTTGGAATACTTTTCTCCAGCCCCTTCTTGCCTGTAAGGTCTCTTTTGAGAAATCAGCTATTAGTCTCATGGGAACTCCTTTGTAGGTGACTGTCCCCTTATCTCTTGCTGCTTCTAGGATTCTCTCCTTCATTTTAATCTTGGCTAATGTAATGATGATGTGCCTTGGTATGTTCCTTCTTGGGTCCAACTTCTTTAGGACTCTCTGAGCTTCCTGGATTTCCTGGAAGTCTATTTCCTTTGCCAGATTGGGGAAGTTCTCCTTTATTATTTGTTCAAATAAGTTTTCCACTTGTTGCTGTTCCTCTTTCCCTTCTGGTACCCGTATAATTGGGACATTGGAACATTTAAAGATGTCCTGGAAGTTCCTAATCCTCTCCTCATTTTTTTTTTTTGAATTCTTGTTTCTTCCTACTTTATTGTTTGGTTGTTTCTTCCTTCTGGTCCACTCCATTGATGAGAGTCCCGCTTTTCTTTCCATCACTATTGCTTCCCTGTGCATTTTGCTTCATTTCACTTAGTGTAGCCTTCATTTTTTCCATCTGATTTGCAACCAAAATCAACCAGTTCTGTGAGCATCCTGATCACTAGTGTTTTGAACTGTGCATCTAATAGGTTGGCTATCTCTTGGTCACTTAAAAGTATTAGCTCTAGGGCTTTGATTTGTTCTTCTGTTTGAGACTTTTTTTTTGATCAGGTCTCGCCTGTTACATAGTGAGGGGTGGAACCACCCAGTTGCTGGGTTGTAATGCTGTATGTGGGGCTGAGGTCAGAGAGGGAACAATGGCGCTTGCTCTGCTCTCTCTCAGATTTCAGTCCCTTCTGCCACTTCCCATAAGCAAATTGGGCCCTTCTGGTGCTGGTTCCCAGGTAAGTGGACTTGCGCACCCTCCAGGACCCTGTGGGTCTCTCCAACACACTCTGTGAGCCTGGGAGCTTCTCCTGGCACCTCGACCCCAAAAGTCTTTCCAATTGGTGCTTTCAGGCTCTAATTCCAGCAGCTGGGGCCCTAGCTTGGGCGGTCTGTCTCACTGCTCGCTCCTTCGCTTGGCTTACCTGTGCGCAAATGTGTGAGACTGCAGTCAGTCAGCTGCCTTGCGCCCTCACTGGGTCCACCCCGCGCTTGGTATCTGCCAACCACCACCTGTGCTCCTGGGTCCGTCAGGCTGATCTTTCCTGCCCCACTCCGCCTCTCTTACGGGTGTGGATGAGTGGTTCGTTGTTGTTGGACTTCTGTACAGTTTAATTTTCTGTGGTTTGGCTGCATTTTTGTTACTAAAGCTCTGTTGTGTTGTCTTTAAATTTGTTTGTGCGAGAAGGCACAATGTTTCTACCTATGCCTCCATCTTGACTGGAAGTCCTCTTGCTGCTTTTAAGATTCTTTGTCTTTAACCTTTGTCATTTTAATTATGATGTGTGGGCTTCTTTGGGTTCATTGTGTTTGGGGGTCTCTGTGCTTCTTGGACTGGTATGTCTATTTCCTTCACTGGGTTGTAGAAGTTTCCATCACCATTGTCTTAAATAAGTTTTTAACTCCTTGCTTGCTCTCCTTCTTCCAGCACATTCATGATGTGAATGTTGGTATGTATGCCTGAAGTTGTCCCAAAGGCTCCTAAAACTGTCGTTTTTAAAATTCTTTTTTATCTTTTTGTTGTTCTAATTGGGTATTTTCTGTTTCCTTATCCTCCAAATTGTTGATTCAGTCCTATGCTTCATCTAATGTGCTTTTGATTCCCTCTAGTGTGTTCATTTATGAGTATTTTTCTTTTCTAACTAGTTCTTTTTTGTTTGCTAACTCCTATTTTTATATTTCTTCTTTGTTGAGGTTCTCAGTGAATTCATTCTTCTGCTAAGGTCAGTGAACATCCTTTATAACCAATGTTTTCACCTCTGCAGTTTTGTCCTATTCTTTCATTTTAGGGCCATGTTCCTTTGACTTTTCATTTTGGCTGACTCCCTGTTTGTTTCTATGTATATTAGGTAGATCTGCAGTACCTCCTGTTCTTGGTAGAGTGGCCTAATGTAGTAGGTGTCCTGTGGGGCCCTGTGGCACAGTCTCCCCGATCCCCCGAGCCTGGCATTCTGGGTGCACCACCCGTATGGGTTGTTCATGCTCTCCTGCTATAGTTGAGCCTTGATTGCTGTTGGCACCTCAGTGGGTAAGATTAGCCAGGGCTGCACCCGACGAACTGCTGTGCAGGGGCTGACCCTGTTGAGCAGTTGCTTTAGTGGGGCTCTACTACCAGCCACGTGTACCCTTTAGATGTGTGTTTGTTTGTAGTTTGAGGAGCACGTCGGGTGGTGCTCTGGTGTGGTCTGAATATGGCCACTAAGTGTATTGGTTCTGGAGCCTCTTCAGAGGGGCTCCAGTGCAGGTCAAGGTCAGCCACCACCTGTGCCCAGCTTGGGGCTATCTGGTAAATTCTTACAAAGTTATCTGAGGTTGGTTGCTGCTTGTGCTGTGCTTGGTATAGCCTGTTCTGTGAACCAAGGCTGGCTGTTGGTAGTGACAGGCTTGGGCCCCCCTGGTGGGCACCACAACATGAGCTGAGGCCAGCTGCATTTGCACCAGGTTTGTGGCCACTTAGTCGAGGCTACTTTCCAAGCCCAGAAGGGTCACTGCTTATGCTGGCCTAGGGCTACTTGATGGGAGTTAAAACATAAATTGAAACTAGTCTCTGCTTATGTCAGACTTGGTGTAGCTTGGCTGGGGAAAGCAGTGTGGGACTGGGATTCCCTGGCCCCTCGGGGGGACCTCTGGAGCCAGGTTCTCTCTCCCCTCCTCCCTGCCTCAACATGGCTGCTGCTTTATATCCTTATAGGCCTTTTGTTCAGCTAGTCTTAAGTGGTTCTCAGTGATGGCTGTTTAATAATTTAGTGGTAATTTTGATATGGCTATGGGAGGAGGTGAGTACGGTGTTTACCTACTCTGCCATCGTGACCAGAAGTCCTCTGGCTCCATGGTTTTTACGACGTTGCCATTGATCTTTCTGGAGTCAGGAGAGGTATTCCCTTCCTTTCCCACCCAAAGCATCCAACCCTGTTTTTCCTCTCCAGCTTTTCAGGCAGAGGACCGATCTGGCCTACATGAAAGTTCCCTTTACATGTTCAGGATTGGTAGAGGGCTGCTGGTTTCTTTTCTCCCCTAGGCCAAGCCCTGCACAGGTGAATTTTAGAATATGTTTGAGAATGGAGTTCATTACTGAGTGTCTCAGGTGAGACTGATTTTCTTATCCTTTCTTTTTCCTATCAGGTCTACACATACAAGGTTTTTTCCTCGAATTCAGGGAAGTAAAAGAAGGTGGCAAGATAGAAGATTTTTCTGAAAGAAGCTGAAATTTTATATAAACTTGACTTGAAAGGTACATTTTATTTTTCATCATTTAAAAAATTATGCCTGAAGATAATCACATGCAAAAACATATAATACACCTACAGTTAAAGAACCCTTTCCCATGAAGGCTAAATTATTGAGAAATGTTTATTTTCCTCCTTGAGATGGCTTATTCAGGTAATAACATGGCTCCAGCTGGTAAACAAACCTCACATCTTTTGGAATGACATCACTGAGGTGCTGACCCGGCCACAGGGAGCTGAGGCCTCACAGAGCCAGGGCCCAGTGCACAGAAGGGCTCTTGTCCTCCACACTGGCGACCATGTCTTCAATGGCGTTCCAGTCCAGCCGGCTGAGGATGCTGCCGGTGCTCTCAGACATGCTGTCCAGGCCGCCCACCCCGGCCCGTGGCTCTGGCTCCTCTTCAGCCAGTGACGAGTCCTGTGAAAGGAGAAAGATGGTGAGGGGCAGTTCTAGCCTGAGAAAAAAATCAACAGAACACAAGCCAAAGGTCCTGGAGTTGCTCATCCACCTAATGGTGAAGGCGGTGGGAAGGGAGGCAGGGCTGCGGCTGGGTCGGCCTGAGCCGAACGTCACCTGACAACCGGACGGTGGCATCGGATCTGAAGAGGACAGAATGGGTTTTTACATCTGCAGTGCAAGTATGTGTTCTTCCATTGTGGTGGTTTTTAGATAAAATACAAAGTCACAGAAAATTCTGAAAGATAAATGCTGAGCAGTAGTTGCTTTGAATCTCTACTTCAAACTGACCTAACAGTCTTTCTGTATCTCCACCTCCCACAGAAAAACAAAAATTAGACAAATGAACAACCCCCTTGCACCGTCCCCAAACCTCCGGAAGAACAGAGGAATCACTAGGCAAACTGAGTCTGGAACAGGCTTACTGGTAGAAGGGAACTGTGACTTCTGTGAAGAATCTTACGGACGCCTGAGGGCACCAGCCAGGGACTCCCCGCAGTCTCCTCTCTGCTGTCCTCCACGCACACATGCTTGGTTGGAGGGGCAGGCCCCACACTCCTGTGCCTTTTTGCGTGATGTGGACCACGATGCAGAGCAGCAGAGCCTTTTGAGGGAAGGGAACAAGGCCTACATCAGGACTGTCTCATTCGGAAGTTTGTTCTTCATTGTGACTTTATCCTCACATCCATGGCAGTCACATTTTGCCTAATTTTGAATCACAAGGTCTGGATGTAGTGTGCTTGAGAGTTCTACCAGTTTCTGTTCTGTCGGTGAGAGAGAAGGAAATTAAGTTCTGGCCACCTCTTTCGATTCTAAAAGTTAACGGTAACCTCTAGGACAAGAGGGTATGGGGAGGAGGGGCCACAGCACAGAACTGGGGGGACGTTCCAGCTTCAAAGCAGGGTGGTGCAAGCAGCTGGGCCCGCCTTGCCCCCTGTGGGCCATTTTGGGGAAGCCTCCTAGGCTTCCGTTTTAGGCACCTTATTCTCAGGCTTCGTGCCTGCATCTGCCTCTGGCACAGGTGTCAGGGTAAGTGCAGTGACGACACAGTGTGGCCCTCTTCTTTCTTCCAGAATGTCCCTGTTCATAGAAAGGAAACTTTCCCCACCGGTGCCCGCAGGCAGCTTAGCAGACCACAGCGCCCCTCTGCCCACGGCCGTTGTGGAGCACGCCCCACGGCCCGTGCCACGGCACAGTTGCCCCTCCCCACAGCGACCTGAAGAGACGCCCAGGTCTAGTGAAAGGTAAGCGCAGGTCCGGACAAGCAGTTGTGTGGCTCCCAGAAGAGGGAAGAAGAGAGAACAGTGGTGAAGTTTGGCCTTTTACAGCTTTCCTAACCTCATACACTTGAAGGTAAGGTTACATCCAGTAAATAAGAACCCCCTCCAACCAAAACAGCAACAACAGCACACATTTTGGCATTTCCTATGGGCTAAGTGCTTTACCTATATTTAGTCCCTTTAACTTCACCAGAGTGCGTCAGGCCCTGGTCCTTACTCTCTACCAGGGTCCTTACAGGGAGCTAACAGGAGAAGGAATGTCAAAGTACTTTTTAAATCGTGAGGAGGAACATGGGGTGAGGGGTGGGGCTGGGGGAAGCATTAGGAATTCAGATCCTTTGCTATAATTTCCCTTTCTCTCGTTGATCAGAGCATGGCTAATTTGAGCAAGTATCCAAAGATGGAGCAAAGTCAGGCCTAAGCTTACAGGCCTGTGTGCTCTGTGACTGAGTTATGGCAACACCTTCGGGAGCGCGGGTAATGCTCAGCACCGAGGCAATCCCTTCCTCACCTGCTTTGCAGAGAGACAACTGAAGTTACACTAACGGACTGGGGACTGCCCCAGGCTAAAGAGTAAGTGGTGAACCGGGATTCCAACCTAACTCCACAGCCTCTTCTCTGAACCACAAAGCTACACTTTCATTCTGAAATCTATACTTGACATTTCTAAGTGATTTATCACTTTTAAAGATTTAGCATTAGCCCTGGCTGGTGTGGCTCAGTGGATTGAGCAGGGGCCTGTGAACCAAAGGGTTGCTGGTTTGATTCCCAGTCAGGGCACGTGTCTAGGATTTGGGCCAGGTCCCCAGTAGGGGGGATGTAACAGGCAACCACACACAGATGTTTCTCTTTCTCCTCCCCTTCCCCCTCTCTAAAAAAATAAATCTTTTTTAGACAAAGATTTAGTACTAATATTAAATTCAAGAACTTCTTACTCCTTACTTCCTACCTTTTTGGAAGGCAAGCGGAGACTGCGTGGCCCTTCTCACGGCCACTCTGGCCGCCCCAGCTTTTCTCCGGGCGACAGCGGCAGCTCCTGCAGAGACAACAGTTTTCACAGCTCAGCCTGTGAGATCTTTGAGGACAGAAACCTCCTGGTAGGCAGGTTTGACTGGAACCAACAAGGCAAAACAAAAGTACAGATGAAGGAAGGAAAACTCTGCTTTGAGACTTGGTGTCCTGACAGCCCCACCTCGGCCCCTTTCCAAATGGTGAGTGGAAGACTGGGACAGCACTGTTGGCCACTGGACAAGTCGGGCGCAGGGCTCTCCTAGTTGTAAACACCAAAGTGAAATGCCCAGCTAGGTCCTATCGAGAGAATGATTAAGTTTTCTTAAATTCCAGAATAGCAACATTTAATGTTTACATTATGCAAAATGTGTTACTTATAATCCTCCTCAGCAACTCTATGAGGTAGGTTTTATATAACACACCTAAGGCCCTGGCTGGTGTCGCTCAGTGGGTTGAGTGCTGCCCCGCTAAACCAAAGGGTCGCCAGTTCGATTCCCAGTCAGGGCAAATGCCTGGGTTGCCAGGCCAGGTCCCCAGTAAGGGGTGTGAGGGACAACCACACATTGCTGTTTCTCTCCCTTTCTTATTCTTACTCCTTCCCTCTTCCTCTCTCTAAAAGTAAATCTTTTAAAATATATTTTATTGATTATGCCATTACAGTTGTCCCATTCCCCTCCACCCTGCACACCCCCTCCCACCCACATTCCCCCTCTTTAGTTCACGTCCATGTGTCATAAGTTCTTTAGCTTCTACATTTCCCATACTATTCTTGCCCCCCCCATCTATTTTCTACCTACCGTCTATGCTACTTATTTTCTGTACCTTCTCCCCCCTCCTCCTCCCACTCCCCTGTTGCTAACCCTCCATGTGATCTTCGTTTCTATGGTTCCGATCCTGATCTAGCTGTCCTCTTAGTTTGCTTTTGTTTTAGGTGTGGTTGTTAATAACTGAGTTTGCTCTCCTTTCACTGTTCAAGTTTTTTTAACTTTTTTCTTCGATAAGTCCCTTTAAGATTTCATATAATAAGGGCTTGGTGATGATGAACTCCTTCAACTTGGAGAAGCACTTTATCTGCCCTTCCATTCTAAATGAAAGCTTTGCTGGATAGAGCAATCTTGGATGTAGGTCCTTGCCTTTCATGACTTGGAATACTTCTTTCCAGCCCCTTCTTGGCTGTAAGGTCTCTTTTGTGAAATCAGCTGACAGTCTTATGGGAACTCCTTTGTAGGTGACTGTCCCTTTATCTTTTGCTGCTTCTAGGATTCTCTCCTTCATTTTAATCTTGGCTAATGTAATTATGATGTGCCTTGGTGTGTTCCTTCTTGGGTCCAACTTCTTTGGGACTCTCTGAGCTTGTCCCGTTGGGGCCCTTGGTTGCACAGTCTGTCTCGCTGCCTGTTTTTGCCTGGTTTATCTGTGTGCAAATGTGTGACTGTGGTCAGCCCTGCGCCGCCTGCGCTCCCAGGTCTGGCAGCCACCGCCTTTTCCTGCCATGACCCCTCTCCGCCCCTCTTACCAGTCTGGTTGAATGGTTGTTGGACTTCCGTACAGTTCAGTTTTCTGTCTGTTCTGGTTGTGTTTTTGTTTCTAAATCTTTGTTGTCCTTAATTTTGGTTGTGTGAGGAGGCAAAATGTTTCTACCTGTGCTTCCATCTTGGCTGGAGGAAATTTTTTTTTTTTTAAACTAAACACACCTGAAGACACAAAGTAAGCAACTGAGCTTGGACAGAGGCCTTTTTCCCCATTGGTGATGCCTTTCAGTTACTTGTCAGTATAGCCTTGTGTTGTTTTTAACATAACTAAGCACAAACCAAGGACCCCAAAGCATAATAGTTTGTAAACAGGACTGAGGAAACTAGCGAGAAAATGGCATCTTGTTTTACAAGATAGATACTAGCATATTGTCAGACTCACAAGTATCTTCAGAAAAGCTATTCTTACAGATGACTGCGGTGAATTTTAAAATCTTGACGAATCCTTACTTTCCCATCTGTGTAGTGACTGGACTTGCCCGTGTGTGGGCCCAGGTTATCTGTGTTGCTGCCCAGGGACGTCCCTACAGCACCGGGACCAAGGCCTCCAAATGCAGCCAGGGGAATGGAGGGGACCACACCCGGCATGTTCTCCAGTCCCGGTGAGTTCGAGATGAGCTGAGAGGCGTGGGACCCAAGCTCACGGTGACTACCAGGCGAGGCCTGCAGTGGTGCCTCGAGGGGAACATATTACATGACTGAGGGTTCAGAGAACTGAAAAACCCAAAACAAAAAACGATTTTAGGTCCCACACGTGCCATTAGTTTCTTACTATTCACAGCCACCACGTCAGTGAAGCATCAGTCCCATTTAAAAAATGAAAGCATGAATGTTCAAATCATTACATCAAGGTTGGAAGAACTAAAGAATTAAGATAAGGAATGTTTTCCAAGACAGAGAGGTGTATGTAACATTGAAAGTGTGGGGAGAATTTCAAGGCCAGAACAGGAGGGAGCACAGCAGCACAGCCCAGGGTGGAACCACTTGGGGAAGGGCTGAAGAGGCGGGAGGGTGACCACCTGCCAGGACAGGGGCAGGACGCGCCTGCTCGGGTGGGGTCACTGAGAGCTTCTGGGACCAGAAGCAGCAGAAACACCAGCAAGCAAAACCCAGCAAGGGAGGGGCCCCAAGGAGGGTTGAGGCCTCAACCCAGGAAAGTGCACGCGGACAACACAGGTCTGCCAGGGGATGGGAGGAAAACACATCACCACATATCCTAAGACTTTTCCATCTGATAGAAATCCTCACCAATCTTTAATATTTTGGAATTCTGAAATATGTATCAGGTATCAAATACAATTTTAGAAGACAAAAAAACATGGTTACTATTTTAAATTTTTAGTTTAAAAAGAACAGTATTTTCTTACTATAATTTGATCCTCTTGGATCAAAACCAAGAAGAAGCAAACCCTAAAGTTTCACCAGGGGGCGGGGGGTCTTTGGAAAGGGCAGCTCCCTGAGCTGGCGCAGCTCCCGGGGCTCTCAGTTCCATGGTGGTGCAGGCCCCAGGCCCCGACGGTGGGGAGGTCTTGGTTCTGCCACTTCCTACCTGTCTGATCTGAAGCAGTTTTGTTTCCACTGTCTCTGCCCTGATTTTCTCATGTTTAAAATGGGAATACGCTAGTACCTGCCCAACAGGGCTGTCATTAGAGCTTCCCTGGCATGTCCGTTACGTTAGTTAGAGTTATTATTATACATTTTCAGCTGCGCATTTATACTCCATGTTAGCTATGATGATATACTTCACTGTGTAATCGTTTTACAAGTAAGTATGTTTCACTTTAGTGATCAAAACCCCACTCTGGCAAAATTCAAAGGAAGGCTACCAGTAAATAACACCTATCTCTAAATGTGGAAAAGGATGTTCAAAGGGTTAAAATATGGTGGTATTTCCATCTGGGCCTCCTCTGTGACATATTCAGCCTGAAATCTACCAGAACACTTTTTTTTTTGTCAATTATAGTTGATATTCGACGTTACTTTGTATTAAGTTCAGGTATACAGATAGTGATTAGACATTTATATAATTTACAAAATGATTCCCCCAATTAAGTCTAGTACATACCTGACACCATACATAGTCAGTACAATATTATTGACTATATACCCTTGCCGTACATCACTGCAGAACTTGACTTGTAAAAATCAACTTCTTTAGCCAAACACACAAAAGAAACAGATCTCAAATAAAGCATATCTTATTTACTGACCATTCAAATTCTACTACAAAAAGACCACTTGTTTTCAAAGATTCATAGGGTCTTCCTATTTCTAAGCAATAGAATGAAATGCCAGTACAGCTAAGTCTTTGTGAATCTCTTGAGTTCTACTGAAGTAGGTATTGCTTTTCACTAAGATTGACAGTTTTTTATGAATGAAAGTACAACTTTATAGACAAGAAGGAAGAGGTCCAAATTACACAAGATAAAAAAGCTTTAAGTCTTACCTCGGGGCCAGGGCGAGCCTCGGGGCTGCTCCAGGGGCGTCCCTGTGGGGCCATCACTGGGTCTGCGTGAGTATCTGACTTTTCCAGGTCGATTTACTGGAAAACTGTGACCATGTGGAGTCTCTCTGAAGTAGAAATTTTTATTTTATATTCCTAGAATCTCATATCAGTGATAAAACTATAATATTTCAAAAAGCTCCAATTCTACCCCAGATGAATACAGTGACTTCTTCTGTACCTCAGTGATATAGTTAATGTGTAATGACTCTCAACAAATTATTCCTCATATCTCAAGCTTCATTTGTTTTTTTCCAAAGAAACCATTTTTATTCTTTCTATCCATTTCAAATTCTCTATGCATTTGGCAGTTATTTATGTATCTGAGGCCCTGCTTTATTCTAGAAAATATTCAGGGGCATCTGGTCTTCTGAGCCCACCCAACACTCCACACACACTAGGGATCTGACTGCGTCTCGCTCCGTGTTAGGCAGCTTTCCTCTGGGCTCTTACAGTATGTGAGTATAACTGTAACTGTTTATTTCGTCAAAGGTAGTAATTTTTAACAACATTGTACCGCCAACTGCTGCCTGTCTTACAAATCACCAACAAATACAATTTTGTGTTGGTAAGAAACTTTACACTTGGGTACTTTTCTTTAGCATTCTGTTTAATTCTTGCCTAATGAACGCATATCCAAACCGACTGCAGGCCATTTACTGAAGAACAGCTGTGTAACCATTATCTGGAGTTGAGGCGACAGCCCCTGGGCAGAGGAGAAGTGGCAGCTGGTGGGACTGTTTCCACAAGAGCAGAACCAGGAGGAGAGCAGTTTGGAGCAAATTACAAGAAGAAATAGTGAGAAAAACTAAGAAAAGAAAAAGGTTGAACGGGCGTCAAAACTGCACTGGGTAAGCTGAAGTGCTTCATTACCTCTTTAATTAGAGATCTAAGGCCAATGTCTTTTTCCTTGGTAATTCCATAAACTTAAAGAGTTAGGGCCCAAACTCACAGTTAGGGCCATTTTTTCCTTCACTTTATCGTCATAATTTTGAACAGGGAAGGTGCAGACTCGGTGAACGTGGGTCACCAAAGTGCTATCTTTCTCATCCTGCCTGACAGCATCTTCCCTGATGCCAGGCCAGACTTTAACTTGCCTTCGTGGAGAAAGGGAGCGCTGCAGCCTGGGAGTCCGGGCGGCTCTAGGTGTGGTGGGCAGCGGCTTCTGTGCGGCAGCTGGTAGTTGTACTGATTCAGACAGCAGCTCATTCATCAGACTGTATGCTTGTGAGATCCGACGACTGTAGTGGTCAGAGAGCAGCAGTCTTTAGAGAAAGAATTAAACAACATTAAACAAGAGCCCCTTTCAGTTCATATTTCTAGAAGGAATGTAGTATTTGAAGACCACCTTGCATTTATTTTACAGTGCTTTTCAAATGCACTTCAAATGAAGTATTAAATTTCATCCATCTGAAAACCATTAGGAAGTGTTATGATTAACAGTACCTGCAGTTAGAGCCTTTGGGGTAGTTTCAAAATGCATGCACATGTCTGGACTGGAAGGGGGAGGGCAGTAGCAGAAATGAAAGCCACGAAATTGAATGGAGTGAATAATGTTTGAAAGCAAATTCCTAAGTAGGCTGATGGAGTCTAAAGTTACCTCCCATAATGAGAAAAAGGGGGCTACTGTGGAAACCAGAACTGCTGAGGCACTACCCGCGCCCCAGGTGAGCGGGCTGGGGGCACGTGCAGGAGGCAGCCGCCAGACTCACCTGTCTTTCTCGTGCTTCATCTTTTGTCTCAGCCTGATTTCCCTTGAAGTCATGTACAACTGCACAAGAAATACCCAGTTAGTTCTTATTGTACAGTACAGGTAATTGAACCATTATAATCCACGGAAAAGGTAAAAAATTCCACTGATCAATTTTAACAGGATAAAATATAATTTTGTTACTTGGGAAATAGTGCAAGACACCATCATATTTGATGAAGCTTCTGACTCCAGCACAAAACATGAAAATATTAAAGCTTCATGTAATTAAATAAAATCCAGTTTAATAAATGGAATGCAAAGCCTATTTAGTAGCTGAATTCATGTGTTTTCTGAAAAGGAGAGAACCTAATCAGCTGCATTTAAAAGGGACAGAACATTTTAAGGACGGAGACACCTATACTTTGTTCGTACTCAGTCTTGTGGTTAATTTCACCAAGCACTGGGCTGATAAAGCAGAAACGCGCTCGACATTTAAAGCCACTCTTTTAATGTTTTAAAATGTTCACCAGAAACTTGCTGCAATGAGTTTGCTGTGACTTGTAAACTCTTCAAAACTTATGCACCATGAGTCAAACTAGCAAACAGCAGCTGTATACATCTTACTCCAGAACAGAGTTACTTTTGAGTCATAACAAGGCTAAGTCTTTTCACCCAAATTGTGTAGATTAGAAGGTGTACACGGAAGTCAATTCTCTTTCTCAAGATCCTATATAGAAATAGTCAAGTAACAAATTAAAGGTCTTACTGGGTTCGGAAAGAAATTGGAATAAAAATTTTAATTACACAAACCCCTCACTAATCCCATACTTTTAGCCAAGTAATAGCTAAAACCAAAGAAAAACGCCTGTGATGCTGAAGGCCCGGTCACAGAGTCTGTACACCCGACAGTCCCCCTGCCCTCAAATCAGTCTGCTCTGAGTGTGGACACAACGGAGCCAGCTCGGGCCTTAGCTGGGCTGACAGGGCAGGTGATGTCGCATCCCTGCATGTGGGGAGCAAATGCACACAGGCACACGCACCTTAACATTTTCATCCTAGACCTTGGGGCCCTGAGGTCACCACCCTGTCCCTATAGCTACTGATGAAGTGTTATTGACATCAGCATGCTCTCTCCAGACACAGCCAAGTAAGTACATCACACACTTTAAGCAACGGTTCACCTACTTTTGCACCATGTGGTGCTTGAATGTGACCATGTTATCTGGAGAATTCACTTACAAAATGTGTTCCTCTAATGGTGCTGAAAACAATGAAGATTTTATTTATTTCAGATTAGAAAGTCAAAGATCAGTTGTAATCAAAGTGTGATCTAGCCCACACTGGTGTGGCTCAGTTGGTTGGGTGTCATTCTGCAAAGCGAAAGGTCGCTGGTTCAATTCCAAGTCAGAGCTAGGGTTGCAGACCAGGTCCCCATTTGGGTGCATGAGAGAGGCAGCTGATCCATGTTTCCCTCCCTCCCTTTCTCTCTCCCTTCCCCGCTCTAAAATAAATAAAATGTTTTTTTAAAGTGTAATCTAAATGGGAATTTCGTAGTAACATGATTATTAAAGACACTGTCTGGTTTCATCTTCAGGCTAGCCCTGGTGCTGCCCGTAGGCTGAGCTCAGAAACAGACGCTGACCATCTAAAGGGCAGTGGAAACACACACGCAGAGTTGCTGTTCGTTGGTGCTTGACTGGACGGTGCTTTTGCAGTTTCCTGTGAGTGACATATGGATAGAAAGTTGACTTTTCAAATGCCTTCACCACACACGGAGTCAGGTGTCCAGCCACCACTGACCCTCTGTGAACGTTAAGGAAACAACTCCGATCATCACGCAATCACTCAACCTCTTCATTCATTTCAAATGCTGGACCCGTAAGGGGGAGAGAAAATACTCAAGACAGTTCAATAGAACATGGTTGGTATGATATCCTGCTATATTCTGTTAAAGTAATTTCTTACCTTTGCCTAACTTAAACTATCTGGCAAATAAAGAATGTATCCAAGTACGGTAATCCTTCCCCTGCACTGGCCGGGGAGAGACCACCCCACCCTGTGATGGCCCCGATTCAGCAGACTCACTGGGTTGCTCCTGGGGCAGAAAGGGTCATGTTCTTGGCCCCTCTTTTCTGCCAGCTGACGCAAGTACTCTGCCGTTCTCTCCTTCCGTTTTCTTCTCATCCAGACTTGAATCTCTCTTCTCTCCTTCTCAGTTCTTCGGGGACGTCTATCTGGAGAATGGTGAATTCTGAAAAATTTCACAGGCAGGGGGTCACCTGACTGTAAACACCACTTATTTGGAAAGATCGTGTCTGATCTCAAAAAGCAGCACACACCCAGGACCTCTAGCCCACTCATTCTGACCTGTGAGCTCGGCAAGGTCGCCCACAGCCTCTGCACGCTTCATCCGGCTGGACTCTGCAGCATTTGGTAATCTGGCCTTTCCTTTCTGCTTTAAGCTCTCTTTCCTGGGTCTTTTTCTAACTCTCAAAACTCTCTGCAGCATTGTACGCTGGCCCCTTTCTTCTGTGCTCACCTCCTCCACAGTAATGTCTGCAAATGTTCTGCTCGGACTTCTTCACCTAGAATCTATTTCTGGACTCGCTCAATCATTTCCGAAACTCATAATAGAGAGATAACTTTGAGCCTGCTGCCCTCTGGACCCAGCCTCTTGTTCCTGCCTGTGCCTCCCACTAGGGGTCGGCCCAATCCAAGGATCGTTCCTGCAAGACACAGGGTGCCTCTAATGGGTCACTCTGGCCTGTTTCATCACTGACCCAGGGGAATCTCTCTTGGAACTACACCAGACCCGAGTTCTCCCAACTCCACCCCTGCCCTTGCCTCTCTCCTTCTCAGGGAGGTGCAGACCTGCACTGTGGTCTGATGCCTCTCCTGACCTCCGGTTTCCCCGCCTCACGGGCACGGTGTCCATTAATTCCCATCTTGGCTTCTGCCTCTCAGAGGATAAGAACTAACAGGTAGTACTGACAGTGGGCCGAGAAATCAGGAGGTGTGAAATGCAGGTCTGGGGCAGACTCATCACCCAGTGTGCGAAGAGGGCACTGTCCCAAATGTAACTGGGCCATGGAGACAAACATGCTTTGCACTGAACACCTCTCTCTGCCTGGGAATCCGGACTCGGCGTGTCCCAGGCAGAGCGCCTACTGACCAGCCTGGGAAGCACTCTGGGCACTGAGTGTGCACGAGCCACCCTGGCACACTGCACTTCACGTGTGCTGGCACCGTCTGTGGCTGGAGGAACTGAGTATGTCCTGTGTGGCTCCACTGTGAGGATGCTTGGAAGCGTGTGCCTGGTCTACCGTGGCAGTTACTCCACGTGCCTGCTCCCTTTACTGATCGATCCTGCTTTGTCTCCTGGTGCGGTAGTAAGTCCTGGCTGTGCGTGTGACCAGTGGAGGTCTGTGAGTCCCAGGGAACCACAGCCTGGGCTGGCCCTGGGGACCCTTCTCACAGGTCAGAGCCACACCTGCACTCAAGGCCGGCACCTCTCCCCACCTTACCCCCTCACAGGTGTTTCGCTAATAAGTGTCTTGCTCACCATGTATAGCTCATTTTGGCATCTGCTTCTGGGAGGACCCAAAACTAAGTTCCAATGAACATCAGCAGCTGGATGCTCCCCTGGCACCTTAATTCTAAAACGACATTAATCGCTGTCTGGCTAAGAAACTGCCATCAGGAGAAGGGGAGAAAAGGTACAGAAAATAAGTAGCATAGACAGTAGATAGAAAATAGAGGGGGGGCAAGGATAGTATGGGAAATATAGAATCTAAAGAACTTGAGACACATGGTCATAAACTAAAGGGGGGTAATGGTGTGGACGGGGGGGTAGGGTGAAGGGGAATGAAGGGGGGGAATAGAACAACTGTAACAGCATAATCAATAAAAAAATAAATTAAAAAAAAAAAGAAACTGCCATCAGCTCAGTCATCCAAGTAGAGAACCACTCTTGTGGCCTCCGGTCAGCACTCATGCCACTGCCCACTTTGCACTGTCTCTTCCTGGCCAGCTCACTGGACTGAAATTCTAATTGGCTCCCATTTCTGGTTTAAAGCCCTTTGCTGCCCCCTCTGCCGCCTGTATTGGCAGTGGCTCTGAGTGACTCTGGTCCCAGTGAACATCCGCACACCCAGCGGGCCGGGCCCTCCCTCCTTCCAACTTGTGGACTCCTAAACCCCTCCGCCCCCCCCCACACCACTGACATCACACCTTTGCGTGCTATATGCTGGCTCCCGAGAATACCCTCTTTTCCTGCTATGAGCCACATGGAAGTCTACTGATCCTTTGCAATAAAGCTCAAACACCATAACCGGTGAAGTGTCGTCTTTGTTCGACTCTCCTCCCCATGACCCCCCCACAGCACATGGATATAATGGTTTCATGTCGACCTTTTTATAGTTCTATCTCCATTCAAGAGTAGCAACCATATTTTATTTTCACTCCAATTTTTTACACTGAATGCATTATTGATGGCATATTAATTGTTTGATCATTAACTTAGAACAAAAATCCCTCTGCATGTGACAAAGTTATCTAAAAGGAAGTTATGGTTTACAAGATCTTGACATGAGGTCACAGTATGGCCGATAATCCCAGTGATAAGTGGAAATGGGCAGGGGTTTTGTACGCCATGTCTGGTGATAGCCCCGTCAGTCTGGTAACAGACTGCAAGTCCACCGAGGCAGTGAGAGGAGCTGCCGGGAGATGCAGAAGGGCGGCTGCCGCTCCTGGTGCAGACCGTCACGTGGTGTACAAACTGCAGGGAGCTCCGGCACGAGTGGTGGCCTTCACTCTCTCAGGAGTCCGTCCTGGGCCCAGAAAAGGCTGCCAGGAAAAACACTTTAACCTAATGTTCCAAGGCAAGACTATTTAAAATGTACGGCAAGGATTAATATTTGGTATAAACTACTATGACCCAAACCATCACCTACTTCTAGGAAGAGACGGGGTTAAATCTGTGTAGTGCTTGGAGGGGTAGCACTGGGAAACTCACACGATACACGCGTGCCAGGTAAGTGCAAACGAGTCTGTGTTCTGTCTGCGGGGGAGGGGAGAGTGTTACATACACTTCACAAAATGTGTTTAGGAAGGAAAAAATCTAAGGTTTGACTTTGTTTCCTAAAAAAATTACATTAAAATGCAGCCCATTTTGAATGCTCTTGAACCGTAAACGTTTTACATGGGTTAAAAACAAATGATTCCCGATCACCTGGAGATGCTCCTCGCCTGCTGGTCTGTCAGGCCCAGCTCCTCCCTGGAAACGCCACCCTGGGCGAGGAGGTCGTCGATGATGTCCGCGATGTCCGCCAGCCCGGACGCCTGCAGCGGGTCCGCCGACGCGCTTCGTTCACAAATGCAATCGGAGAAACCAAAGTCAGGATTGCGACTTAGCACAGGTAAGTTCTTACACAGGAACATGCGACATGAGCACACAGACGATAAACATACAGCTCCTGTCCCTTCCACCCTTTCCCCCCAGGAATCCTCACTGGAAAAGCCTGGTCGTAACCGATGATTTTGTGTGTGCTCCTAAAAAAGCAGCACAAAGCCCAGGAGACAACTTCCACCGGTCCTGCCTGCTGAAACGGAACGCACAGACAGCAGAGGGGGGGCAGCCAGTGCGGTCTGTGGGATTCTCACTGCATGTGCTGAACACTCCTTGTCTCTTCAGATACCCCGTCCGCAATGGGAATGAACTATATTCCTTTAATCCACAAAAGCAGTGTTGTGTCGAAGTCCACATACATCTGAACCACCAAAATTCCAGAATGCAGAATTTATACCCAACTTTAAGTAAAATTATGAATTAATTCTTAAGATATTTACCTCTCAAATAATTCATCACTGTTATTCACACCTTAAAAAAAGAAACATGATTAATAAAAATTTCAGGTCAGTTATATTTCTACTTTCAGGTATTAACCTGACTTAGAAATTATATAACCAGAAATTAAAATATTTTTAAACTTTCAAATTGGTTTAAAGGTATATATGTCTACCATATTTATCCTCCTCTTGAATATGCTACTTGGTAGTAAATATTGTCCACATTTTAAAATTATTACTTTTGTATCCACAGTACTCAGAATGATATAATTTGGGGGGGGGGCACAATCTTTCTGTGCTTAGAATAGTTTAGAATACTGGAGTGCAATTTATTAAAACAATCACACACACAAAAAACCCCTCTGATGGTCTAAAAGTAATACATTTGGGAAAATATCTAAGTTAAACCCAAGAAGGCTTTACTAAGAGAAAAAGTTACATGATTTAATGACATCTTCTTTATAGCCTTTCTTTTATTTTAATGAGAGCAATGCGCCCTGGCTAGTGTGGCTCAGTAGACTGACTGCCAGCCTGCGAACTGAAACCACTGGTTTGATTCCCAGTTAGGGCACATGCGTGGGTCGCAGGCCAGGTCCCCAGTTGGGGACATGTGAGGAGCAACCAACTGATGTTTCTCTCCTTCTCTTTCTCCCTCCCTTCCCCTCTTTCTAAAAATAAGCGAAAAATTAAAAAATAAATGACAGGAATGCCATTTAAAAATACCATTTTAAGTGCTTATATTACTTTAACAATGGTTAAAGCATACTGTAGCACTCAGTAAAGACATCATTATTAGCCATCAATATCCAGGGCAAAAAAACATCTCAAGCCCTGGCTGGGTTGCTCATTTGGTTAGAGCATCATCCCAATAAACCAAGGTTGTGGGTTCAATCCCCAGTCAGGGCACATATAAGAATCAACCAATGAATGCATAAATAAATGGAACAAATCAATGTTTCTGTCTTTCTCTAAAAATCAATAAATTAAAAAAAATTTTAAATCCACTGTCAATGGTTCAACCATTGCATTTCTAGGACCTATTTATTCACATGCCAAAATGTGTTCATTGGACTAAAGAAGCACGTCTAGCTGCCAGCTCTGCATAACATGGGATGAGAAGCAGCAGTGAGGTTTTCTAAGTCTCAGTGTCCTTCCCCGTAAGGCGGGGCTGCGAATAACCACGTTCCCAGTAAACACTGTTCAGGAGCAAGAGGACATTGCTGTGATACACCTTTCAGTCTGCTGCAAAGGAGGCGGAAACGAAAGAACTATACCAGGAAGACTTGCATTCTGGTCACTGGAGAGGCTGACGGTGGAATCGGCAGAAGGAAACACATAGGTTTTTGGATGAGAGTGAATTTCTGTTACTGAAAATTCAGCTTCAAAAGTCTGTTCCTTGTCACTCTGGTCTTCCTTATTCATATGAGTCAGGAAATGCACTGATCCAGAGTCTATATTACAATTAAAAGAAAAGAGCAGAGGGGAAAAATGTGGGAAGATAGAAAACACAACTGATGTGTCCACATGGCAACAGATGTATTGGAAGTTTGCAACGTACAATGGCGGCTTTCTAGTGTATGATGAAATAATTTGATGTTTAAATTTTACAGCCCTCAATAGTTAAAAAAAAAAAAAAGCCATTACATTTATTATCAACCTCAGAAAACATGGCAGACAGACTTCCTAAAGCAGACAGTATCCTGCACGTTATAAAAACACAGAAGAAATGCTAAATTTAGAAAATGGTTAATATACAACAAACTCTGTACATAAAAAAATGCCCTGGTGCCAGAAGAGGGGCTCAACGCTGGACGGAAGTGGACACTGATGCTGGCCGACTCGTGGAGCAGCAGGAGACGCGGGCTCTGTAGGGCTCTGAGGGGAGCTGAGCGCTTCTCACGGCCTCGAGTGCTGACGACCCACCCTGCCCGTAAGTGGGGCGAGAAAGACCCCGCCCTGGAGAAGCAGCAAAGACATTTTCTGTCCGCACGGTGATGGAAGAAAAAATGAAGTCCGCTCTGCGGAATCAAAACCTGTCTTGTCCTGGCTGGTGGGGCTCTGTGGATTGAGAGCTACCCTGTGAACCAAAGCATTGTTGGTTTGATTCCTAGTCAGGGCACATGCCTGGGTTGCAGGCCAGGTCCCCAGTAGGGGGCATGTGAGAGGCAACCACACATTGATGTTTCTCTCCCTCTCTTTCTCCCTCCCTTCCCCTCTCTCTAAAAATAAGTAAATAAAATCATTTTAAAAACCCTGTCTTGCCACAAGCAGGCAAGGGATCTGAATTTATACTATCAATGTAGTATAGCAACTCCTAACCAAAAATTGCATACAAAAACTTGTCCTAAAATTTTCTACGTCTGTGACAGAAAATATAAAACCACTCCAAAGACAAACATACAGGACTCAGCAAACCTCCCCACCAATATGATGAAAAATTACAAGTCACAGAAAGCCACAACCATGAAAGAGTCAATATGCAGAGTCAATAATTGAGAACCTGCACACGTGACATAAAGCAATCTGAAAGGGCATAAAATACTACTGGTCACCATACAGATGGAAGAAGGTAAACAGCCCTGGCTGGTGTGGCTCAGTGGATTGAGCACGGGCCTGCAAACCAAAGGGTCACCAGTTCGATTCCCAGTCAGGGCACATGCCTGAGTTGCAGGCCAGGTCCCCAGTTGGAGGCACATAAGAGGCAACCACATATTGATGTTTCTTTCCATCTCTTTCTCCCCCCCTTCCTCTCTCTCTCTAAAAATAAATAAAGTATTTAAAAAAATAAAAAGGTAGAACTAAAACAGACAATAAGCAGAGAAGGGAGGGAGCAAATCAGTGTTCAGGGCTCTAAACACTGGGAGGTAAATATATTCACCTTAAATTGTGACTATGAGTTGAAAATTTGAGAATAATCACTAAGAGATTAAAAATGTAATACATAATTGAAGGGAAGAGAGAAAATACAGAAAATCAAAGCCAATGGAAAGAAGAAAAGAAAGACAGAAGTAAAAAATACACAGTCAATAAAAAGCCCAAAGTAAGATGACAGAAACACGCACAAGTACAGGGCAGGGCAGAAGCAGGTTTACTGCTGTGAGTACACGAAACAGTTTAATCTTGTATTGTTTGCTTATCATTGTATTATTTTCCACGTGAAAGGTTGTACACCTACTTTTGCCCAACCTTGTAAATCAGTGATTACCATGAATGGAAACTGATTACAGCCGATGAGTAAAACACAAATTGTCTCATTATTTTAAAAAGTGGAATCTGGTGATATGTGGAACAGTCGCCAAGTGGGAAGTGAAGGGATGCGTTACTGACAGAAAACACACAGGACAGAAGAGCACGTGAAATAACATCAAACGAGCTCAGTTAACGAAATCAAACTCTGAAACACACTTGAGAACAAACACGTTTCTTCAGCAGAGAAACTGCACAGGGAAAAAGAGAGGAGGAAGCCCATAGTTCAAGGAGACTTGTAAGCCACTGACCAATTGCCATGAGTGGATGACACTTGGATTCCAACTAGAACAAAAAACCCTACTTTTTAAAAGGAGACAACTGGTGCCATGTGAATGGTGATTCCATACATGACAACGGATTTTTAAGTAAGGAGTGAATGTATTGTTTTAAACATATGCCTATGCTGAAAGAGAAGCCTCATCTTTTGAAGACACATGTCAAGTATTTACAGGTAGGACAACATGCTGTGGGCTCTGGCCAGCGTGGCTCAGCGGGTCGGGCGTCGTCCTGCAAACCAGGAGGCACCGCTCGATTCCTGGTCAGGGCACAGGCCTGGGTTGCGGGTTCCCTGTCCAGTCAGGGTGCTTTCAAGAGGCAACTGATCACTGTTCCCTTTCCCTCTCTTTCCCCCTCTCTTCCCCCCTCTCTGGAATCCATAAAAGAAAAGAAATTTTAATGTGCTGTCTGGGATTTGTTTCAAATCCAGGAAACATGGGAAGAATGAGTGGGTGAATGGGAAGAGAGTTGGTACATGAAGGTTACATTATTTCGCTTTCTACTGAAATAGGTTTACATCTGTAATAAGTTTTTAAAAACAAAAAGTATCAAAAACACACATACAGCTGGCCCTTGAATAACAAGAGGTTTAGGAGCACCAACACCCACATGGTAAAAAAATCCTTGTATGACTGACTCCCCCAAAACTTAGATGTCCCTTAGTATCCGTGGGGGGTACTGGTTCCAGAATACCCCAGACACCAAAATCCGCAGACACCCAGTTCCCGATGTGAAATGGCACAGACCACACGTGCAGGCGGCCCTCTGAGCCTGTGTCCTCCCAACCGTGGGTCAAAAACTGAACTGCGTTTACCTAAAACATGCACATCTAAGTGGACCCATGCAGTTCAAACCTGTGTTGTTCAAGGGTCAGCTGGATAGTTATACCTATAAATATATCTAAGAAGTGATAGCATATGCTCATCTATGAAAGTGGAAATAAATTACAAAACTGTAGTCCAAACCCCATAAAATTTGGAAGCTAAAAAACCCTTCTTTGAGCTAAGAAGAACTCTTAATATAAATGACAAACATTCGGGTCTGGACAGTATGAAGACCTGGTGCCTATGAACGCCTGTTTGGGCCCCTGCAGGAATATGTGGGAGCACAAATGCATATATTACAAAAAAGAAAGAAGGGAGTTAGGAGAACACCAGAAAGTTCCCAAATGCAGGCAAAAATAATAAAACTCAAAACAGAAATTTATGAAAAAGAAAAGAAGTGATAGAACACCAAAGTCTGCTTTTTTAAAACACATTAAATTGCCGACAAGACTGAAGCAGAGAGAAAATGTAGATATAAACAACTCTAGGTACACAGAAATTTTAAAAAATAACTAGCCTACTTTCATCCTTTCAATAAGAAATGCAAAAACTTAACATTTCGCCACTTCCCAGCCATGTAAGCAAAGCCTCACATTCCAGCTCAGCTGTTGTACATGACCTTGGCCGCAGGGCACTCATGAACGTGAAGGTCCGGCCCACACTGCCCACCAGGCGTAAAGTCGGAAGAGGTGGCAGCATGGGCTTCTCAGGAAAAACAGGCCTGGCATGGGAGCCAATCACAACAGCACAAAAGTAACCCCAGTCTAAATGCTGGGGCCCCGATGGCTTCTGCTCACATACGCTTTCAACGTGCACCATGCCCCCAACCCTCCACAAACCTTTGGAAAGGCTAATGGTTTTCGAAGCCAATGTTCTTTCAGATTCAGGGCCCGAAGACAATTCGGTGTGACCCACAGATTCATCCTGTAGGCAGACACACGCCACAAAGTAACTGTTAGAAATTTTACAGTGTGATAATTTCAAAACAACATAAACAATTTTATGTAGACTATGAACATTTGCACTGATGCAACCAATAGAAGAAACAGAATTTACTCCCTTGTAGTTTGACTGATTCAACTCTTTAAGAGGCTTGGGAAAACAGCATCATGGAATTTAGAATGGGGAGCGAGGCTAACTACCACCTGGACAAAACCTTTTACTGTGAAATTGAGAGAATGAGGCCCAGAGGCAGACAGCAAGTCTCCTAAGGCAGGACATGGATTTGAACCCAGGCCTTCAAGGCTCCGAGGTGGTGCTTGTGCACAGCAGGCCTCTGCCTCCTCCAGGCCGCACGCTGTTTTCTAAGTACAAAGGGCAAGTCAAAATCCTTGCATTTGTGTGCGCTTTATAACAGCGCAACGAGGTCTTAAACCAAGAGGCCAACCTTGCATTTAAGGCTCTGCTATTTCCTTCAAAGAAGTCACCTTGGACAACTAACCCCTATGGGTTACCTAACAGCCCACTGCAGTCTTAGTCCACGTGACTTTTCGGTGTAGTTCCTCCTATGTTTAACCTTAACTTTTTAATATGTGTTAAGTATCTGGATTAAAGAAATACTATAAACCTAGTAAATACATCTTTAAAATGTCAACAGCTAGCCACCTGGAATATCTGTTAGGTAAGTCAACAATGGAATTCCTGTCTTGCAGACCAATTTGCATTTCCTAACATGCAGCTTTAAGACATTCAAACTATTTTTCACTATTTGTTTTTTAATCTTTATTCCACATAAATTTTACTACCTTAAAAAAGAGGATATTTGTACAAAGTAATTAACAAATTAATGTTTGAAACTTCCTTTTTAGTTGTCTAATTACCATGATATACCAATACACATAAACATTAATCTTTTTGTTATAAATACTTTTTAAAGGTAGAGAAAACTTCTTAAGAACTACTAATTCATTGTATAAAATATTTAAAAGAACTAAGAATTCCAAATATAAGGACAATGATACTTACAAAGTTATAAAAATCTTGCTGTAGAAAGTGATAATTACGAACCGGTTTGTTTCAACCCACATCTATTCATAATTCATCTATTTCTTTCCCCAGTAGGAAGCCAAGTTCACTTCTTAAAAGCCTCAGGCGGGGACTCTCAACTGGAGGCATAGTAGCCGCACCGCCCTGCCCCCAAGAATATCTGGCAGTATCTGGAGACCTTTTCTGTTATTACAGCGGGGTGGGGGTGGGGTGCACACTGACGGCTAGTGGGTGAAGACCAGGCATGAAGTGAACACCCTGCAACACACAGCCAGCCTCCCAGGGCACGGAATTATCTGGCCCAAACGTCAACAGTGCTGAGGTTGAGACCCGGGCCTAAAGAAACTGAATTTCCCATTCTTTTGAAAAACCAGCGTTTATAAAATCTTATCACACTAGCCAGCTAGTAACTCGGTAATAAAAACGGAAGTAAGGCCAGCCCACCTTATCGCAAGGCCGGTCCACCAGTCCGCGCTGGGGGAAGTCCTGCTCTATGTCTGCAGCGATCTTCCCGATGGCCAGCAGCTGCTCATCCATTTTCTGAAGCTGGTAGGTGAGCCGCTCCAGTCGGCGGGCTGCTGCTGCAGGGCCAGGCGCAGGGCAAGCCGCGGAGACACCCTGCAGCAGCTCCTGCAGGAGGTAATCCCGCAGCTCATCCTTTTCTGCAGTATCTGGCTTCGAGCTCTGCTCTTTGCACTGCACGCCTGGCTTTGGCTTATCTAAATATTAATAAGGGTAATGTCGGGATCGATTATAGGTAAGGAAGGGTAAATGCTGATGATCTCACGTCTTGGAAGATCTCAACTTAAGTCAGCCTTGCATTCCCTCCCAAATCAGTTTTCATTTGATACACTTAGAAACACCAGTTCAGCTTCCTGACTTCCCAGACCTGTCTTTGCTGTGAGGTACGGATACTAACAGTGTCAGTCTGACCACAAGCCTCCATATACAAGGCAGTCTGAATGTTACTTTTAGCCTCTGCTACAAAAAAAAGCAAATTTCATCAAAAAGCAAATTTAATATCTTTTTGACTTTCTAAAACTATTTGAAAACCAACAATGTCACACAGTAAAAGTTAGACCACTCTTCAGGGGATCTCAAGCAAACATGAAATCTCCCAAATATGTTACAATAATGCAACCTGATGTATGAGTATAAAACTCAATATTTTACTAATAAACTACTGTTAGCTACCATACCTGTGTGCTTCTATGTGCTATTCCATAATTTCCTACCTCTTTAAGTAAAAATTCCTTTTTAACACCTCAAAACTCGCCCCACAGGATATTTACTGCTGACCCCACTGAGAAAAGACAGAGGCACAAAGGCACCTGACCTGTGTTCTCCTTGCAGCACAGCCATGGGCCCCAGACCTGAACCATGACCCTATCTTATCTACCTCCTGTCCCCATTCTCCTTAGCAAGGGAAAAGCCTTCTTCTGCTTTATTTCACAATCACCACATTTTGTGCTTATCTTCCAGTACAGCAGTGCCTGGGGGCAGGGGGAGAGTACAGGTAGGGCCTTCACCTTCCTCCCGCTCTCTGTCTGACGATGTAGGCGGGGTAACACCAGGCTCCGCCCCTTCTGTACTGCCTGCTCTCCGGCTCCTCCCGTCCAAACAGGATGGAGGCACTTCTGCAGGTTTAAAAAGGAAGTCCACAGCCAAACTGGCAGACTCTATCAAGAATATGAAAGGCAGGCAGAAATTGATTCTAAAATTCTAAATGAGGTTTCTGGAAGATGAGAGAACATTTCTATATATGACCAAAAACATCCAAAAGTACAGTGGATTTTCAGGAGAGCCAGGAGATGTAAGTAGGGTTAACAATGCTATCTATATTAAAGAATTTTTCAAAATGTTTTTAAAATTTATTTAAAAAGTAGGAAAAATTTATTACCTTGGCTCTTAAAATTGCGCAGGGGAGCAGTGCTAGTAACTGAGGAGGCCATGCAATGTAACTCCGCAGAAGACGGGCCTTCCGGGTGCTCTCCGATGGTACCATCACCCGAAGGCTCTTTGACAGGCAACTCCTGGAGGTCGTCAGCTTCAATGTCGATCACATTTAAGTACGTGTGTCCAACCTGAGCCACAGCCTGCGACCAAAGAGGGCTACATTTTTTCACACTGTATGGCCACTCTGCCCACCTCCACGGCCTATAAAAAGGTTTAGTTCTGAAGGCAAGAGCACCCAGGAGCCTCCTTCAGGGAAATTGCAGTGCTATGATCTGAGTTTACAATATTTTGAGGCATAGCATTTAAATCTTAGTTTTTTGACCTTTTCAGCAAAGCTACACAGATAATTTTGTAGTCTCATTTCACCTATACAATTGAATAATGAGGATGACCCTAATGAATTTCCGCATACAGGTATTATTAAAACTTCTGAATAAAACCCAGACCAAAGCCAGCACCGTGTCCAAGGCCGAAGGTGACAGTGGTCTCTCTGCTGTCCCGGTGGGAAGTCTGAGACTGAGAGATCTTCCCGGAGCCACTGGAGGAGGGACATTTACAGGCTCACACTCTGAAAATTAAAACAGAAAAATCAGGAATAAAAAAAATCTGCAAATAACTCTAAGTCATTAACTTTGTAATAACAAGCTGGCAACACACAACATAACATGCATTTGTTGAAAATCTGAGTAGATTTTCACAGGTATAATTTACCCCAGAGTAATTCTTTAAAAAATATATTTTGTTTAGTTTTAGAGAGGGGGAGGGAAGAAGAAAAAGAGGGAGAGAAACTGTGATGTGAGGGTTGCCTCTCACCCGTTCCCCCATGGGGGCCCTGGCCTGCGCCCTGAGTGGGAAGTGGGAGAATCAAACTGGAGACCTTTCAGTCTGCAGTCTGGTGCTCAGTCAGCCAGGGCTAGAGTAACTCCTAACCGAATGCACACTGACTATCGTCTTTCTCATACGAGTCATTCGCAAGAATAATAAATTATCTAGTCACGTTGAGAAATGCTGTATTTATGCCTTGGCTGGCATAGCTCAGTGGATTGAGCACGGGCCGTGAACCAAAGGACTGCAAGTTCCATTCCCAATCAGGGCACATGCCTGGGTTGCCAGCCATATCTCCAGTGGGGGCCATGAGAGAGGCAACCCACACATTGATGTTTCTCTTTCTCCCTCCCTTCCCATCTCTAAAAATAAAAATAAAAAAATTTAAATGCTGTATTTCCTGTTTTCATTTCAGATAATATTGTCATGTTTGTTTATTTAGGAGAATTTCAATTAAATCAGATTTTAGGAAATTAACCTGTAGTTAATTTGTATTTTACTTTCAACATTGTTTATCTGTTTTTTTAAAATTTTAATAGCTTTATTGAGATACAATGCACATCCTTTAAAAGGGAACAGTTCAGTGGTTTTTCATCAATTCGCAGAGCCCACTGCTGTATTTTACCACTTAAAATGTTTACCGTCTAAAGTTTATAAAACTCATTAGCTTTTTATTGAAAAGTAAAATAGAGAGACCAGACACAGCAGACCGGCAGACAGTCTAATGCTGTGCCTTTCGTTCTGGACTCTACTCTCATTTCCCAGCGTTTAATAGAACATTCCTTTCACATTTCATATGCAAAATACAACTCATTGTCACACTGAGTACCAGAAACTCAGTAGTAGGCCTTGAATTTAAACCATATCACAACCATAAAACTAGGCAAAAGAAAAGTGAAAATACTTAAATCACACTTTACTAAACTGACTGACGGGGCCGCTCCCGCCCTGCACACGCGACCTTCCATCTCAGTAGTAGGCCTTGAATTTAAACCATATCACAACCATAAAACTAGGCAAAAGAAAAGTGAAAATACTTAAATTACACTTTACTAAACTGACTGACGGGGCCGCTCCCGCCCTGCACACGCGACCTTCCATCAGGGTTTCTCGGGAAAATGAAAGAAGTCACAGCTGATATGGGAGAAATGGTTTTGTTGGATTTTTTTAAATTTATTTTCAGAGAGAGGTGAGGGGAAGGAGAGAGGGAAAGAAACATCATTGTGTGTTTGCCTCTCATGTGTCCCCCACTGGGAACTGGACTGCAACCCAGACATGTGTCCTGACTGGGAATCGAACCGCGATCCTTTGCTTCACAGGCCCGTGCTCAATCCACTGAGCTACACCAGCCAGGGCAGCTTTGTTGGTTTTTAAGACAATCAGAAACGGTTTCTTGAGAAGCAGCTTCTTTATCTTGTAATCAGAAAATTTGAGGCAAAAAGAGGAAATAGAAAAAGGATTTCACAAACACAGAGTTAAATATATGAATGCAGATTTTTTTAGCTATTGGGTATAAAAAGTAGTAAAAAATTAGACTGACACCTTAAATTTTTAATTTTTAAAAATTAATGATAAAAATTAAGGATAATTTCAGATTTTATTATTGTTTGCATCCTGGACCTGATCGCCAGGGTGAACACCAGACCCTCGCAAGAGGGCTGCAGGCTTCGGAAGCCAAGCCAGCCACAAAGAACAGACGGCTTTCTCACAGGGGAGCGGCAGACGCATGACAAAGTGCTCAACGAAAACTGCAACACCTGTCAGGATGGCTGCGCACAAACAAGGGCTGGTGAAAATGTGGAGACAGGGAAACCCAGTGCACTGGTGCTGGGAATACAGACTGGAGCAGCCACTGCGGAGGGCAGTATGAAGATTCCTAAAAAAATTGAAGTGGATCTGCCTTATGACCCAGCAAGTCCACTTCTGAGTATATAGCCAAAGAGGCCCAAAACACTACTTTCAAAGAATATATTCACCCCTGTGTTCCCTGCAGCATCATTTGCAATCACCAAGTTATAGAAGCAGCCCAAGTGCCCATCAGCAGATGAGGGGATAAAAAGTAAAGGTACATACATAAAATAGAACATTACTCGGCCATAAAAAAGAACAAAATCTTACCATTTGCAACAGTACAGATGGACCTAGAAGGTATTATGCTCAGTGAAATAAGTCGGGCACAGAAAGACAAATAAACGATTTCATTTATACATGGAATCTAAAGAACAAAGTGAACAAAACAGGAGAGACTCACAGATACAGATGGAACCAGAGGAAGGCTGGCAGGGGGCTGGGTGAAAAAGGCGAAGGGATGAAGAAGTGCAGATTGGAGTTACAAAACAGTCACAGGGAAGTAAGGCACAGCAAAGGAGCAGAATCGGTAATATTGCGATAGCTCTGCACGGGGCCAGGTGGGCACCGGGGTCATCAGGGGACACTGTAAACTACGTGACTGTCTGACCGCTATGCTGTACACCTGAGACTGATCCAAACTACTGGATGTAAACGGTAACTGAAAAAATACAATAAAAAGAGTGTCTCAAGTACTCATTATTTCATCACAAAACATCTTATGCATACTTAAGCTCACTCAGAAAGAAACAAAAATTTAAAAACAGCCTTTCTTTGACCTTTCAAACAAAAGAGTTAGCTAAATCACAATGATGGCAAAAAAAAAAAAAAAAAAGGCTGTTACACAAGATGATGCACTGAAGCATTATTTATCAGGAAAAAATACTAGATACCACTAATGCATTCAACTATAAGAAATTAGTTAAACACCCTGGCTGGTGTGGCTCAGTAAACTGAGTGCCCGCCTATGAACCAAAGTCATCGGTTCGATTCCCAGTCAGGCCACATGCCTGGGTTGCAGGCCCAGGTCCCCACTGTAAGGCACACAAGGCAACTACACATTGATGTTTCTCTCCCTCCCTTCCCCCCTCTCTAAAAATAAATAAATAAAACCTTTAAAAATAAATAAAAATAAATTAAATGTTTTATGGCACAGAAGGAAGAAGGACTATGCTTACAAAGAACTTTCTGATGACACAAGAATGTTTGGCATAAGTAGAACCTCAAAGTGAAAAGCAAAGGATACAAAAGGAGGCAACCCTGGTTACCGGAGCTGAACCCACTCCCAAAAGCGTGCTGCTCAGTCAGACAGCAGAGACCGGATGCGCTGTGTCTGGTGGGAAGAAGTTGTCCCTGCGCACCCCGCACTCCCAAACACCGTTAAACACCCTCGCCCCCGCGTGCTACCCCCAGAGATTACCAAGTTCTATAAAGCACTTTAAACATCACTTCTTAATGAACACACCTTTAACCCATTATTTGTGTGCACTACACAAACTGCCAAACATACTAGGTACCAGTTACTCTCAACACCACAGCAAACATGTACCGGGTTGGCCAAACAGTTCGTTCGGTGCTTCCTGTAAGACGGCTGTAGTGGCCCTTGGTTGTCTTTAACTTCATTCAAAACAAGTTTGTTAGGTTGTATTGTGACAGCTGTCATAGCAGCGTGCATTTAAAAAAACCTATAAAATGGTGAAATTTTCTGTAGCCATTTTAATCTTGAAGATGGAAGAAAATACATGATATTTTTGGCATATTATGCTTTATTATTTCAAGAATGGTTAAAAAGCATCTGAACTAAAAAAAAATTGTGCAGTGTATGGAGAAGGTGCTGTGACTGATCAACTGTGTCAAAAGTGGTGTGGGAAGTTTCACGCTGGAGATGATGCTCCACAGACAGGTAGGCCAGGTGAAGTTGATAGCGATCAAAATGAGATGTTACCCCTGGCTGGTGTGGCTCAGAGGATTAAGCGCTGGCCTGTGAACCGAAAGGCCATTGGTTCGATTCCCAGTCAGGGCACTTGCCTGGGCTGCAGGCCAGATACCCAGTGGGGGGCACATGAGAGGCAAACACACATTGATGCTTCTCTCCCTCTCTTTCTCCCTCCTTTCCCCTCTGTCTAAAAATAAAATAAATGGAATCTAAAAACAAAAACAAAAATGAGACGTAAATTGAGAACAATCAACATTATACCCCATGAGAGATAGCTGACATACTCAAAATATCCAAATCAAGTGTTAAAAATCATTTGCACCAGATTGGTTACATTAATCACCTTGATGTTTGGGTTCCATGTAAGCTAAGTGAGAAAAAACCTTTTCTTGACTGTATTTCTACATGCGATTCTCTACTGAAACATAATGACAACGTTCTGTCTTTAAAACAAATTGTGATAGGTGATGAAAAGTATTTACAATACTGTGGAACAGAAGCGATCGTGGGGCAAGCAAAATGAATCGCACCAAAAGCTGGTCTTCACCGACAGAAGGTGATGCTGTGTGTGATGGGACTGGAAGGGAGTCCTCTGTTATGAGCTCCTTCCAGGAAACCAAACGATTAATTCCAACAAGTGCTGCTCCCAGTTAGACCAACTGAAAGCAGCGCTAAACGAAAAGCATCCTGAACTAGTCAACAGAAAACACATAACCTTCCATCAGGATAACGCAAGACCACGTGTTTCTTTGATGACCAGGCAGAAACTACTACAGCCTGGCTGGGAAGTTCTGATTCATCCGCCATATTCACCAGACATGGCACCTTCAGATTTCCATTTATTTCAGTCTTCACAAAATTCTCTTCGTGGAAAAAAATATCAATTTCCTGGAAGACTGCAAAAGGCATCTGGAACAGTTCTTTGCTCAAAAAGATAAAAAGTTCTGGGAAGATGAAATTATGAAGTAAGTTGCCTGAAAGATGGCAGAAGGTAGTGGAACAACATATGTTGTTCAATAGTTATTGGTGAAAAGTGAAAAAGGTGTCTCTTATTTTTACTTAAAACCCAATGAACTCTTTGGCTAACATAATACTATAAAGTAAACAAATAATGAAATAACATGTTAAGAATACACTCCAAGTGGCAAGTGTCCCAAGGTACCTGGAAAACAGACAAACCCTGGAGCCCGTGAAGGGCTCGCCACTTGGGAGAACAGCAGCGCCCCCACAGCACGAGTGGGCACACAGTGAGGGATTCACGGTGCCACGCACACACACATCTCAGTGACATGTCCACAGGAAGACACACAGCACCAAAACATTACTTCTGAGTGGCATGACTACACTTAATTTCATCTTCGTAGTTTGCTACATTATCCCTTCTACAACGATCACACATTATTTTGAAAACCAGTAAATACTTTACAGTAATATGAAATCAGAGGTTTAAAAAGGCACAAAGTTCCACACATGTATGTAAGAATCACTGTGCCACAAAGAGCAGAGAACTCGTATTTACACAGAATTCTGTGAAAAAAGATCTGCCAGATCAGGTTCCAACCAGCTTCTCCCACACCTAGTGCCTCTGCTCTGGGGCACAGTTACACACCCTCCCCACAGGGGGCGCAATCTAGTCTGCTTCCTGCCTCATTTTACCGGCCACAGAGCCGGACCTCTCAATCACACAGGTGAGCTTCATACCAGGGAAAGCAACTAACAACACCAACAGTCCAAATTCAGAGCATCGCTGCTATTGATTTAGGACACAGTCCATGCATGGTGTTCTTGAACAAACTTCTCTATTATGTTGTAAGTTATCATAAGTTCCACTTGAAATTTGATTTTAAGTTTACAATTTGTAAAGTATAGACCAGAATTGGGGACAAGACCCTGCGATGAGTCAGCAATACCACTTAATTTAAAACTCCCTTTAAGTCCCTGTCAAGAAAACATCTAAACATATTAAAAGTCGCAAATGCATGAATTTTTAAAACAACAGTAAAAGAGCCCTGGCTGGCGTAGCTCAGTGGATTGACCTCAGGCCTGTGAACCAAAGCAAAGGATCAGGGTTTGATTCCCAGTCAGGACACATGCCTGGGTTGCAGGCCAGTTCCCAGCAGGGGACGCATGAGAGGCAACCATACATTGATATTTCCCTCCCTCTCTCCTTCCCTTCTCCTGTAAATATAAATAAATAATAATAATAACATCTTTAAAAATAAATAAATAAACCGACGGTGGAAGAGCCTGTTACCTGGGTCTGTGTTCGTACTTGCGTCCTGCCGCCCCGGTGCCCCCTTTCCCACGGAGGCCATGAAGTGCAGTCCAGCCGGAGTGGTGACATCGTCGTGCAGCATTTCTCAAACAGAACAGGAAACACGGGGGGGGCAGTGAGGTGACCATGGGGTCACCAGCAGCCCCAGGGGCCCTAGCTCACAGGAGGCGAGGTGTGGGTGTCAAAGGGGACTTTCTGAGAAGAGGTGGCGTCTCAGTGGGCGGGAGAAGGCAGCTCAGTGGAACCAAAGCCAGAGCCCTGGAGGCCCCTGTGCCCGGCCTCCACCTGGACGCTCCTCTGGCAGAGGGCAGCCCAGGGGTGGCTGGTGGGGAGTGATAGGGGCCCGTTGTCCTAGAAACACCTGCTCCGCCGCTGGGCACAGAGGCTCTGAGGGGGGGAGGCCGCGGTGAGGCCCCTGGAGGATGAGCTGTGGCACAGCACACCTCTGCACCTAGCAGCCCTGAGGGGTTACAAAGGGTGGAGAGCAGGCAGGGCTGGTGCAAGAGCTCAGCAGGAAGCAGGATCAGAGTTCAAAGTCTATTGCGGGAGTTTGGGTTTAGATGTGGATTTTCCTGGGTGACCACCCAGGGAGACGAAGCAGAAAGAGGTAGTATCAATTATGGTTATGTTGGAATATAATAAAAAACATGCATTTGGCCTTTGCCCTTGGTTCCAAGCGGAGTCCCTAAGCCCTCAGAAAGGCCCAAGTGATGGGAGTGTCTTTCAGTATTCACAGTGAGCGAACACAGCTGACCCCTAGAGAGCTCCCAGGTGGGATGGGCCCAGAGGACCAACCACGTGCTCAGAGGGTTACAACACTCAGCCCCACCCCACCGCTGGAGTGCAATCCCGTTGGCCAAGGCTGTCAGCAATCACGCCTATATAGTGAAACTTAAAAAAAATCCTGAAACAACAAGGCTAAGGGGGCTTCTGGGTTGATGAGCAAGTGGGGGTGCTGGGAGGGTGTGGGAGCTCTCAGCCCCCACCCCCAAAGCCTTGCTCTGTGCTGCTTTTCCATCCAAAAGTTCCTGAGTTGCATCCCCTGGAATAAAACTGCAATCATAAATGAATCCCCTTCCTGAGCTTTGGGGTTGCTCTAGCAAATTCGCAAACCTGGAAGAGGGGGTCATGAGAACCCCCACATTTGCAGCAATGTATCTGAAATGGGGAGTCTTTCAGAACTGAGCCCTTAATCTGTGGGGTCTGTGTTGGAATTAAACTGAATTAGTTGTATGATACCCAGTTGGTATCAGAGAACTGGAGACTTATTGTTTGGGAAGACACAGGACACACTCACCGGGGTACCACGCAGTCATTAAACATGACCCTGTAGAATATCACCTAGCTGACTACTAGTATGTGAAAACAAGTCATTTATAAACAAGTACAAGAGGTGTTCTTTATATACAGGAGCCTAGTGGCACAATCGGGTAGTACACAGTGTGTGTACTAGTCGATGTATTTGCAGATATACGTGAACAGGGGTATTCAGAAAATAACCCCTAAAAGAACGTAACACTAGCTATCTCTAGACAGAAAGATGATGGGAGATTTAAATATCTTTTTATTCCCTATTTGTGCTTTCTAAATTTTCTCCAGTGCACATAGATTACCTTTAATAAGCAAAAAAAAATGTTATTAAGAATGAAAAAGGGTTTTAAGACATGTGGGTGGGAAAGGAGAATACAGGCGGTTAGAAAGCTGAGGGACGGGAGCTGGGCAGGTTACTTAGGGGACAGCGGTGTGGTTTAGGAGCAGAGGCCAGGTGTGGGGCGGGGGGGGGACCTGGTCAGGGACCAAGTGAAGAAATGGGGCAGCGGAGGAGGCAGATGAATCAGGGTTGACTCCGCTCCACCAGGCAAGAGAAGGTGGCATCACTAACAGAAAGCCATCAGCTTAAAATCGGGACGTGTGGAATTTAAGGTGAAAGTAGAACAGAAAGATGAGAGAGGGCAGGTGTGTGTCTGAGTGTCACCCAAATAATTTAGGAGCTGAAGTCAAAAGAGCCAATGGTCTCACGTACCCAGGAGTGTTTGTGGGTATGTGTGGGAAAACTCCAGGGGAGAAAGCCTTGGGGAATACGTACACTCCTTCAGGGGCAGGAAATAAACTGACCAATTGAAGAAAGAAAATGATTTTCTTTCTGTTTACTATCCATAAGCAAGTCACCTTTTCTGAACCGACTGCTTCACTTTAATGTGCATGTATTTTCTATGATGAATCTGTTCCTAGGCACGTTTTTCCCACAATCCTTTTCAGGCCTTGTGTGTCTGCACCAGGGTGTGATCCTGACTGATCGATCGCACTGCTCTAAGGTAGCGGCTGGCTAACAGGCTCTGTAAGGGGCAGAGAGTAGGTGTTTTAGGCTTCGTGAGCCACATGGTGCCTTGCTGCAATGAGGGGGCCCACTACAGCGTGAGCGCTGTCAGGGATGAGCCATAAACTAAAGGGCACGGCTGTGTTTCCGGAAAACTCGGCTTCCGAAACAGGCAGGGTCTGCATCTGGCCTGCCCGCCACAGCTCGTCAAGGAGAAGGCATCAGCACACACGCCCCACCTTGTCAGCGATGTGAACACTTAGTCCCATGGTTACCGGCATATTTCTAGACCTCTGGAAAGCTGAGGTTAACTCTGAACGTGGACATTACACGGATCACACATATACATACCAAGGGGGACTTCGAAGTTGTCCAGAGGCTGGGAACCACGCTGTTCTTGCTGCTCCTAATGAATCCCCAAGTGATCAAACTCAGATTAGCTCAATGGCATTTATTATTTTGGAAAAAAAATACATAATAGCTAAGGAAACTCTTAATTCTTAGGAATAGGTTCAAATCCCCTAATTTAGAAATATTTATTTACTCTATCAACTTATTTACTCTATCAAAGTAACTCTACCAAGGACTCACTAAACACACAAGTCAAGCAATAAAAAGAAGAGCATTCTCAATTTAATGCAGGAGCTAAATTCCTAAGTGCAATTCTCTGCTGCCCAGCAGCCTTCACGCCCAGACAGAAGCCCCGTCGCACCAAATAATTCATGCACTGAGCTGAGCCTGCAGGCACGCTTTTGAGGGCCTCCTGAAAATGGACCTTTTAAAAATTCATGTAAACAAAACCGTTTCGGTTTAATTTGTTGTTGCAAAAACAGGGAAATAGGGTCACCAAATTTAGAAGAAACACTTGAAAAGATCTGATTGAAAATATATGTTACAGCAAGTGGGGAAAGAAGGGGAAGGGTTTAGTCAAGGAATAGGTGTAAACGACCCACGGACAGGGACAAGAGGACAGGGTAGGGACTGCCCCTGAGAGCAGGGGAGAGCAAAGGGGGCACATTGGGACAACTGTAAGAGAACAACAATAATACAATAAATAAAATTAAAAATGAAATGAAAATTTAAAAATAAAATAAAATACCAAATTAACCACATTATTTACCAAAACATTCTCTGTATTATCTCCATGATTTACAAATACAAAGTGGAATGTTAGATAATAGACTTGGTTTTGAAAATGTAAATATACTAAAACATAAAAAAATAAAATATTGGTTACATAATAAACCTGTATTGGAGATATCTTAGAGGAACCTCAAAGACATAAGTTCACTGAAATAAGAGAAACCCAAATAACATATAAAGTGCATTAAGATGTCGCAGAAAAAAGCAGAGTGATACAGGAACTAGTATAAAGGACACATGGACAACAACTAAGGGGGGTGGAAATGGGAGGGAGGTGGGGAGCACTGGGGGGGGTGGGCTGGGATGGGAGTAAAAGACAGAAAACTGTACTTGAACAATAATTAAATAAATTTTTTTAAAAAGCAGAGTGATTCCAAGTATAAGAAAGTCAGGTGGGCAGCTGCTCTAAGCAGAGTTTGATTTACCCCAAGCTGCTTCCACTTCACAGCTGCATGACTGCTGCTCCCGGTGGGAGAGGCCAGGAAGGGACTCTATCTACACGTAAGGACGTAAGGACGCAAAGAGTCCGCTACTCACGGCCAGCGGAGATCTCCCGCCAGCAGCGGCCTGGACATGCTGCCAGACAGTCTGAACTCTGCACGCGCACACCGGGAGAGGGCCCAGCACTGTGTGTACCTTGGGCTGCGGACCCACTTCTGAATCCCCGTCTGGCTGCAGAGCCACGCCTGGCCTTGTCCCTCGTTTCTCTGCTCGCTGTTCTCGCAGCGCTGTCTCCGCTCGTCGTCTCTGCCTGTGACACACAACAGGCAGAGTGTCCGATGCAGTCTAACTATTTTAGAAGCATCCACTTTTCGTCTGTATCATGCAGTATAGGGAGACTGTTGTGAAAGTACTGCCAATAAATTATTTTCAATGGCGTTTAGTTAAATTAGCAAGATATTCTGCCACGATATAAGCAAACAGAGTAAAGTCAGGGACACATGCGAGTTATTTTTAGCTCCTCTCCTGCTGAACTGACTTTTCTGTGTAAATCACCGGAATCTCAGGTCAGAATTTCACCCTGCAGGTGATTTTCAAACTCCTTTTCCTGCAGATTCTAAGCTGGCCCCAGAGGCCCTATCGGATGCCTCCATTTGCGTATTGGAGGAAGTTGAGCACAGTTAGTCCCCTGTGAAATCCCTGTGTGGGGAGGGGCAGGGAAGAGGGCCTAAAAAGTTAGAAGACCTACTTTGAAGATGGAACAGCTGGAAGAGTGGGTGGAAGGAAGAAACCATTTCCAGAAAGAGAGCACTGACAACAGAGTATGGAGTCTGATAAATGTGAATGTTTTATTTCCTAGACTCAGAAACAACCTACTGGTCAATACACATGGGGAACACCCACTACGAGTGAAAGACTGTAAATGCTCCTCACTGTAAATCCCGGCCTCCTTTTCACCTGCACACTTCCTGTGTCCTGAGACAGTTCCCGTACTTGGCCTCCGGCCTCAGGGACAAGAGTGGGGCACAGGGAGGATGGACAACAACGAGCATCCGCTCGGTGTCCTGCTGAGGACAGGGACTACTGCAGGGCAGCGCAAGTGTCGGTGCCGCAGCAGTAAGTGTCCGTCCTGTTACAGGGAGACGTGAGCAAACCCTCCAGCCCGGGAAGGCCAGAAAAGAACTTAATAAAATGAAAAAAGAAATAGTATTTGTCTCACAACACAGGAATTTCCCTCCTCACAAGATGTGTTCAAATGCAAGACTCCTGACAAGTCTGCAGTTGTGTTTGGGTAGGAGGTCAAACCAATTAACTTCTAAGTTCCACCCTTACATCTGTATTATTGCACCTAAAAATCCTGCAGGTGTGTGACAGTCTCAAATCAAATGTCACTTGAAACTTGCCTTTTTTTGCCGTCCTTGCCTTGCCTCGCTTCAGAGGGTCCCACTACGCCCTTGACCACAGGAAGGGGTCCGGGATCGCCTGGCTCAGGTACACCGTGTGCAGGTTTCGGCCAGCTTTGTCTAAACTCACCGAGATTTTCCACTGCAGGACGTTGTGGGGTTTTGTACTATGAGGAAGAAAGAAAGTACATTAATGTAAAACTACACACCTCAACTATGCAGTAAGTTAAAAAATTGAGAAATATAGTTAAATTAAACTAAGATGCCCAAGAGATGGAACATGTCCAAGGAAACAAATTGGACAGGTAAGATGAGTAACCTGATCTTAAAGAATAAACGGTTTGGGAGTGCTGGACATTTCAACTGGGTTGTCCTTTTTCAAAAGTTAAGTTGGAAGTCCTCATCGTCTTAATTTATTTTCCACATTAAAGATCTTCCCTCTCACAAACGACATTATGAGTTTTTGGCTGAAGCAGTCTGGACAGCGGCGGGACTCAGAGGGGCGGAGACTGGGGCGGAGCATGTCTCGAGGTGTTTGTCCCCACAGGTGCTGTGGGTGGGACCGGGGAGTTGGTGATCTTACTCTAACGACATTTCTGTAAATTCTTGATGAAATCTGTTTTTCTACTCCATAAATCCTTTGTTTTCTGTTCATAATGTATTCAGAAGAAAAGAAGTCATGGGAAGTAAGTCATTTTTCTAAGAAATGACCGTTTCTTTTTTCCCAAGACCATCTTCAAATCTTAAAAGTGCACCAGGAAATACATTACTCAGTGACCTTCCTACAATGTACCAACAACTTACAAAGTTAGAACCTAAACAATTTGAATTTCATCAATCGAAGGTTTGAGTGGGTTTATCAAAAGTTAATCTTCCATGTTTTAAGTACTTCAAAAAGACATCATTTTTGTATGTGCAACACAGACCTGGGTCAATTTAACAATTTTAAATTAACCTCTAACAGATTTGGAGGCAATCCTGTCACAATTGCTAAGAACCTAAAACAATATTCTCTATCTTCTACACACACACACACACGAAGAAACATATTGGTCATTTATTTTACTGCTTATTTCTTCTGTGAGTAGAAGACATGTATGTGAAAGAGCTCAGCAAATTCTGGTATTGATGTACAAGAAAGGCCTAAAACCTTTAAAATCACCAATTATTATTTTAAACTGGATTTTTAGGTGCTGCCAGTCACAGCAGCATTATTTTTACAAGAGAAACGTGCGGCAGTGTTTCCCGGGATGCTGGCGTGCACAGTGCGAGACGCACAGGAGGACCGCGCGGCTGCACCTCCCGGTCAAAGCGATTACCGTGTCCTCCTGCGGGAGGCAGGAGGGAAGTAACGGCAGGCCCGGGCATCTGCTCCCTTCGGCTGCGGCTCTGAGAGGTGCTGAGGGGGCTGTGACTGGTGTTCTTGAGACGGAGGGAAACACACAAGGAGGTCTAAGTTGCAGGTGCAATAATGGAAATCCACAGGAATTCTGAGCAGACGTCTCAAGGGGCCCTGGCTTCATATCAAATACTTTCTCGGGCTTTACAAATATTGAAGAGTCCCACTGAGGTGTCAAGCGTTCTTGTCCAACACACTGATCCAAGGTCACGTGCTTAGGGGTTTCTGTAACGATAGTTTCCGCCCCTCTCTTCTGCTCAGGGGCCTTCAGCATGGCTCCCGAGTTGTGCTGGCTCAGGTCCAGATGGGGTGCTGCGGGAGTGTGCGCTGCTCCCAGCGGCAGAGGAGGCTGGGAGGAAGCAGGCGGCCCCCAGGCCTCTCTTGGCTGTGGCAGAGGCCCACGGGGAACTTGCAGAGCTCTTCCTGCTGGGAAGAGAAGGGGCTTAAATTTGTGTTTAGGCTGAAAATGAAGCAAAGGAAAACCACCATCTGGTCTGAAAGCATTTTCAGCTGGGAGAAATCTATGTGTGTTCGGAATGGCAGATGTGAGCAAAAGCTGGAGGTGGGTATTTGCAGCAGGGGCTGGGGGAAAGGAAGTCGTTGGTAAGCTTTCAGATGCTGCAGGCAGTCCACTGTTCTGGGGTTGGCCTTCCAATGGACTAGGAATACTCCCACGTGGAACATTCTGGAAGAAAATAAAAGCTATTATGTATTACAGACCCCTTACTTTGTAAATGGTGTTCAATATGTCTTGGAGAAGTTAGGATGTAATAACCGCCAAAACTGTGGTTGACTCAAATAACAAAAACCACCACCAAGCAACGAGGATACCTCTAGTGGCATTCTGGAATGCGTTACCTGTGACTCTGCACTGCTACTTTGACCAGACTGGGTAACCGCTTTCTGAGAGGGCGGGCTCTTCCTGCCAGGCTCTCCCAGGAGCTCTCCCACGGACGGCGGTTTAGCGAACGGCCTCTCCTCCAGACTCCCACTGGTCTCTTCAGCATCGCCACTCCCTCCCGTCGGGTGCGACACCTGGCTTCCCACCAACGGCACAGACGGAGACTGCTGAGCACACCGATGTCTGCCAGGGAGGTTAGCAAAGGACGACCCTACTATTTGCATCAGACTCAGGAAGTTGATCTGTTGCAGCTATGACAAAATAAAAATTAGTGAAACATCTGAAACTCTGGTGAAAAAAACCCGTAAAGAATCAACAACCATCGGCTGAGTACTCCACAACAGTCAGACCATCTCAGTTACCAGCAGGAGGCACAGCTGCAGGAGATTTTTTTTTAAATGAGGAAGAAAAGAATAGCTTCCTGTCTTCAAGGAGCTGTCAACTGGGCACATGCACTCACGAATGAGACTTGGGACTATTTGTAAAGCAGTTTACACAAGTGTCCCAGGGATCATGAAGCAGTGACCGATGGAGTGGGGTGAGGGTAACTGAAGAATTCCTAAAATGGGCATGTGCATGAACAGGTGTTCAGGAAACAAACCAGCAGAGATGAGCAGTCAGGGAAGAGAGAGGAAGACGCCATGGAAGGGCAACAGGGTGGATGGTGAAAGCACGCACCACAGGTGGACAAACTCCACCTTGCGCCAGACCACCCGAGCAGCATTAAATCCCAGGGGCCGGGTCATAGCCCACACCAGCAAACTCAGGACATCTGGGAACGGGAGCCAGGGTTCCTATGTTTTAAGGTGGCTAGGTAGCTTTTCCCAACCTGGGCCCAACACAGTGCCTCCCACCAAGAAGAGGGGCAAGAAGGGCCATTCTGCCACCAATGAGTTAGTGACCAGCGAATACACCATCGGCATCCACAAGCGCGCCATGGAATGGGTTTTGAGAAGCATGTCCCTCGGGCACACAAAGAGATCTGGAAATTTGCCATGAAGGAGACGGGAGCTCCAGATGTGTGCACTGACACCAGGCTCAACACAGCCATCTGGGCCACAGGAAGAAGGAGCTGCCTGTACTGTAACCGGGTGCGGTTGTCCAGAAAACATAGTGTGGGTGGAGCTTCACCAAACGGGCTCTCTACGGTGGTCACCTACGTACCTGTCACCACTTTCAAAATCTACACACAGTTAATGTGGATGAGAACTCACTGCTGATTGTCGAGTAGTGATAAAATTGGGGGAAAAACATAACCAGGTGCTTTAAATGTACAGAAAAGCTTGGGAACCACTATCAGCCACTGGCTTAGATGGAACGGGAGATCCATGCAGCTGTAATGAGGGGACAGGTCAGTGCAGCGGTCCTTGTCATGGCACGCCTCACTGAGCACCCTCCCCAGAGCTGCTGATGTCAGTAGGTCCTGGGGTGGGGCCTGAGGGTCTGTACTTCAGACACCTAGGCGACGGTGATGTCACCACTCCGGGACCACACTGTGAGGACGAAAGAACTTGCGAGGGGGAGGTAAAAGCTGGTGGAGGGGTCTTTCATGTCCAACAGGAGAATTTGCACCTCGTAAAACAAACCAACAGAGAAACACTGCAGGTTAGAAACAGGTGATGTTCCCTTCAATTATAAAAGGAATGCATCCTTATTGCAGAAAAAAGGAAAAATAAAAACCATTCATAATCCTATCCCAAAAGATAGCTGACATTTTCTGTGTATTTCACTATTTGTATTTTAAAAAAATATATCAAATAGTATACAAATTTGTACCTGACATTTAAGCAGAAAAATACAGTATTAAAACAACATCTGAAGAGGAATGTCCTAGAAAAAGCACAGAGAAGATCATGGACGTGTGAAGCCCTCAGACTCTATGTAAGGTTGGCTATGGCGAGAGAAATAGCAAGTGCTGTGCTGACATGTGGGCAGAAGGACCAGGAGGGCACCCCCAGTACATTGGCACGGGCAGAGAAGGCAGGCAGGGATGACTCTGGGACAGCAATCCTTTAAATCTTTTGTGTCTTCTGAATTGTTTACAGATTTTGTTAAATACACAGGCCAGGGACCAGCAAAGTGCCTAGGTAATCTAAAACACAAGTTTGAGAAATGCATCTGAAACTTCAAGCTGTTAAAACAGGTAGTGTTACTAAATGGAAAAGGAAAAACCTGGAGAGAATAAGAATAAAGTCGGTTTCAGTAAGTTTCATAGGACAGTGAAATGTGTGGAAAAAGTATTATCAGGGCTGGTAGTTCAAAGAAATCAAGAATCACCAATAAAAATCACCAATTTAATACTGTATTTTTCTGCTTAAATTGGCATACATCAAATGAGTGGAGGATTAGATGTGAGGGAAACGAATGTTTAAGGGAGCAAAGCAGGAAAGGCACGTCATTGCAAAGGTTTGGTAGACAGGGAAGAGGAAAACCAGGTGAGAACAGGGAGATGGAACAGGGAGATGAAAGGCACTCACGATTACGGCTGGCAATTTCAAAACAAGCCAAAACCGGGTTTGAAGGGAAGAACTGTGACGTGACAGGCTGCGTTAGGAAGCACTCTGGGCACCTCTGACCATCCCCCACCCCCCCTTCGTGCAGCTCCGCATCTCCAAGTGCATCTCCAAGTGCATCTCCAAGTGCGCAGTGAAAGGCGTCATTGTGAGAAGCAGGTAGCCCAGCCTGGACTCTGGGCCATCAAGTCCGAACTGACTAACACAGAGGGCACCAAGTGCAGACACCAGGCAATTAACGTCAACTCATCCATTCTGGAAGTCGGCTTCCATTTAAAAATCTTACGTAGATATCACACATAGACTTATCACATGTATTTATATGGGGATGTGCTTACCTGGACTAACATAAGCATTTCGTCTTGGAGCACCTGCCTGACAGAATGGGAAGAATCTGGTAGCTGAGCCCTGGGTCCCTCTCTCTGGGGCCGGGGTGCTGGCACAGGTGTGTGTGAAGTGTCATTGGCTCCATTTGACACCAGAGGTGGGTCTGTGGAAGACGCCTCTTTAACTGCAGAGATCCACGGACTGCACGGGGGCGTGTGTAAACAAAAACCACACAGTAATCAATAAAAAGTTAGAAGTCTGTGGTCTGAACATTGTGATCCTGCCTGCCTTTTTCTTCTACTTTCAAAGCTCTCTGAAAGTTTTCAGGAAATTTAGACCTGAAGCCTCTCTCTCTGTTCCTCACACCTGGTGCCCACCAAACACCTGTGGTCAGCAGTGACGCATCTTGGTGTCTCCATTGAGAGACAGGTGCTGTCCAGCCCACATGGCTCCTCCCCGGGGTTACAGCCCGGAACAGGTCACACTTGTGCTTTACTCACACGGCCCCAGAAGGGCCTGAGTTTGAAACCTGTGTGGTCATTCTAATTAGCTGTATAGACTGTAGTTTGGTTTAAGAATATTTTCTTTGACTAAACTGAAGGATCCAGAATGGAGTTAAGAAAATAGGAAATGCATGGGTTAAAAAAATGTTTAATTCTAAGATGGAGACAGTGAGGCCCCATGATTGTCATTAGAGGTAAAATAACAGTTTGTGAACATTTCATTTCCCAGCAAACTAGAGAGTTTATATTTAAAACTAAACCCTAACCAACAAAAGAAATTGAGCATGTTTTTTACCTTTTTGCAGGATGACGCCCAATCACCTGAGCTACATCGTTCGGGCCACTTTTCACTTTTTTAAATAAAATGATTATTTGGAGATGGTTCCTTACACATAGCAGGCACTCTATGTGTTCTAATCAAGTCAATTTTTTATAAACTAAATAAGGGAGTGGGCATTATCTTATAGAAAGAAAATGATCGCTATCTCTGAAAGGAAAAGAACCTATTAAACTGCATCGACATTTATTTGGGCTTACTCTCATTTCCTTTCAGCAATATTTGCCTCTTATCAAACATCTGATGTCCTTAATGACAAAACGTTATTTGGAAAACCCATGAAAAAGAGGCATCACAACTGACTTTCCTGCTTTAAGATGACTTGAAGTCAGCCCTTGCTTTCATCAGTAGCAAGAAGATACACTCTAATTATGGGTATTTTCTAAGGAAAGCTGGGTTATACTATCCTCCTTTTCCAGCAAGATTTCTGTACACTAAGAGCACTATTCAACTTCCGTATAAGAAATTTAAAAGACAGACCTGGCTGAGTCTGTTCTATGAGAATTAAAAGCATTTGAGCCCTGGCTCTGTTGGCTGGGTGCCTCTGTTGGTTGGAGCGTTGTCCCATGCACCAAAAAGTTGAACGTTTAATCCCCGGTCAAGGCATATACTTAGGTTTCGGGTTCGACCCCAGGTCAGGGGGCGTATGGGAAGCAACCAATCGATGTTTCTCTCTCTCTAAAATCGATAAACATATCCTAGGTGAGGATTATAGAAAAATTTTAAAAAGGCATTTTCTTTAAAGATTTTATTTATTTTTATATTTTTAAAAGATTTTACTTATTTTTAGAGAGAAATGAAGGGAAGGAGAAAGAGAGAAACATCAGTGCATGGTTGCCTCTCATGTACCCCTACCGGGGACTTGGCCTGCAAGCCAGTCTGTGCCCTGACTGGGAATCAAACCCGTGATCCTCTGATTTGCAGGCCAGCACTCAATCCATTGAGCCACATCAGCCAGGGGAGGGGAAAAAAAGCATTTTATGTGAAAATCTTTTAGAGGCTGAAAGTGAGCAACAGCCACACCTTTCGATAATACAGCCACTACTTTTCCAGAAAAGACTGTCCTAAAATAATTCCCACGTCTTTACAACACGCCTGTTCAGAGGAACATCTTTCAATAGTAAACTTAAAGGTGTCATACATGTGTCCCTGTGCTGTGTTTTCAATGCTGCATATTGTTTTCACTCTATTCTCATAGTTTTTGGTGAAAACATTTAGTAATTATTTCAAAATGGTACAGTAGGCATCATTTCATTCTCTTATCCATTTATAAAACACAATTAAATGGTACAGTATGCAAAAATCCTTACCTAGAAATTTCTGAACTTGTGTCTGCACAAAATGAATCAGGAATGGTGTGTTCAGGATTTGAAAAGTCTTCAATCATACTATTATTAAGGATTAATAATCAATTAGGAACTAAGATGTTCTTCACATTATCTAAGGTACAACCGATTTAATGCTCAGCCATCTCAGAGTATAAACATCCTCTAATTCTGTGATGTTTACCTCATAATTACAATCTATTGATGCTTGTTTCCATGGCAATTGGTCACAGATTCAAATTAAAGCAAACACTGTGTCTGGACAGCACAACTCGTCGACCTGCGCACTGTTGACCTGACCGCTCAGCCACAGAGACGATAAAATCGCAGGTGAGGGCGGAGAAGCCAGGTTGGCTGGGGCTTCAGATACCCCCAGGGAAGACACAGGCCCTTTGCTCAGAACAGGACAGAGCCCGTCATCACATCCAAAACCTTAAGGATGAATTTGTAATAGAAATACCTATATTACTTATAAAGGCACACGACAAAGAATAAATATATTCTTTTTGTTACTTATCCACAGAATAACTGAAAAAATTTGTATATGAAGACAAAATCTAATTATGTTGCCTCTCTTATGCAAGTAATTCTAAAAGTCTATGCTTTTCAAAAGTCAGCTCTCCTTGAAACAACAAGCTAGCCAGCAGAGTGTATGAACATCGCAGCCTTGTGAACGGTGCACAGCAATCATGCCACAACGGTGCAAGATTATATACATAAAGTGGTTCATAAGGGCTCTTTATTCGATCCCACAAAAGTGGAATCAGTGGGCGGTGCTGGCTCCCGGACTAGCTGCTGAGCAAACCCTGGTCTTCGCACAGCTACTCTTTACTTCACAAAGGCTGATTGTGACCGGAGAACAGCAGGTCTGTTAGACAGCTGTTCATTTCACTCTACTGAGGTTTAGGATGTAACATTCACTAAAAATCAGCACTTCCACTGCTCTAAACTGCAGTTACAACTTCACTAGGAACACAGTGCCGCCAAGATGTCTGTATGTAGATCACAAGAAAAAAAATCTGCCTGTGAATCTTCAAGTGAAGCCCCCGTACTCCCCCCGCTCACCCTTTCTGTTCAGTTGAATTCTCTGCCACGCGTGTCTCCAGTGGTTCCTCCCTCGGACACTGGACCCCTCCCGTGGGGCGCCGGTGAAACTGATGGTGCCCAATGGAAAGAGGGGAAATGAATGGGTGTTACTGTCGTAGGTGTCTTGAGTTTCAGTTAAGCCACTCACTCAGAGTGACAGCAGATTCAAAATAAGCGAGAAACCAATGCATTAAAATGCAGGCCCATCCTGCTCTGACCAGATCTTTATACCGTGTGACTTGCTTCTGGCTCCTCCCCCTGGGCCACTGAGCATATTAAATACAGCACTACATACAGCCAATGTACCCACATAAGTGGGTACATTGTGAGAACAACTATAAAGGAATTGTTTCAATAAACAGAAATGTCTGTGTTCTACTTGGAAATCCAGTGTGTTCGGTTTTGAGAAAACAAATAGTACATAAAAGTGCATATATGTGCAAAAACTGCACATTACAATTGAATTATATATTCTGAATAAAGAATACCTCCACACTCTTGATTACAGTAATTTGCTACAGCACCTCATGAGGTAAGAATTTCATTGCCCGAAATGAGAAGACACCCCACCAACCACAGACTCCCTGTGAAGGGCAAGCGTGGCCGGCACAGCTGCGCTCCGCCACTCCCAGTGGGCGTGGCTGGGTGTTCTGAGTGAGCAGGCTTCTGGGGGATTGGAACAATGCCCCCGCTAGTCACTGACTTACTTCTTCTAAGGGCTGTGGGGAAGTCTGCATGCAGGTGGCCACAGCGGGGCTTCGGAGACTTCCCATGGGTTCTTTGGCATCTTCTGTAGGGAAGCAAAGAGGAAGAGAAACTGACCATTGAAAAAGAATCATTTTGTTAGGTGGTTCAGGGATATTACAGGAAAATATTTAATGCCAGAAATATTTTATATTCTCCCTACAGAAACATTCTTTGGAAATACCTGGAGATAACCCCTCTTCATCCAATGATTCTGAAATAAGCCTTGAGAGGCCTCAGATGCCTGTACAACTCTCGAAAAACACCAAGAACTCCTATCTCAGGGAGACTGCCAAGGAAAAGTCTGCAGAGCCGGCATCCAGAAAACAAGAGGCCCATAGCAATGGCAGGAGTGAGGCATGGGGCCTAATAACTTAAATTCAGGCTAGGAGTTGATGTGTTCAACATTTCATAAATATCAAATTGTCCTAATTTTTGGTTTTAGGCCATTATAAATGTACTAATTTGGATATGACTAAATAAGTTATTGAGAATAATCATTCATCAGTTCTTCATCACACTAATAAAGCCAAACAAAAAAATTAGCCATGCAAACTAACCTTCATCGTCTGATGGGTATGTATTCATTTCCTCCTGTGTAAATGCTTCTGTTCCTAAAAGATTTGCATCGATATCTATAAATTCTTTTTCAGTACCATCAGTGACAGAAATAATACCGTTGCATTCTTCTATTTCAGGAGTTTTGGCTTCAACGGGCATCCTACTGACAAAAATGAAGCAGCTAAAATCATAAGTCATTCTTGGAAACAAAGAGCTTGCTTTCAATTGATTCCATTCACTGAGAGAGAATGAACTTAGTTTTTATATTCACACAGAATCTGGTGTTTTTACCCTTGTCTGGGCCACAGCAGAAGCTCAAAAAAAAAAAAAAAAGGCCTCACAATGAATGGCTGAACATCCCCAATGTTATTTACTCAGAATATTAGAATAAGGTCAATTCATCTAAGTCCGCCATTCTCGCAGAGGAGTCTCCCAGCCTTGGGATTCAAAGGCTTTCTTTGCTCCAGCATTGCTCCAAGTGCAAGAACAGATGAAACAGTCAGTTCAACTTCCTCTAACAGTGGCAATCACTTGACACAATAAAGGGCTCTCTCAGGATGAATTCGTTCCTCTCTCAGAAGACAGAAGACAGACTAGCAGGGCAGAAACATACTTTGCAATGACTTGTTAAAGCACTTTAGAAAAAACTCACTTCCTGGTTTCCCAGTTCAAAGAAATACCCAGTCCTTTAGCTTCCAAGGGTTCAATTCTTCCCTTTAAGCCCAAACACCAACAAGAAACGTATCATCCACTGAACAGAAGCCTGCAATCAGCAACTTACTTCAAGATGCTTTGACGAGCTTCGTCGTGACCCTGTCTCTCCTCGGGCCCACCACCGTGAGTGGGCCCTGCCACCACCACACAGCCATCATCGCTCTTGGGGTCACTCTCAGCTTCAGGTCCACTCTGATGGCCAGCAGAAGGACTCTCTGGCACCTAAAACAAGCCATTTGTAGGAGACTTCATTACTGAACCACATACTTTTCATTTTGCCTTTACATTATTAATACTTTCTGTAGAATTTCTCCTGGTTAAGTTTCTTATTTCTTTGTCAAGCATAGAGCGCACATCTACAGCTCAATACTTGATGTTGAACAGTGATCAAGCCTTTATTCCACCTGGAAAAAGCAAACCTGGCTGCCTAAGTGGTACTCGAAAGAAACCAGCCTTACAGACTTGTAAGGGAATCAGCGATGGTTTCAGACCACAGAAAAAACAGCAGTAAAAATGAAACGTGGCTTTCGTTGAATTCTCTTTACTATATAATAAAGACATTAAATAATTATTTCAAGGTGACACAGTAGGCAAATATATAGAGAGCTAAAAATACAATGGATGTAGATCTTTTATCTCTTTTTTACATATTTAGGTAGGCACTACCCAGAAACACAAATTTCAGCAACAACAAATATCACAGTATCTTAAAAACTACCTTAGAATAGCAGAAATTGATCTTTTTAAAAACCTGCAAAACCTCAAAAAATAAAACGCCCCCCCAGCACACCCTTCATCCTAGAATAAACTATTCTTAAATGAAAGTACTTTAAAACAGAACAAATGCAGAAGGAGAATATGGAGAGGGAGGCTAACCACAGTGACAGAGAAGCTGCGGAGCTCCCCTCCTACAGACACACTAAATGTACAACCACACACCCGGCAATTGCCGTGGGAAGAACCCACAACACAGCGCTCTCCTACACCTCGGGTAACTGAGCCAATAACCACACTGAAATGGGCAGGAAAGGTTGAGATGCATGTACCACGCACCCCACCCCAGACACAGGGCCTAGTCCCTGCTTCCCTCTCCAACCTTTAAGGTTTGGACCCCACATGCAGCACCCAGACTTTTAAGACTCCCCTTTGAGGGACAGGACCTCAAAACACCTAGCTGTGCAAGTCAGGGAGGCTTGCATCCATGAGCCCCATGAGACCACAGAAAACCAAGAAGCCAGTTTAGCAGGTATGTGAGCATCGCCGCAGCTCTCCCCACTGGGCTCAGCCCAGAGAGACAGGCAGGGACACCCGCCCCCTCCGCCCTGCTTCTCCTGGAAGGGGTCCGCTTGCACACTATGCACGCTATGCACACCGCTGCCTAAGAGCCAGACTTCTAATTTAGCACACACCTAGGGGCTGGCTAGCACCCTTCCCAGGACCAGGAAAGCTGAGGGCCACCTCCCACCCCACCTTCGCCACCTTGCCCTAAGTGGCCAGGATCCCCCTAGAAGAAGTTTGCACACACATCTGGCACCCACTTTTGCAGCTGCTGACTGAGGGATGGGTTCCAGGTAACCTGTCTCTGCAAGCCAGCGGAGCTCGCCTTCAGGAGGCCCACAGGGTTGCTGCAGACCAAGCAGCAGTTCTTACTGGGTGCAAGGGCACCCCCTGTGGCTACAGACCCAGGCCTAGTGTCCAGAGCCGGTGGACACCCACCTCCTGTTCCTCCACAGCAGGGCCTTCATGACATACTTTCACTCATGCTGACTGAGGGTCCAGCTTCCCATCGGCCCGCATCTAGGCAATAAATGTGATCCACCCACCCCATGGGACACTGAGAGACCCTTGGAGCCACTAAGAACAGAGGAGGAGGCTTGGACAATCACCAAGGTTTCAGGGACAACAAAAAGCCCAAGGCAGGCTGACTGACAAGATGCCTCTCCTATACAAGGCCACCCTGTCCAGCCTGGGGAAGGTGCTGTTTCATCCTGCTGTTTCATGCAGGAGCCAACCCAGGGTCAAGGAGGTGAGGGACCTAAGGACTAGGTTCCACACAAACAAGGTAATTCTCCAGAAACAGATCTTGTAATAGCACTTAAAATAATCTTCTTTTTCCTTTGTTTTATAAACAGATACAAAACTGCAAAACCTAAAGGCCTCTATGGAAATACTTTTACTTTAATTACTTTTAAAAATTTGCCCTGGCTGGTGTCCCTTAGTGGATCGAGTGCAGACCTGCAAACCAAAGGGTTGCTGATTCGGTTCCCAATCAGGGACCTGGGTTGAGGGCCAGGTCCCCAGTAGGGGACGTATGAGAGGCAACCACACAGTGATGTTTCTCTCCCTTTCTCCCTCCTTTCCCCTCTCTCTAAAAATAGATAAAATTTTTTTAAAAATTAGAGGAACCACTTGAAGCAAAAAAGAATAAGTGTAATACAAATTATAATCAATCTTGTCAACTTCATTTCTTAGTGATCCTTCGATAGATGAGGAAATATAAACATACTTTTAATCTAAATAGAGAATTATCCTTTGTATGTAATAAACGATATAAGGACTTACCTTAGTAATGGCATTATTCGCCTTGTAGGTAGCAAGATAGGGTTGCTGCAAAAGCCACAACGATGCAAGGATGGCGGCCGTGGAGGTCCTCACGCGAAGGACAGGGCTGCGCCCGCAGGGTGCTGCAGGGAGGCTCGGGGCGCAGGGCAGCCTGCGGCCGGCCCACCGGACCATCCACTCCAGCAGCCTCCGCAGACTGCCCGGGGTGCTCCTCAGCGCTGGGGGGAGCTCCTCTGCAGGGTTAATATCACTGCACTGAATTGCTTCGAAAACACATCTTCTCTTAATGGACTTGGGAGTCCAAAGAATAGGGTTCATCAGCGCCTGGACTACAGGTTTCTCTGTGTTGTCATCTTGTGTTCTGTAAACTGACTTTCGTTTTAAACCAAACAATCCACTCTCTCCTTCACTTCTATTAAGTTCACTCCAAGGGTTGGCTAGAGGAGGTCTGGCCCCTTGACTGACCACTACAGGAGCTAAAAGCGCCTGGCTTTCCGACTGTTCAGGCTCACGTGGCTCCGGAGCAACAGCAAAGCAGGAGCCAGCTCTGAACACGTTCTGGTTTCCGGGTTTGCCCTGACGTCCTTTTAATGTGGTATGTATATCAAAAAGCAGAGGGTTAAGTTCATGTTCTCTAAGGTGTGCAGAAAAACTGGTTAGAAATGGAATGCCAGGATCCTTGGAAGCACCCATGTCTCTTTCAAGAACGTAACTCAAGAAGAGGTCAAGGAACTTTATATACTCATCATCGTCCCGTTCAAATTCCCAAACGCCTATTACAGGAAGTGCATTTTGTGATAACTTTTCATGATCCTCTTTTCTGTTAAGATTTTCTTTCTGATTACCTATTTTCTTTTTATCATTGGGCTTGGCAATCAATGCAAATTCCATGTGATTTGGAGCATTTCTACAACAAAACAAAATTAGAAAGAACAATATTAAAGATCATTTAATCACAAATTCTTGACAATAAAAATTCTTTCTACTGATTAGGTTGTATCTTTTTTTCATGCCTCAATTACCTATCTTTCCAATCAGGAGGTTGGACTAAAAGATGTATATCTAAGTGTTCACTACAGCTGAATATTCTGAGTCTAAAAATATCACATATTAATATTAAAAGGGAAAGTTTGTGTTACAAGAGATTAAAATGTGTTCACAGAAATTTCCCTATTAAAAAACATGAATGCTGCCCTGCTCGGTGTGGCTCAGTTGGTGGGAGCATTGTCCCATGAACTGAAAGTCTGCGGGTTCAATCCCCAGTCAGGGCACATACTCAGGTTGCATGTGCCACCCCCACAGGCCTCACACGGAAGGCAGCAGATTGATGTTTCTCTCTCACATCGTGGTTTAGCTTCCTCTTCCCCCCTTCCCGTTCCTGTCTCTCTAAAAGCAACGAGAAATGTCCTCAGGTGAGGATTAAAAAAACGTGAATGTTATTCTGGGGGGGAGTCCTTAATAGGCTAGAATACAAATACAATAAAAACCCAAGGCACCAACACACGTCAGCGTGCGGAGCTTGCTCCCCTCTCGCATCCACCCTCCTCGGCGCCAGTATAACGAGTGTGCGTGAACAAGCAGGACTGCACTCGGATTCCTCACCACAAAAAGCATGGGGGTCTCTTAAACACTTTCTACTGCTATGAAACCTGCTGGGCAGGCACGCTGACTGCCAACCATAATTATTTTAAAATCTGTTTTCTCTCAGCATGGTCCTTAGGGCAGAACACAGATTTCTAGTTCCCTAAAAGAGGGATAAAAGGTTTCTTAGGCACCTGGGCTAACGTCGCTTCCTCTGTGTCTCCTTATTACAGACACGCACCAGCGGCCTCTAGGGTGTTCCAGACAGAAGCTGTTTGGTAAAACGAGCACCACTTATTGGTTTAAGCAGATGTTTGAAGTGGATGGAATTGCTGCACTTAGGCAAGTTTATGGTCAATTATATAGTCCTTCAGTCAAGAGAAGGGTAAATTACATTTCAGATACTGGAATTATAAAGAAAGAAATCTGCTTAACTCACAGTAACAGGGGTTTAAATAACAAATCCTCTCAATTTATGGACAAGTTCCAAAAATGAACATGCAATTTCCTTCCCTGGAAACTTAAAAAAAAATGACAAAGCTAACCCAATAATCCTAAATTATTTAAGCCTCATGATTACTAAAGAATTAAAAGTCTTCCAGTGAACTCTAGGGTTTAATCTAGTCACATGACTTTATACTTTCAGGGGACAAAACTATCTCATCTCTCAGGAGTGGTTGTAGTAGACTTTCGAGTGCACAGTCTCACTCCACATTCCTGATGTCCTCGGGAGGGAGCACTTCTTCCCACTGTTGTTACAACAGTGAGGTCACTAGAAATCAGCTCATCGGTTGCCTGAAAATACGGAACATGTTTTTTTTCCCCAAAGGAAGTGAATGCTTGCTGTTAGGAGATCCCCACCGTACCTTCCAGAGAAATGTGTCCCACTTCTGTCTTCCGCCGACAGAGCTTCAGAGACAGGATCTGCGTCGCTGTGCACCAGAGAGCTGCCCAGGTCGGTGAGTGTGCTTCGGCTCAAACTGGTCCCCAGGGAAACCCCGTCCAAACCTGCGCCCTCGGTCGGCGGTTCTTCCTCAGCTGGCTCCCATATGTTCGTCTCAAAAGCACCTATGTTTCTCTGCACACGCCTTAGGGCTTTGACCCTGACTTTGTCGATGGAGTGCATGAGGGCAGACATCACTTCCTCAGTGTGGGGACCTAGACGGAAAAGAACAAAAGGCCTTCCAGTTCACTGAAATGCTCCAGAATCCAGGGACCCAATTCTGGTCCCTCCTGGGGACATAAAATCTAATTGACAATGGAGGCTTTATTTCCCCATTCTTGTGGATCATGCTTTGGTCAGTATTCATTAGAAAGCTCATCTGTGCTTTAAGGTAGAACTGCAGAAGCTGGAGAAGGTCCACTAAAGAACAAAGGGGGCAGCCTTGGCCGGTGGCTCAGCTGGTTGGAGCAACATCCCAAATACCTCGATCCCCAGTCAAAGCACACGCAGGAGTCCACCCATGAACGTGCGGATGGGTGGGACGAGAGGTCGCTGTCTCTCCCCCCACCACCTCCTTCCTCTCTAAAATCAACTTTTAAAAAATTAAATTAAAAAAAAAAGAATAAAAGGGACAGAACCCAGACTATGAAAAGTGTACCCTGGAAAACAAAAATTAAATAATTTAACCACTTCAAAAATCAGAATGATTGTAAAAAGAATCAATAATATGTTTTCTAATTCCACAGTGATAAATAAGAGAAAAATTAGTATAATTTTAGCCAAAGAAACAAGGATGCCTTTCCAACTTCAACTAATGAGGACAATTTCCAAGGCTGCCTATTAAATTTTAAACATTAATACATAAACAAGACACTTTGGATAATGTTTAAAAAGTCTTAAAAAAATATAAATCACAAATATAAGTACATTAATGAAATAATGTGCAACTACAGGACACAACTAGACTTAAATACTAGACTGTAGTTCTAAAAATGTGGGTAATTTGAATTCTTTAAAACTTTGCACAACATGGTCAGTGTCCTTAATGCTACTGAACTCTACACTTAAAATGGTAAATTTTATGTTATGTATATTTTACCACAATAAAAAATAATTTCCACAAGGATATCTGGAACGCATAGGATAAAATTAGAAGCATAAAAAAACATAAAGAGCCCTGGCTGATGTAGCTCAGCGGTTTGAGCGAGGCCCTGTGAAGCAAAGGGTCGCCAGTTTGGTTCCCAGTCAGGGCACATGCCTGGGTTGCAGGCCATGTCCCCAGTAGGGGACACATGAGAGGCAACCACGCATTGATGTTTCTCTCCCTCTCTTTCTCCTTCCTGTCCCCTCTCTCTAAAAATAAATAAATATATTTAAAAATTAAAAATTAAAAATAAAACAAAGAGAAAGGAAGAATACTAGTTTTCAATAAAATACCTACATCATGCAAAGCACTATATGCTCATTTTATATATTTTATCTTATTTAATCCTTTCAGTGCACATTTGCAAAGCCACTGTTAATATCGTCATTTACCAATAAGGAAACGAGGCCCAGAGAGACCAAGCAATTCAGTTACTAAACGACAGAGCCACGACATGAAGCCAGGGCTTCGTGTGATGCCCTCCCACGACAGGAAGGTGCCTCTGCCTTCTCACACCCCTGTCTCGGAGGGGAGGGAAAACGCGCAAGCACGAGGAAAGCAGCGCTTTCGAAACACGAGGAGCCCTGGTCAGGTAGCTTAGTTGGTTACAGCACCATCCCCATGCACCAAGGTTGCGGGTTTGATCCCCAGTCAGGGCACATACAAGAAGTGACCAATGAGTGCATGAATAAGTGGAATGAATGTTTCCCTCTCTCTCTCTCTAAAAATCGATAAATTAAAAATAAATCAGCAGTTTTTCTACCAGATAGTAAAGAAACGACGGTACCTTTCACAACACAGTGCCCCAGTCTCTGTTGGAAAGAATGGTATTTTTCTCTTAAAGGAACCCTTATGTCCTCAGGATTGGGAAATGCTTTCACAAAAATCTCTGCCACCTTTGGAAAAATTCAAAAGTGAGTTATATGAGCAGCAACATTCTTAATCAAATAAGACCCATTAAAGTCTCCAATTCTGACTTAGTGAACGCCCACCCCACCCACAGTACCTGTCGGATTGGTGGCAGTTCAGCGATGAGGCTCAGAATCAGGTCCTGAGTGAGTTCCTCGGTATTGGAAAACCGGGAGAAGGGCAGCATTCTGCAGGCCCACTCCACGGCACGGAGGCAGCGCTCCACCATGCAAGAGTCAAACTCCACTCGGAGACCCTACATGGGCATTGAGTAAATTCACTTCCTGTTCACTTTACACAGGCAGACCAGAATAAACTCAAAATATTTTTTACTATGAACAGTAAAATCTATCAAGTGATAATTTCACAAGTAATGCTTGTTCATTTTTCCTTATTCTTTTCCAAGGCAAATTACCTTCTTTCCCTCCGCATCTTCTCTTGCTTTCTGATACTGTCTGCAACTGTAGGACAACTCGTCCCGGACGTGCAGCATCCAACACAAAGCACAGAGCTCCCGGAAGCAGCCTGGACCAGGGACGCAAATGGGAGAGGAGGCTGCATGAGAGCTGCACCACCAGAACAGCCCCACCTCTCTGCTCGTCACTGTTCCAAAATCAGTGCGTTTTGTTGATTGTAAAAGAAGCATATGGTCACTATCTAATGACCTATCTAATGACGCCTGATCTAAAAGTTACGGTGAACCTTCCAGAATTTTTATACACAATATATTATTCTAGAGTATATCGTGCATGTCAGTTGCATAAAAATACTGAAAATATAGTTAAAGAGTAAATAAATGTGTTTACTAGTAGTCCACTTGCTTTAAACTTTATAGTATATTGTAGATACTTTTCAAGCCAGTACAAACAGCTGTATTTAATACTCTAAGTTAATTTATTTGGAAAATCACTTATAGATAAGCATTTGAGTTTAAAAATTTAATACTAAAACAATTTCCAATATCAAACAATTTCTTTTATTGAAAGCAATACACGTACATAAAGATACGTAATACCATATATTACGCTGTTGTCTTTCTTCTTCTCCTAATGTACCTTGGACATCTTTCCGTGGTGGTAATATACACAGTCTTTTCATTGCCAGTAGAGTATGGAAACTTCCCCAAATCACATGTAAAATATATCATTACTAATATTAGGGCCTGATTTCTAAGCAGTTTGTTTTAGACAAACCTATTACTTTAATGGAAACTTCATCAAGCTTCCTGTCTCCAGCTGCTCCAGGTCGAAAGAACGCTACGCCTCCTACACAGTAATTAAGTAATGACTGAGGAAAAGGACTCAGTGAAGGAAGGGACCCTTTCATTCGAATCTGAAAGTAAAGAACGATGGAATACAGTGTCAGTTGCATGAATCAGTTTTTAAGGAAACTAAAGCAGCAAACAGCAGGCAAAGACAAACCACAGAGAACGGGATGCACAGTGCAGTTCCTGTACTACATAAGAAAACAGCTCTGGAATCCATCGGCTGCAGTTTCAGAAATGTAGCTCACAATTTTTATAAAGATTTTATTTATTTATTTTTAGAGAACAGGGAAGGGAAAGAGAAAGAGGGAGAAAAACATCAATGTGCAAGAGATATTGGTTGCCTCTTACACGCCCCCCACTGGGACCTGGCCTGTGACCCAGGCATGTGCCCTGACTGGGAATCAAACTCGCAACCTTTTGGTTCACAGGCCGGCACTCAATCCATTGAGCCGCACCAGCCAGGGCCCACAATTTTAATTCTGAAATTCACTAGGTTCAATCTCAAGAGAGAAAAAAAAGATTTAATCAAATTACCTACTTGTCACTCAGTTATGATTGTATAAAATTAATGTTTTTTGCTTTCTCCAAAGGAATTATAAGGGAAATAAATTTAACTAGTTTTCATCTAAAATAAAATCATGTATAGTACCTAAATCAAATACAAAAAAAGAAAGGTAGATCTACATGCATAACTTTTGAAAAACTAATCCATAAAGGACAGAATTAGAAGGTCACCTTTTAGCAACTTCTAATAAAATAAGGACTCTAGCAAGGACCATCAGCAAATGCCAAATTAAGGGGAAAGGTGGTGGCTGTTTGGGCACATCACAGTGAGTGGGACTGACCTGAACTCACTGACCCACGTCGCAACCACTGAAAGTGATATAAGGGGAAGGGTTAAGAAGCAGGAGCCGGCTGTTCCGAAACAGTCATGGGGATGTAAAGTCCAGCAGAGGGAGTATGGTCACCACCGTGTGTGGTGCCAGGTGGTACCAGGAATATGGGGGGACCACTCTGTAGAGTACGTGACTGCCCAGCCACTGTACTGGGCACCCGAAACTAACAGAAAACATCTCATGTAAATTGTAATAAAAAAATAAAAAATATTTAAAAAATAAAACACTGAAAACACACACACATGCATGTACTCATACACATACACAAGGAAAGAAAGCAAATGGAAGAAAGATGAAACAATATCTAAGAAACTTAAAACCTGGTGCTAGATTCTTTTTACTTTCACATTTTTAAGTTTCCATAACAAAAAGTCTTACAAAACACTTGTCCCACATTTTCATGACTTATTTTTTATGCTACCAGGGAAGTAGTTGTTCTATATAGTTTTTAAATAAAGATTTTTAAAAGAGTTTTAGATCTATAGAAAAAGTACAAAGATCGTAGTACAGGGTGTTTCCAACACTCTTCTCTATTATCGACAGCTTACATTAGTACAGTTATCATTAATGGACCAATATGTTGATACACTATTAACTATCAACCATATGTTATTCAGATTTCCATAGTTTTTACTTACTCTCTTTTTGGTATTCTATAATCCCTTCCAGGACACCGCATTCCATTGAGACACTATGCCTCCTTAGGAACTTTTGGCTATGAACAGCTCTCAGACTTTTCTTGTTTTGTTTTTTTTATTTTAGTTTTTACTTCTCAGTCTACATCCTAAGTAAACTTAGCCAGGTACTTTTGGTAAATAAAAACTTTTAAAATGTACAGAAATACATCATTAATAATTTTTTTCATGCTAATATTATGTCAAATGAGAATCTATGGCCTGGGGAGAGCTGGTGAAATTGCTCATGTTTATATGCATAAAATATTTTAGGAAGGGTACGTAAGTACAGTGGTTGCCTCTGCGGACTGGGAGTCCAGGATGAGAAGGAAACTCACTTTCCCCTAACTCCTGATGACCACTGGCCTCCATGATTTCTGACGAGAAATAAGCCATTAATCTATCCCGTGTGCATGGTGAGTGGCTGCTCTTGTTGCTTTCCAGATTTTCTTTTGGTTTTTGGCTTTTAACTTGACTTTGACTATGATGTGTCTATGAATGGGTCTCTGAGGTCATCCTACTTAGAGTTCTTTGAGCCTCGTGGAAGTGTGGGTTGATGTTTTTCACCCAATTTGGGGCATTTTGGGCCATCATTTCACTGAAGTCTCTTTCTGTCCATTTCTCTCCTTTGCCTCCGAGAATCCCATTTGCATACCATGGTACGTCTGACAGTGTCCCACAAGCCACCAGCCTCTGTTCACTCCTCGCCATCCTCACTCCCTCCTGTTCCTCAGACGGCACAATCTCAGCTGACCCGTCTTCCTGGGTGTGGGTTCTCCTGCCCGCTCTGATCGTCGGTGGAGCCCCCGCTCATGAACTTTTCAATTCAAGTATTGTACTTTTCAACTCCGGAATTTCTATTTGGTCTTCTTTAAAAAAGAATTTCTGCCTCCTTATTGCTATCCTCTTTTTAGGAAGACATCATTCTCATTCATCCCTTTAGTTCTTTAGAAATGGTTTCTTTATTGAACATATTTAAGACAGCTGATGAAAATCTTTGTCTAGGCAGTCCAACAACTGAGCTTCCTCAGGGACAGTTTCTATCGATTGCTTTTTCCCCATGGGTATGAGCCACACTTTCAAGTTCTTGGATAAATGTTCTCTGGATGGCTGCAAGTCTTCAGTTAGTATCTAGAGTCCTGACAATTTGTGCCAATTTTCCCATTGTTTTGGGAGAAGAGCAACGTTTTAGATGTCCTTACTCTGCCATTTTCCCTGCACCTTCACTAGCTCTTTTGAATTACAGTATGACGTGCACCAGGCTCACTCAGGTGTTGGCAGAATTCCGTTCCACGTGGTCTCCTTGCTGGATACAGGCTGGGAGCATTCTCCGTTTCTAAAGGCTGCCTGCATTGCCTGGCCTTCCACCCTCTTGGGCCAGCAGGTGGGCCGAGTCCTCACTCTTCGGGTCTCCCCGTTTGCCTCCTTTCTCCAGCCTTCCTTTTGCACTGCATCTCACTGGATGTCTCTTCTGCCCCCTCCTTTGCTTTAAGGGCTTCTGCAGTTACACTGGGCCCACCAACATAAACCAGGACAATCTCCCTATTTTAAGGTCAGCCAATTAGTGATATTAATTCCATCTGCAAAGGTCCATCATACCACATTAAGGCATTAATAGCATCCGGACTACCACTTGCACCATACTTTAACAAGTAATTCAGTACTTGTAAAAACTTTTTACAAGGAGGAATATCTTTAGCTATGGTGCCAATTTTAACAGAGTCCACAGTCTTTACACGCTAGTTGAATTAACTGAAACTAGATTAAATGAGATTATTGTCAGGAGTTGGTAAGATCAAACTTCAATGCAAATATAATTTATAACTTAAAAAAAAGTTTTCTACAACAGTAGAAAACTGGTGTGGCTCAGTGGATTGAGTGCCAGCCTATGAACCAAAGGGTCACCAGTTCAATTCCCAGTCAGGGCACATGCCTAGACTTCAGGCCAGGTCCCCAGCAGGGGTGTGTGTGAAAAGCAACCACACATTGATGTTTCTCTCCCTTTCTTTCTCCCTTCCTTCCCCTATGTCTAAAAAATTAATATATTAAAATCTTTAAAAAGTTTTCTATACACAAATTTTTTTCAGTTTTTTTCTTAATATATATTATTGATTATGCCATTACAGTTGTCCCATTCCCCCCTTATTCCCCTCCACCCTACACACCCCTCCCCCACCAATACACAATTTTAAAATAAAGTTTCCTATAACAAACATTCAATTTCAGTATACTGAAACTATTAAAACCAATCTTTCAATAATAGAGGAAAACTCTTTGTTCTCCTTAGTAAATATACTTTAAAAATTTGGGGGATGATAAGTTATAGGATGAATACAAACATTTCTCTCTAAAAAAGACTAATTTCAAAAACGACTAGATAAACAACTTCTTAGAGCCTCTCTAAGGGGTCTGTCCTACTAAAAAAAAAGTTGCAGATTTTTATTTTAAAGGTAATAATCGAGGGCCAAATTAAGGCTATTTGGTGCTAATATTTACTTCCACATTCACAGAGAGGCAGACTCCAGACCTGTGAAGGACTTGTAGCTGGATGAGGGACACAGCACAGTTGTCCCCTCTGGCTGCATATCAGGTAAGAATGCAGCTCCAGCCCAGTGGCAGTCAGCATAGGAGCTGACAGTCCCAGGGTCACAGGGAACTGCTCATCTCAGCAGACAGCCAGGAAGACTGGATGGCAGAGACCACTGAAGAGAAACACAGAGCCAGGAGCTAGCTCTAAGCCTCCATGATCTGACCTCACGTAAGCACCACAGAACATAGGCAACACCTCAGGGAGAAGTCAGAGAAAACCATGAACTGAGTTCTAATCCTCAGTGATTGGAATGGGGGGAGGAATGTAACTGACACCACCTGAAATTATGGGACTGGGTTAGACTTTCTACCGCCAGGCAGGGTGGGACTAACCGAGACCCAGTTCAGAGTCCTCACCTTGCAGCAGAGAGAACCTGGTCTGCCTAGATTGCTCATTGCTAGTAAATCTCAACATGGATCTATAGGGCAGGGCCCCTTTGGGAAATGTCACTACTACCGATAGTGATAAATAGTAGCACACTTAAGCAGGCTGAGTGGGTGCATACCTTCTGCATGACCTTGCGGGCCCGCCGCAGCTGCAGGATGTACCACTGCGCCGCCGGGAAGGAGCAGCGTGCTGCCCGGAAGAGCAAGAGGAGGCGCTGAAGGACACCAGACAGCTTCTGGCGATTCTCTTTTTCGGCTTTTAAAGGGAGATCATCGCCATCTTCCTGAAGAAAATAAAGCAACAAAATTTATAGCCAGTCATATGAGAATTTAAAGTGTTGAAATGACAATAAAAGAGTGCCTCTCAAACCAGAACATTTCTGGAGATTTATAAAAAAAGATGTTGAGGCATAGCCTTGGAGATTTCAACTATAGCTGTTGCTAGTGCTACGAACACATTTCTCTCCCCTCAAACAATGTGGGGGCTAACCGACCCGACCCCAAACCCTCCCCCACGACGGTGAAAGGCCACCACCCCTGACTCCACAGGGAGAAGGTTGCAGGGAGAGCTCCTTCCAAGGAGAAGGGCCGTCCCTCCCTCTGCCTGGAAAACTCGTTCTGGTGTTTCAGTGTCACCTCCTCTGGGAAGCCCTCCCCCTGGGCTACCCTGGCTCAGACCCCTCTCTTACAGCTTCTACTAATTCACTCTGCATTTTGTACGTTTCCCGCGACACTGAGCACTACCCCGGAGCAAAGGCCTTCTTGCGTGTCTGCCTGTTGTCACGGTGCACAGGATGAAGTTCAGCGTGTAGGAGAAGGATCCGACAAATGCTTGTTGAAATACTCCACTCAAGTCAGTAGCTAAAGATTAACCTCCCCGAAAACGAGATAATGTATTATACACATCTGCTTCCCACCACTGCCATGTGTAAACGTTCTGTTTTTAACCAGGTATCTGCCCCTCCCCTACACAGCATGATTCCCAGCTTCCAGGGAAGGACACAGGCCCTGCACTGTCCCTAGCCAAGGTCACTGACTCAAGGACAGGCAAGTGACCTCGGTCAGTCTCAGAAACGTGAATCTCAGTCTTCTGCTTGGAATGCTGGGAGAGAAATACTTTCACTGCTTTTTCTTCACCCCTTCCCTCTCCACAGCCATGGACAAGGTGTCCTTAGAAGGTGCTGGCAGCCATCTTGCTCCCACAAAGGGAGCCACCTTAGGAGCTGACACCTTAGAAAGCAAATGAGATGGAACCCCCGTCTTTGGTGGCATAACTGAGGCAGAATGAGGTCAGTCGATTTTGACTGTTTTCTACTACATAGTTCTAACCCAACGGATTCTGATAGACATAGAGTGACAATTAGTAGAAATCCTACCACTGAGGTTTACTTTAACAAAAATGAGATAATGAAGCGCTACTAAGGATAGTAACCACTCCGACTAGTATCAGCATAACATGTCCAACAATATCTTCAATGTGATTCCAATTTCCACAGCAAATGCTGAAGCCTCAGATCTGAGAGGAAAGAAGAATCACTGAGAAATACCATGGACTATTTATTCCTCTCGTTGTAATATATTACATTTGAAATATTTTAACATATTGAAACATAACTCTAAATATAGCAATTGAGACTGTAACTCTAAAAAAGGAAAAAAGTAGATACAGATAGGAGTTGCTAATACTGCAACAATGAGTAGTGAAGAAACAATGCCAGAATCACTTCAAAATAGTAACATGTTAAAATAATTTCAATGTAAATAATTTACATTAACACTTTAAATCTTAAAACCAGCTAATTGTAATGTTATGATATGCAGTAAAAGCAGAGGAAAAGTTCTGGAGAATAATATAGTATTGCTATTTATAAAACAGAATCACTGGTTGAATAGTACAGGAGAAAAAAAAAAGATCTTTCAAATCAAAGGAAAATCAAATTAAGTCTTTCAGAAGAGGCAAAGACAACAAGAAAAATACAAGGCTGAAATAGTGTACGGTTTCCAAATCCCGACATTTGTTACTTTGTTACCCTAAACAAATGTCTATGGTTTTAAAATCTGGATCTAGAGAAATGTCTCTGAATTTTGTTTTATTATTGCAATAATTTTAACATTTATTAAATACTCACTACGTCCTAGGGCCTAAGGTAAAAGGCCTTTACACCTAATCCTCATAGCGATGCTACTGGAAGTCTTACCATCATCTGCATTTTACTTAAAACGGTTTAAGTACACTGTGTAAAATTACAGAATTCATAAACAGCAAAGCTGGGATCCAGAAGTCTGTCTCCGGAGCTTGTTTTTATTATCAAGTTGATAGTTTTAAAAACTGGACGAAATCCACTTTAAATGAAAAGGGCAGGCTTACCTCGCTCAGAACAGCTGGCTGAGGACAATACAGCGGGGGAGCCGGAAGGTACAAGCCAACTGGCACCAAGCCCCAGAGTCTCTTGCTGAAGTCCTTGGCCGAGTCCACCAGGAGCTGAAAGGTCTCCGAGAGGACATCTGCATCGGCCATAACTGCTGCTTTCAGCACTTCTTGCAATGCCCCCAACAGCAGATTTACATCTTCCTCTTCGATGGGATCTACCCAATGCAGAATTAGGCAAAATAATAACAATGAACATTGTACTTATCACTCTGAAGAGGCAGACTGTCAGAAATGAACCTAGTGCTTGACATGCACACATCCAAACTTCTGGATGGAAACTTAATCACTATTCTGTTACTTTAAGATTATAGGCAATAATACCACATATACTTTTTCCAAAATTAAATGGCATTGTAATAACAACCATATAACAAAAATATTTTTGAAATACAGTCCTGAGTAAAAAATAATCAATAAATAAATTAGTACAAAAAAAGAATGTCAAAAAAGACACCGAAATATACAACATTGTGTGAAGGCAGTGACTTTTAAATTTATTAGTGCTCTCATCATAGTACTTTTCTTACAGAAGTTGATAACAATGACTTAGAATGTGTTAAACATACTGTAAAGTACAGAATGTAATATGAAAACACCCAGGTACTGACTTTTCATCCTTGACTGATATCAGCACTTTGGCTACATTCAAATTCTATTTTAAAACAAAGTGTTGCAGATATAGCTGAGACTTCTAAGCATGCACCACACGCCACTCCCTTCTCAGAAGGCAGCCACGCGCCGGAACTCGGTGGGGATGCCCTGAAACTCCTATCACACATGCGGTGTGTTCTCCTACTTACACTCTGAGGCTTAACTCCTCTGCCATGTTTTCCAGTTCTTTCCTTTGTATCTGTTTATTTTCTCTCTCTCTGTATATCCTTCGTGTGTGTTTGTATAGAGAATTCAAATTCACTTTCTAGTTCATTAACCACCTGCTGAGTTTGTTGTCTTTAAATTGGTTTACTGGGGTATAGTTCACCTACAGTCAAGTTCACCCTCTTTAAGTACACAGTTCAATGAGTTTCCACAAATCTGCACAGCCCTGCAGGGACATCTCCATCACTCAGAAAGCTGTCTTACACCCCAACGCTGTCAGGTGCCCCCTTACTCTGAGGCAACCCCTGATCTGTGTCCTGACCCTCCAGTGCTGTGTTTTATAAGATGTTACACAAATGGAATCATACAGTAGGTAGTCTTTGTTGCTGACTTCTTCCATTCAGCTTCAAGGGCCTGCGATCACCCATGCTGTTGCGTGTTATCAACAGGTTGCTCTTCTTTATTATTTAGTGTTCCACTGTATAGATATATATCTGTCCATTCACAAGCTGATGGGCATTTTAGTTGTTCAAGGTTTTGGCTAGCATGAAAAGCTGCTAAGGAAATTCAGATACAGGTCTTTGGGTGGACCTGTGTTTTTATTTTTCTTGGGCAAACATCTAGGGATGGAATACATTGAGTTTTTACTTTTTTTCTAACCCCTGGATTTCACTTAATTTCTTTAGTCTTTTTATTTTTAAGATTCTATTTATTTATTTTTATAGAGGGGGAGGGAGGAAGAAAGAGAGGGAGAGAAACATCAATGTGTGGTTGCCTGTCACGTGCCCCCTACTTGGGACCTGGCCTGCAACCCAGGCATGTGCCCTGGCTAGGAATTGAACCGGTGACCCTTTGGTTCACAAGCTGGTGCTCAATCCACTGCACCACCCCAGCCAGGGTCCACAGGTTTACATTAATTACCCTGACCACATGAAGGTAACGCACCTGTGAATTGTTTGTATTTTGAGCCCACTTCATTTTTTGCTTCCAAAGAGGCTGGCTGACCTAAAAAACACTGGAGTTTTTCCTGGAAAATCTGTGCTGGAGTCATGTTTAATGGCAGATTCTGACCCTTTTTCTTGAACCTGGAAATCACATCGAGTTAGGAGAAATCATTTCAAATTTTGAAAAAAGCAACATGCACACATCAAGAAATGTAAAGTTTAAGAAACAGTGAAAATCACCATCTTCATTCATCCCATATTTAAGGAGGAAGTAATCAAGAAACGCCACAATAAGGCGTGAGGATTTCGGCTCTCCACCACCACGGCGTGCACGGGTCTCCCACTCTGGTTCCCCTGCTGCCCTACACACGTACTCTGGCCAAACAGAACCAGCCTGGTCTCTGCCACCTGTCTTTGCTGTGTCTGGTGTGTTCTCCCCCTGCAACTACTCAACCCATCAAAGTCCTGCCTTCCTTTCAGTGCCCACCTCAGATAACGTCTTCTACATAAAGTATTTCCGTCCTCACGGCCCTGCTCCCCGGGGTTTCTGCCCTCCCCACACCACTGGCCTTTCCTTTCCGCGGCCCATAACTATAATGATGCTGTGTCCTGTTTTCTCTGTTAAACTACAAATGCTTTAAGCACACATACTATGTACCACCTTATATCCACTGTGATATCTGGTATATAGCTTGGCATAGAAAGTTGCTTAATAAGTAAATGTATGGGTAATTATTGAATTAAAAAATATAAAAGACATAGCAATTCCATAATATTCAGAAAAGTTAAAATAAAGAGATTAGTTTGATTAGCTGAAAACTCAAATCCTGCCCTCCTGGCTGGTGTGGCTCAGTGGGCTGAGTGCCGGCCAGTGAATCAAAAGGTTGCTGGTTTGACTCCCAGTTGGGGCACACGCCTGGTTGTGGGCCAGTTCCCCACTTGGGAGCATCTGAGAGGTAACCAATTGATGTTTCTCTCCCTCTCTTTCTCCCTTTCTTCCCCTCTCTCTAAAAGTAAATAAATACGATCTTAAAAAAAACCTCTCAAATCCTATTTGGGACCAACTCTCCCACTGACTATAAGCTGTCAAGAGCACTACTAAGAGATACATGATGTAAAGAAACACTTTAATACAAATAAGTAAGCTGCTGAGCTGTCTGACAGTGTCCACGAGCTGCATGTAGCTATGCAAATCTAAATTAATTAAAACTAGATTGCAAACCCAGTTCCTTGGTCTTGCTGGCCACCTCTCGAGCGCTCAATAGCTACTCGTGGCTAAAACCACACTGGACAGCACGCACAGAACATTTCTGTCCCTGAAGAACTTCGACTGGACAATGCTGAACTAAGAATTCCACAGAATGTGCAAAAGAAGTGAAAAATACTTTAGATGATACTGTTACACTATTCCATAAGTTTGCCTAAAAATACGCACCTGGTGAAACTGCCGTCTAGTTTGCAGAACAGCTGGAAGGCCACGCCAATTGAAACAGATGTCTTCCAGTCGCCAAGCTCACGCGCCAACCACACGGCTTCCGGAACCAGGCCCCCAATAAACAGCAGCTCGAGGGCATATTCAACCGTCCACACGTTGGAAAGGTTCTGATCTCTAACAACACTGGCCACTTTAGAGTGTTGCAGGGGGATAAACCGGAGGGGCCACTCTGTAAGTTAAAGAAAATGGATATTACAATTACAAATATCAGAACTCACACCTCCTTACATGGATACACATAACTCCTCAATCCGTATTTTCTACACAAAACCACAACAAGGAAGATGCACACAAAATGGGCTAAAATAATAGTTTAAGAGAAAGCTCCCTGGCGGGTGCAGCTCAGTGGACTGACGCAGGTCTGCGAACCAGAGGATCGATTCGCAGGGCACATGCCTGGGTTGCAAGCCAGTTCCCTGCAGGCCAGTTCCCAGCAGGGGACGCACTAGAGGCAACCATACATTGATGTTCTCTCCCCCTCTCCTTCCCCTCTAAAGATAAATAAAATCTTAAAAAAGAGAGAGAGAGAAAGCTGTTGCACAGTATGTTAACCCTGAGGAATGTGCCTTGTCAGGAGGTCACACAGCGAGTCCCAGCATTCTTAACAAATGAAACAGACCAGAGTAGCGACAGAAGAGGCAGTATCAGAGTACACTACGCAAAATAAAGGTAAGTACAGCTTAATGACATGTTTGTGTCAGGTCATATAAACCAAGGCAGGCACGTTTACACGCACTGGGTCACAGTGTCCAGTTTGTTAGCTTGGGCTGCTCTGAAATACATGTCTGTTTCTCCTACTAGATTACGAACTTTGGGGAGCAGAGACTGAATTTTCCTCAGAACGTCATGCGGTAAAAAAACTTCTCTGCAGTAATACCCAAGCATGTGAAGTGTTCAATGTATTAGTGCTTTTAAGAAAGTTGGGAGGTGCGGTTTTCGACACTCCTGACTAAACCGCAAATCTGGCCTGGAATTAAACATGAAGGGCCACGCTCTTCTCCCCAGCTTTCTGAACTTGCCCTAATTAAAGCAACTTAAATAAGCACCTTGAACTATTATTTCTGCAAAAACACATATTGCTACAATTTTCCCTCCCTCCCTTAAAATAAAATTGGTACATGTGGATTTCTGCTCCTTGAAGTGAAGTGGCTGGTTTTTCAGGGGACCTACGTCGGCTCTTTTCAGGGGACCTACGTCGGCTCTGCCCACACCAGGCACTAACTGTTTACTAGCTTTGGACACATTTGGACAGAAACAAAACACCTAGTCCAGCATCTGATTGATTGATTGTGCACACGCAGCCAACCAGGAGGTTGACGAGATTGTGCCTGTTTTTTTCTTCCCTGAGCAAGGCACCGGACCATTAAAAAATGTGAGTGACTTAATCTTGTGAAAATGTGACTTTCACATGGCAAACGTCACACTGAATAAGCAACTCAAAAAACCCCCAATGCATTCACTCACTAGTTCTGATTAGAAAATTAGCATGAAATGTACCCTAAGTCAAGCCTGCTGATATCATTTTTAAGATATAAGGAGATCAAATAAATTAATGGATATATACAAAGTTTCAGATATTTAAACTTTCAGTAATCACAGTCTCAAACACAGGAAGAAAAGGCAAAGCCTTCTCTTCTACCCTCTCTCACTGAGAAGATAGCTACACAGGGTATAAAAAGGTGTGCCCCCAGCTTTTATGAATGTGTATGAATCTGTCCAAAAACAATTCAATAATTCTATCCCCTCTCTTCCTAGACTGTGATAAATATCAGTCTTCCGTAAGTATGTAAAGTGATCTGTACAGGTAAAGATCAGGAGCCCTGACCAGTGTGGCTCAGTGGGTTGAGCAGCAGGCCATAAACTGAAAGGCTGCCAGTTCAATTCCCAGTCAGGGCACGAGCTTGGGTTGTGGGCCAGGTTCCACCCTGGGGGGGTGTGAGAGGCAGCCAAATGGTTTCTCAGACATCAATGTTTCTCTCCCTCCCTTCCCCTTTCTCTGAAAAGGAATAAAATCTTTTTTTTAAGACAAGATAAAGGTCATGAGCAAACAGCAAGTCCTATACATACTGCAGGGTAGGAAAGACAAAACAATTGGAGACAAATTTTCCAAGTTCCAGGATTTTAATGCTCACCGCCCCCCTAGATTTTTCTAAAATGCAGTACTACCCCTCTTTTTCAGGACAATGTAGATTAAGGCTACAATTTGTTGTCAGAAACATTAATACCACAAATAGGCAATGTGTGATCAATACCCAGGCTGTGGCCAAAAAAAGGACTTAAATATAAACCACTCCGAGAACAACAAATGTCAAGGGCACAAGGGAATAAGGAATCCACTTCTGAGAGTCTCAGAAGACACTGCATGAGGGTGAGCGAATGGAGCCCAGGTCTGAGTTAGGACCCAGCAGCGGTGGGCGCGTGCTGGGGAGCAGCTGGTCCTGGAAGAAACCCAGCGCCAGTTTCTCTGCTCATACCAGCTCCCTCAGAACAGCCACAAGCAGGCCAGGACCAGCTCCAGGTGGTCTCAGGGAAGCAGGGACCTACTAGACAAGGAGCCACTAAACCACTAGGAAATTTCCCTTCTGATCCTACACACACATGACTCTCTAGGGGCCAGAACCTCCTGAAGAACCCCAGGGGAGACTCGGGACTAACACTCCTGTTGAGGCGTCCCAGTGGGTGCGGGTCGCCCCTGCTCCTGCCCACGCCCTGGGGCAATTACAGAACTGAACACAACATACAGATATGCACGGGTCTGTGATTGGTTACATTTGCTGACCACTTGTTCTAAGTTCTGCTAAGCTTCTTTTTCTTTTTTTTATTTAAGATTTTATTTATTTATTTATTTATTTATCTTTTAGAGGGGAAGGGAAGGAGAGAGGGAGAGAAACATCAATGTATGGTTGCCTTTCATGCATCCCCTGCTGGGAACTGGCCTGCAGGGAACTGGTCTGCAACCCAGGAATATGCCCTGACTGGGAATTGAACCGCAATCCTCTGGTTCGCAGGCCTGTGCTCAATCCACTGAGCTACACCAGCCAGGGCTTCTGCTAAGCTTCTAATTACATTACGTCTTATTCCACTCTAACCCATCCACATATGCTCATACATATTTATCAGTTCCTGCTGTTTCCTGCTTAAAGCACTCCAGTAACTCCCTGCTGTACTTCAAATTCAGATTCCTCCTCCTGGCTGACATCCCCAGGCCCCGTCTGCCTCTGACTCCATCTCACATCGCGCTCCACCCCACCCTCTATGCTCCAGCCACCCGAGTCTCTCTTTCAGTCTCTTCTTCCTCTGGGGCTTTCCCACGAGATCAGGTTCTAATGCCGTAAGTACTGATGCATCCATGGCTGGCTCTTTCTCATCACTACAAGTTCGGCTTAAAGATCCCCCTTCAAATAGCTCGTCCCTAACTTCACCACCTAAAACAGCCTCTCAGTCACAATGCATTGTTCCACTTCAATTTTCTGCACAACAGCTGTTACTGTTTGATCTATTTTATTCATATATTCATTTACTGAACTTCCTGTCTCAACCTATCAGGTACAAACTGCATAGAACACATATTTTCTTTGTTTTGTTCAGGGCAGTTAGAATAAGTCTGCTTTGAATGTCCAAACAAAAATTACAGATTGAGCACGGGCCTGGGAATCAAGCAACCACGGTTCGATTCCCAGTCAGGGTACATTCCTGGGTTGTAGGCCGGGTCCCAGCAGGGGACACACGAGAGGCAACCATACATTAATATTTCTCTCCCTCTGTCTTTCCCTTCCCCTCTAAAGATAAGTAAATAAATAAATCTTTAAAAAAATTACAGATGTTTTCATACTGTTAATTTCATATGGTGCAAGGTAACACATCGCCAGCACCTAGAACACTGCTTGGCACAGAGGGCACTTAATGGGAGTCAGTAGAATGAATGGCTATCGCGGGAACCTGTGCATGTGTTTATCTCCATGGGGGCAGGGCGGCTATCCAGCACAGAGAGATTAGGTCCATTTTTGACCCTGTCGATGAAATGATTAAATAGAGCTAAGCAAATGATCCAAATAAAATTATAAAAGCAAACGATCCAAATGAAAAGAATTCTAAATCAGTATCCTCAAAATTTGTTAAATCTGTATATAAATGAAGGTGGCAACCCTTTTACTTTAAAAATGAAAACTTATCAACTGGTCCAAAATTTGTGATTTTAAAAATCCATACTCAATAAAAACAAACCCAGGCAAACAGCGTTCTCAGACTTTACTCCTTCACACATAGCCACTGTGTATCTCCTCTGTGTCGGGCACTCAGCTGTACCGGTGTCATCTGCATAGAATGACGGCCCGTGTATAATACTATTTTGAATATTATGAGCAAGCACAAGGTGAGAAAATTATTTGTTTGCCACATTACCTCTTTTAACATGAAGGGGAGGAAGAACGTTGACACTGTGAGGCGGCAAAATGCACAGCTGCCGGTTGGTGAAGTAGGCGGCCATGAACCGGGCCATGCACTGGATCACCCGCACTGCGGCCTCTGGGTGCGCTGCTCCGGTCACCCCCCACTCGCAGGGGGGCTTCTCGGGAACTAAGGGACACAGCATAGGACCAAAGGCGATTATGATCAAACTGTTGAAAGCAGTAATATTTAAATTCCCTACTTTATAGATGAAGAAAATTATAATTAATTACTTAGATGAGTACCCATGGCCTGTACAAGTTAATTTATGACAGGTATCTATACTTCTTAAACACAACAGAACAAAAATAACTAGCTCATAACTATGAGCACATACACCTAGGAACTTTTTATGACTTTAAGTTACTAGAGTTTTTTTTTTTTTTTTGAAGATTTTGCTTATTTTCTTTAGAGGAGGGGGAGGAGAGAGAGGGAGAGAAAGATCATTGTGAGAGAGAAACATTAATCGGTTGCCTCTTGTATGAGCCCCATTTGGGACCTGCTGGGTGGAGGGAGAAGGCAGGGTTGAGGGAGTGGGATTTATGTCAGGATTCCTGGGGTGCTTCTCATATAAACAAACAGGAGCAAACATGTATTATCCCTACTCGAGAATCAAAACTCAAAAATATATACCGGCATTCAGGAATTTGAAATAGTTAAAAACTACTAAATACATAAAAATACTAAGTTAACTATAATTTTTATGAACTTCATGGCCCCAACAACAGCAAAATACCTTTGCTTCCCAGAAGTCCCTTGGTGCTGGTCAGTCACAAGAATACAAAGTTCTATACAGGTAGAGGCCATTTCTGTCTAAAACCCCAGTCCCTGCCACTCCTCCTTGCATGTAGTAGGCTCTCAAAAGTATTGTTAACAATTGTTTTGTGTGTGTGTGTGTGTGTGTGTGTGTGTGTGTAAAGGGACTCGAGAGGATTTTGTTAGCCTTTAAGTAGTATTTTTCATTTGGTTTTCTAAGTTTAAAGAAGGCTTTTGCTCATATACAGCTAGCAGAACTTTGTTTGACACTAGGCATCAAAAGTGTTAAAACCATGGGTCCTCTTTAATCCAGGCACCTCATTTCTAGAAATTTATCCTAGAGGAATTATGAGTAATGCTCACAGGAAGCTGTGGACAATGCAGCATTATTCGAAACAGCAGACAGTTGGCATGGCAACTGCCTCAATGTGCAATAACAAGAAAAAGAGTTGCCCTGGCTGGTGTGGCTCGGTGGATGGGCGCTGGCCCGCAGACCAGAGGGTCACAGGTTTGATTCCCAGGCAGGGCACACGCCTGGGTTGCGGGCCATGTCCCAAGTAGAAGGTGTGCAAAAGACCACCACACACTGATGTTTCTCTCCCTGTCTTTTTCCTTCCCTTCCCCTCTCTCTAAAAATAAATAAAAAATTTAAAGGATTAATGGATTTGATAAAATGAACACTGTTTACATTGGAAAGTATTTATCACAACACGAAATTTAAAAAGATTACAAAACAGACCTGTGGCCAGATAGCTTAGTTGGCTAGAGTGTTGTCCCAATATGCCAAGGTTGCAGGTTTGATCCCCAGTCGGGGCACATACAAGAATTAACAAACAAATGCATAAACAAGTGGAACAACACTGATGTTCCTCTCTTTTAAAAAAATCAATTAAAAAAATGACAAAACAGAATATACAGCCCCCAAAGTATACATGCATAAATGACTATACACAAAGAGTGATAGGATTATAAGTGATCTGGTTTTTGTCTTTGTACTTTCCACATCTTCAAAATTGTCTAGAATAACATGCATTACTTCCATAACAAACATAAAAATTTAAAAAGATTAAAATCACAAAGAGTAAGAAATCTGTAAACAGTAGTTAAAACCATATGAAACTAAGATGGCATAGCCCTGGTTGGTGTGGCTTGTGGACTGAGTGCCAGCCTGAGAACCCAAAGGTCACCGGTTCAATTCCCTCAGGGCACATGCCTGGGTTGCGGGCCAGGTCCCCATTTGCAGGTGTGTAAGAGGCAACCAATCGATATAGCCTTTGCACACTGACGTTTCTCTTCCTTTTCTCCCTCCCTTCTCCTCTCTCTAAAAGGAAATAATCTAAAAAGAAAAGATACTGAGTGGGCATGGGCTGAATGGGCCTTTTCAGACACACTGACCTGAGCATTGTGTTCATTTGGGTGACCTTTCACGCTGGGTTTGTTTAATCAAATGCGCCTCTTTTTACAATGGCAATCCAAATACCCTGCAGCCTCTAAACAGATTTTTAAAGACTCAGAATACTTCACTAAGTGATTTTCATCACTTTACCAATGCACCTTAAATAACATTTAAGTATACGTTTATTAAGAAAAATATTTGAGTAACTAGTACTATGTCTAACAAATGTCTGTGAGAAAACAATTAGACCAGCTCAGCAGGCAATTGCTGCTGAGTCCTGGAAATCCAATGATTAAAAAAAAAAAAAGAAGGTTCTTGCTGGTGAGAGGCTGCCAGTTCAAAATTAAACCTAATAGGGCAGGACGACCAACTTTCACATATAAGCAATTTCCTACCTAACCCTATAAATACAAATCAATGAGATTAAACACACTGATTTTTGAAACACATACCTGAACTATCTTCATTTTCTCTTACCGGCAGGTGGGACCATGTCAGTACTTCTCTCACCAGCTGATCACACAATCCCTGAGCATCATTTAAATTGTAGCTGTACAGGTGGCAGTACAAAAGAGAAAGGTAATAGCGTATCTGAAGAAAACAGGTCCTTCTTCCTCCTTAAACCAGAAAGAATCAAGTGTACATTAAAAACCTGTCAGCAAGGTCATGTTCTTGACCTGGGTGCTGGGTAGACACTCGGGGAGTGTTCAGTTTGTGAAAATTCATCAAGCTGTACACCTGCATTACATGAACCTTTCTGTATCTGTTTCATACTTCAGTATAAGTTACTTCAAAAGTTAGGTGAGCAATACTTTGTTCTTCATTGTAAGTCCCGAACAGTCATATTTTCTGTCATTGGGCCCTGGGATGTACCCAAGGAGAGCTGTGAACCCTCCCCATCTCAGCACTAAGGTTCACTAACACCCACGTCAAGAGCACATCATCTGCAACAAAGGAGAACATGGTGACCCCCAACTCCTAAGAAACCCTACAAATATCAAACAGATGGCCGTAGAGACTCCCCAAAGGAGGGGAGACCAGTAAGAGAGGAGTCCTGGCCACAGCTGGAGGGCGGTTAGGACTGAGAGTACTGGCTGCCGGTCCCTTACCAACTCTTCCTGAATAAAACAATTCCAGCTTTATCTGGGGTCTCAATGCATCCGGATCACAATTTCTCACCAGATGTGACCTTGTGAAAATGTGACTATGTTCCGAACCAAGAGATACTATTGTGAACTTTCCCAAAACGCTGCTTAAAGAGGGAAAACTCAGCTGGAAGGAACGCCTTCTCCTGCCTTCCTCCTTCCTGCTGCCTGGAAGGCGGGGTGATGGCCGAGCTGCAGCACCTGCCGCAGGGTGCGTGACTGCCTTCGGGTAGGAGGCAGTGCACCGAGGAGGATGGAGTAGAGAAACTCCGTCCTGCTTTTAGCCAGAAAGAGAAAAATACACTTCCTCCTTGAGCAGCACTGTTAACTTTCAGTCCCCAGACCTAGAAGCCATCCTCAGGGACACAGTAGGAATGAAGAAGTCCGTGACAGATTCACTGTGAAAACCCTTCCTCAGACTTCTCACTCCTTGGGGCCACTCTTCTTCCACTTGGACAATGCCCAGACTTGAGAATAACTACGTGAGACTTCTTACGAGCCCAATTGCTCAAACCTGTTAACTATCTGTCAATTGTGACTCCAGCTCCCAGCACCTGCCACAGGATGAGAAAATCACTCCTTGCTTACAGAATTCCTCTTGCAGACCTGGGCAACTTGCAGGTAAAGTTGTTTTATTTCACTGATTCCCAGGGCCTAATACAGTACGAGGCACAGGGCAGGCCCTTGACAAAGACTGGCTCAGTAGGTGAATGAATGGAACACACGGAGCCCTGGCCGTCAGAAACTGTACTCAATAACTGGATGAACCTGACCATGTAGCGGTTGCAGTCAGGGCTACCTCTGAGGTTGCCAGCTCAGAGCCGCGGTCACACCCTCGGCCCTGCAGCACAGCAGCTGTCACAGGGGCCTGGACTCCACACCCCTCTGCACCCAGCAGGAACTCCGTGCAGCCCATGCTTAATCCCACGATAAGTCTAATGCACCAGAGCTTGTTGGGTTTGAGCTACTTAAGGGTAGAGAGCCGGAACTCCACATTTCCCTAAGTCTGTAAAAAGTCATAAAACCTTTGACCCAGTCTCACTTAGATACTTGCCGTCCTCTAAATGACAAAAAAAACCCACAAAAATTCACATTATTTTATTTGCGATCTAAATCTCATTTCCCCCACCAACGATCAATCACATGGTCCATCACTAACCAATAAAAAAAAAGGACAGAAGATGCCTTATTTGTAGATAACAAAAAATTCTGGGTCCTACAAATCCAAGGCTAAGACTAATTTTAAAGAGGTGAATCTGACAGTCAAGGCTCCTACAATCCACTATTCTATTTGAGCACTGAGAAAATATGGCACTCGGAACGCTTCAGCTAGTTTTAGGCTCCAGAGCATGCTAAACTGCACTCCCACCACTACTACGGCAAATATTATTTTAAAATAATCCCCCACCCCTACCATTTTCTTGGGTTTCTTGCAGAGCTTTCTTCCACAGCTGGACAGATTTTTCATAGGATCCTAACAGGAAACACTCTTCACCTACAAAGTTTTTAATCAATAATTAGCTATGGTTAATTACATCACTTTATAAAAGTTTACTTTGTTTTAAAATTCAGTGGATACAGCTCAGCCAGAAATTTTGAAAAACAAATAATAGTAAGCAATTGATAAAATCAAAGCCAGTTAGCTATACTTTGCATTACTTATTCATGTAAGTTAAAAACTGTTTATAGATACCAACCTTCAACAGACTTGAGTTCCAAGGTTGGGTTCAAGCAGACTCCAGCGGCCTGTAGGTCAGCCTGTATGTGACATAACAGGGACTGGACAGTAGCTGCTTCCTGTGCCACCTTTTCCGTTAACTGTCTGTCACCTGTAGGAACTCTGTGACTTAGCTGTGTTTGATGCCACAAAGTCTTTTTATACAGCGCTCTCCAGAGGACCGTCAGTCTGCACACAAAGTTGGACAACCATCAAAACCAAATTTCAGGCCAGGGACACAAGGAGCAGTACAGCCTCCTGCTCAGCCTTTTGCTGTTGCTACATTCTCCGCTGATGTCATGTCATGCTAGTATACTTATATACAAACTGATCAGACTTCAATATAACACAAAGTCCCCTGATCAAATACACATTTTTATATGTAACATATATTTTTAAATTTTCACAAATGCTTTCTGCATGTGTGGTCATTTTTCTACAGTACTTACCTAAACCAAAATCTCTCAACAGTATCCTGGTTGCCCAAGGCTAATAAAATGTGTGTTGAATAACACTTGACATAAGTACTACAATATTTTTAGATTAAATAAAATCTATAGTGGTGAGTGCTAATGAATACAAGATTTCTTTTGGGAGTGATAAAAATATACTGGAATTGGTGCTAAGAGTTCTGCAACCTGGTGACTATACTAAAAATCACTGAATTTACAGACTTTAAAACAGTGACATTTACAGTATGGGAATTAAAGCTCAATTTTTAAAAAAAAGAAAAAATCTATAATGCTGATAGTACCCCAATATTACAGAAATTATACCTGTGGCCTGGCTGCTGACCAAGATTTTCTGTTTGAGGTGGAGTCTTTAAAAATGAGTACCAAGACCAGTTTTCCCGAGAATAACTATCTTGAAGTATTTGGAAAATGGGTACCACCAATGAGTCTTGATTCGATGCTGAAATAACTTCGGGCTGAAGACGATACGTGCCGTTTAAATGATCTGCTACCATCCTGAGTAAATGGAAACAGGCTGAGAGCCGTTCTGAGGACAGCGGGCCCTGCGGCGGCCCAGGCAGCAGCAGCAGCTTCATGGCGCTGGCGGTCAGCCTCAGCACCGGCCCCACCGCGTGGCCGGGCCCCACGGCCCAGTGCTGGGCCGATAAGCACTGATGAAAAAGCTGAAAGATACAAAGTACCCATGCATTCTGTCTTGGGCTTTTGCTTAAAAAAAGGTCAAGTTTTGGGAAAGGGCATTCTATAAATTGAAGAATGTAGAAAAAATGAGTAATACAAACTACTGTGTAATTTAACATTAAATGTTTTTCCTTCACATTTTTTGAAATTCCTATAGTCCATGCTGCAAGGAGATTCTTCTGGACATAATGCAGTTCTGTAATGGTTCTGTCTGACGCCGCAGTGTTATCCTTTGCGTGGATTGTATCAAACATAGACGCAAATTCCAATCTTCCCTCCTTGGCACTACTAAACAATGGATTGTTTTTCTGGTTCCAAAAAGAGGATAAGTTGTTTGGAAAGTATGTGCTTTCGTTCGTTTCTTCTGCTTCAAAATCCTAAAACATGAGTGAAAAAAATTATACTTAATACCTTACAAATATAACTACTTGGTGTTCTCAAATTTCTCTTCCCTTAACAAGGGAAAAACAAAAAAATCTTCTTTTGGCATAATATCAGTAAGTAACTGTTCAAAGTGAATAAAACACTGCCACTAAGTACCTGCAAATCCGCTGGTTTTCCATGTGACTCCACTGTTTCTTCATCCTGCAAGAACCTGGGGACAGCAGGATCAGCTGAGCACTCGACTCCTTGGTGTTCTAACAGGCTCGACCTTAGGGAGTCCAGTGATCTCCAGTTCAGCCCTTTGCCTTTCGGCTACAGAAGATTCCCAAAAGCAAAATTTTATCAGTGGTTCTATTCCAAGCAATTAAAATCCTATAGACAACTGTATACAACAGAGAAAAAATTTTTAAAGATTTTATTTATTTATTTTTAGACAGAAGGGAAGGGAGGGAGAAAGAGTGGGACAGAAACATCAATGTGTGGTTGCCTCTCATGTGCCCCCGACTGGGGACCTGGTCTGCAACCCAGGCATGTGCCCTTACTGGGAATTGAACCAGTGACCTTTCTTGGTTTCCAGTCTGGCACTCAGTCCACTGAACCATAGCAGCCAGAAAAATATAGTTTTAAATTTGAAAAAATAAGTCAATCTTGCCCTGCCTGATATGGCTCAGTGGATTGGGCTCCAGACTGTGAAGCAAAGGGTCGCAGGTTTGATTCCCAATCAGGGCACATGCCTGGGTTGTGGGCCAGGTCCCCAGTGGGGGCCACATGAGAGGCAACCACACATTGATATTTCTATCCCTGCCCTTCTCTCTAAAAATAAATAAAATCTAAAAAAACAGAGTAGACATTAAAAAAAATAAGCCAATCTTTACTAACAATATCTAAAGGCTCTCTACCTTAGACAACTTCACACTTTGGTATGTCTTCTCCAGCCTCTGGGTCGAATCAAGCAGAAGGGCTCTCACGAACACCGACGGAGAGAGGTTGTCACAGAGCCGCAGGGCTGTGACCATGTACCCGTCGGAAACGAGGAGGTAGGGCAGCCGCGAGTGTGCTTTCACGGAGAACCTCTGTCGCACGGGGTCACCCTCCGAAGCTGATGAGTCCGCAGAACTATTTGAATCTTTACGTGTAAACTGCTGTGGTCTAGCAAACACACATCAAAATTCAAGAATTAATAAGAGAAAAATCTAAAAGAAAACAATGGTATTTATTACTCCAAAGTAAAACAATTCAGAGTTACAGAATGACAAACATGTAAGCAAATTAAGCACAAAAATATTACATGTGTAATATCTATAAGGAGAACTTCAGTGATTACATAACATACAGGTTTATATGTTTTCTTAATTTTCCCTAAATTGTACTATCTAATTTCTAAACTAGTTTTATACAAACTATTTCAGAAAAGAATATAGTTCATTTTTTTCCATTAAAGAGAGTTAAATGTTTAACTTTCCTCTGTACCATACACTGAAATATACTTATAAGAATATAATTATGAGCTATCAGTGTGTTATGGAGGAGAAAGGGAAAAACTAAGAACAACTGGAGATGATAGGACTGAGTAAAATTTTATCAGTTTAAGATTGATTGGATTGAATTTCCACATAAACATACGTATTTATTGTTATGGTAGTGTGCTTGGTTCTGATTAATCACTTTGCTGCTTATGAATGTTGGGGTTTTATAAATATAAAGAGGACAATCAAAATATATTATGATTTGGGGGGTGAGGGAAGTATTGAAATATAGATTTTATTAGCCAAATGGTCAACAACAGAAGACTGAGTGATTATAAAATGGACACTCCACCACAAATCTACAGAACCATTAAAAATGACTTCATGGAAAGATATATAGGATATACTGCTAAACACAAAAAGCAAAATAGAAAACAGCATATTTCATTGATTTTATTTTAAAAGGAAATTTATTATTATAAAGTTATATAATTTTTAATTTGGGGATAACACTAAAATGTTAATAATTATCTTAGTTTTGTAACATTTGATTTTTTAAAAGATTTTATTTATTTATTTATCTTTAGAGTGGAAGAGAAGGAGAGAGGGAGAGAAACATCAATGTACGGTTGCCTTTCGTGGGTCCCCTGCTGGGAACTGCCCTGCAGGGAACCAGCCTGCAACCCTGGCATGTGCCCTGACCGGGAATCGAACCGCGACTGTCTGGTTCGCAGGCCCGCGCTCAATCCACTGAGCTACACCAGCCAGGTGTAACATTTGATTTTTAAGTTTTTAAAAAAATAATGATTATTTTTGTAATAAAAATGTAATACATTTGAAATCCCCAAATATTAATTTTAAAGGAGAACGTGAGAAAAGTCAATTATGAATCAGACCATAAGAATTAAGGAAGAATAGTCTCACAAAAGGAAATGACAAATTTTTCCATTAGAATTTTCTATTGCTAAAAATTAAGCATCAATTTTTGCTAAATATTAATCAAAGACATACACCTCTTTTGTAAAGCAAAGGGGATAAATTAATTTCAAAGGCCTTTGCAATTTTTTGTCATCATCCTTTATTTCAACCAATTATTATTCTCTTCATTTCACAGCAAAAAAGAAAGAGGCTCAAAGAACAACTTACCCAAAGTCCCACAACAAAGAAGTAGAACCATGACTTAAATTTTGATCTAACTTCAAAGCCAATTGCTACCCCATCTCACAATTAAAAATTTAAATTTAGCTAACTTCTAAAGTCTTCTATCCACTTCCCAAAATTTTTTCCATTTGGGGAAAAAAGTACATAAACCCATGTGCCAAGTTATATTGAGTTACTAATTTATTTAAGTACTCTCATTTTAAAATAAAGGACATACTTTTATTAATTTTTATATCAAAGAAAATAAAATTTTAGTGCTATTATAGAGTATTTAAATAACTTATACTTACATAGTCACAATGTCACATTTTCACCCGGATTAAGCCACAAAAAGAAATGAAAAAAACTATAAATATACAGATATTGCCATGACAGACTCAAAGAAAAAATATGACAACTTGAAAGATGAAATTATAAACACACACACACACGGTAAAGTAATACCAAAAGAGAACAACTTCTATAAACAAATCAAAACAATTCCAATGTCTCACCTATATGTTATCAGTGGGTGAAGAGGAATGAACTCTGCTGGCCCAAATTCTATAGAGCACCCAAAAGTGATTAACGTCAGCAGTTCACCCTGGCAAGTCAGTAAAAGCAGGGAGCCACGCTTCAACATGCAGGCCAGAAAAAGACTATCTGGAGTCCAGCTGACATCGCCCACCCAGTAGGACCTAGAAAAAGCAAGACAGTGTGTTTAGAAAGGGTTCTATACAATGTCTCTGATACTTTATAATGGCCAAGCAGGGGTGAAACCCTCAAAAAAATAAGGGCAAAGGAATGGATAGCAGGCAACTGCCACATACATTTTGTGTATTTCTTTTCCCAGAACAAAGGAGCAAACTCATAAACACTGCCTACAATGTAGCAATCAGAAATTTAGATTCACAAGTAAATCATAAAATACAAACATTCCCTAAAAGTGTTAAGCTTCTGAGTTGCTCATATTTTAATTAGAATGATTTTTCATCCTTCTGGGGTCCACAACTAAGACCCACTGACAGACGTGAAGGTCTGAACGGGCAGCGCTCTCAGCAGCCTGCTGTGGCCCCCCTCTCCCTGCAGCCTGCTCCTGACTCCCCTCTGCTGCAGACTCCCTCTTCACGGAGCCACTGTTCCTGCTCCCTAACTGTCTGGTGATCTTAATGTTTCATAGAGACACAAAGCAGCTTCCCCTCATGTAATGAGGGATGCCCTGAGTCGAACAGACTGCTGAACTGAGACCAGTAATACTTCCAGAAAGAACTTTGGGGGAGGGAAAGAAAATGAACAGACAAGACTGGATCAAACTTTGAAAATTCGGAGAATAGCAGGGAAAAGTGTTCGAAAAGGGAAATCAGGGGATCCAAGAGGAAGTCCTCCTAATCTATAATGCCCCGTAGGTCCTGGTGGTAGCTCTGGTGCCACCCAAGCCCACCACTGCTACGGCTACTGACCCGTACTCTGCAGAGAGCGCCAGCTTTGTTTGAAAGGCCGTAGGCACCGCGGCCTCAGAGCGCATAATGGCTTCCCAACCACGGTTTCCACCTCAGCCTCTCCAGTTAAGCTCAGTATTTTGCTACCTGTCGTGATTCCACTCCTCCTTGGCCAATGTAGAAAGTCATTAAAAAGGGAAACAGAATATGTTCATGTGTCTTCTACCCAACCAGACCCTTCTTTAAAGTACTTAAGGCTTTCCTTACATAAAGGAATTTTTACAATCTATCAAGCACGAATGCTGAAAGTAAGTTCCGTTATCCTTCTAAACACCTACATGGACACCAACTGAATTATCAGAGACCTTACCAAACTCTTGGCAAAGAGGAGAAAAACACTATTTAGAAATACAAAAACGTTCTTACCTGACAAGTGTAGGTGGAACCACAGGATTCTTATTACTACATCCTTTAAGGCTGCCACAGAGAGTAACAAAATTCAGTGTGTTTATAAATAATACCTGAGTTGCCTAGAAAAAAATGACAACAAAAGCACTCTAAAATTATTTTATTTTAATCATCACTTACAATTCTGGAGACCTAGAGATCTATGATTATGTCAGTAAAATATCTAGGGGTCTTTCCCAAGTGGCAAAAAAATACTGACCACTTGTGTAACTCTTCTCTTTAATTCTACATTTTAAGAACATTAGTTACCATACTGCCTTTCTTTCTTCCTTTTCCCATAATCTCGTATCACTTCTGAAGGCCAAGTTTTGAAAACCACAGCAGCTAATTTAAATAATTTTACCAACTCACAATGATAAATTGGATAGGAAAACATCAATTTAAAAAACATAAGAAACTATCTTCAGGGGAAATAAACATCTCAGCACTGGACTAACTCTCTCTATAGGTTACTGCGGAGACATACTGCGTGTCACTGACCTCTGGGTCTTTCTGATTAAGGGTTACTGCCAGGGTAAGGCCATCTCTTGAAAAGGCAGAAATTAGAGCTCCTCTTGATTTCACTGATTCACATGGAGGAATCAGACTACCCAGAAGGCAATCTTGCTGTGCCCAGTGAACACGGTATGGCAATGATCTAAGAAGGTAACAAAATAATCGAGAATGGGAACTATAGTAACTTTTAAATATTAAAATATATTTCATTACTATAAAGTAGAGTCCAACTAAATTCCTACATGTGCACATACATTAGGGAGCCTCTGAGCGACCACTCGGAAGCTTCACCCAGGTAACTGAAGGGCAGTCACCAGTTAAACTCAGGCAGTATCAGTTTTGTTAGTCACAGCATGTTATAGCCAACCCCAACTCTATCTGCTTCCACTACGGTTTAGATATACGAATTTCTACATTATTGCTAACATTTTCAAAGAGATTAAATAAGTAAAGAAGAGGGGTGCTTCAGGATAGCGTTTTATACTTGATGTGAAAACAGGTACATCATGTATATGCATTATAGCCCAGATGTACAATTATTTGTTCATTTTTACTATATATAAGTTACATCTTAATAAGGAATTGTTAGCATAAAAAAATAAAACAACCAAAAACACACTAGTTTAGTGAATCTTATTTAAGCATGTTTTTAATGCATTGTTTCTATTTTATTGGGCTTTTTAGAATAAAACTATTTTTAAATAAAAAATTCTAAAGTATTTAAATTTGATACAGTAGTAAATTCAAGTAAGTTATGTTCCTTTTAAAATTCTATTGAATTACTTTCCAAATAGACTTTTTTAGTCTTAAAATAAGTAAACTATAGTCTGTCTTAACTTTTACATGGTCTCGCTTCCATGAAGGGAAACAAAAGAAAAAATAAAAACCTTCTAGAGTATGTATTTAAATGAAAACTAAAGAAATAAAGCAATACTTTTAGGAAGAGAAGATTTGCAAGGTCTCAGAAGTTGGAAGTCACAGTTCGTTTACTAATCTTACTAGGTATTTATAAGCCAAAAAATAATAATGTTTCAAAAGGGACAGAATTAAGGAAACATTTACCTCACCTTATAGGTACAAATACATTCTCATGCCACCGAATTGCTAGAAATGTCGACTTCAGGCATTCCCCAGAGTAAAAAGTAAAGGAACACAAGCAGCAGTCTCCAAATAACTGTAGACAAATTTAATATACTTTAACATATAGTTAATCTGAAAATAAATCAAGATACAGTATATATATATTTCTCCTCATAAATAAATGAAATATGCCTAGGTCTCACTTATATTTTTATTCTTAACATTAAGTTAAAGACTTAAGTAATTTATTTCTGAGCCAGGGGCATTAGGTATATAGTTTATTCTCTTAAGAAAACACTGCCATTAACTGGGCCTATAACTATGAAGATTCTTACATAGTAATTTTTTCTCTTCATTTATAGTTATGTATTATTTAATTAGGGCACTACACCCTTGGAGGTGGGGGGAGATAGAGGAAAACAATAAAACCTCAAAATCAACTTCTAACAATAGTGGACTGAGTAACAGAATGCTCATCCATACACACACACAGCGCCATGCAGCTATATAAAATGTTTTTTAGCTCATGAATGTGTTATTTCCTGGGAATTAAATAGTTCACTTAACTAGTTATATTTTAAAACTAGGGAAAATTAGAAGCAGGGAAAGAGGAAGCTCTAATTTCAAACCATTTCTAATAAACATTTCTTAAAATATGACCAAGAAATCTAAAAATATATTTTCCGTAACGATCTCAGTGACAGTGAGAGCTGGCGACCAGTGTCTACAGCTCAGCCGTGGCCCCAGCTGCTCAACCGCTTCTCAGACAGTGTCTGTCCTCGGAGCCCGACGCCTCCACTTTGGGAACACCTGGTCTGACCCAGACTTTACCTCGTTCTTTACAAAAACGGCATGCACTGCAGCTTCTTTATCTTTGGTGGACGGCATATGCACTGTTCCTTCAGGCAGGATCTGGGACCACTGGCCCACCAGTGAAGGGTTTTTGGAAGATAAGATACTATTGAATTCCAAATATTCCCAAAGAAATACGCAGCCAGAAGGAGTTGTAATCAGAACTCTTCTCCCATCTCCAGATACATACAAATGCAGTCTCAAAGAGCTTGCTAAAACCAGAACAAAACAGTAATTAAACCTTGAAGTCTGAATTCCCTCCCTTAGTACATAACTGATCTACTCTGACAAAGAAACCTAAATGGTACCACCATTAAGGATGTACAACTAAGGCAGTAGTGATAAATTAAAAGTACAAAACAGTAACATTTATCTCATATGTATGTGGTATTAGTCACTCATTATTATCAGATATACGGTAAGCATATCAGACTTCAAAATGAATCTATTGAGTTGGTCAAAAAGTCCGTTTACTTTTTTCCATAAAATAAGACACAATTTTTCATTTTCACCAATAACTTTATTGATTTGGGTATTTTGACTGCATTGGCTATCTCCTGCTAATGGCTTCTAGTGGGTAGAGGCCAGGGGCACTGCTAAACACCTTCCAATGCATAAGACAGCCCCACAGCAAAGAGTTATTTGGCCAGAATGTCGATAGTACCAAGAAACTTCACGAACCACTTTTGACATGTTTGGTCAGTCACAGCGCCTTCTCCATCCACTGCACAAATCTTATTTTGTGTTTCAGTTGCATTTTTGCCTTTCTTAAAATAATAAAGCATAATATGCCAAAAGAAGATCTTCGTCCACCTCCAATACTAAATTGGCTACACAAAAATTCACCGGTTTTGATAAGTTTTTTTTAAATGCATGCTGCTATGACAGCTGTCACAATACAGTCTAACAAAACTGTTTTGAATGAAGTTAAAGACAACTAAGTACCACTGGAGCCACTGTATGGACAAAACTAAACAAACCTTTTGGCCAACCCAATAAGTACTATCACGAATAAACACCACCAAAAACTACATATGTATAAAATACATATGAGTATACATATACACACACAGATTTTTAAAATAGTAATAAAAAAATGTTTCGACTTCTTTTCCTATTTATCAAGTTAAACCAATTTAAACCAATTAAATCCTCACCTGTCACAGCTTGAATCATTTCCTTAGGCTTTTCAGTTGCTTGTACAGTTTTCAAACAATCGTGATCCTTGTTCCAAAGAAAAATCTCCCCTGTGGTAAGTAACCCGGCCAGCCAAGCATCTGTTTCCAGAAAGAAAATGCAATACTTACAAGCAAATGCTTCCCCTAGTATTGCCCCAAATTATTAAAAAATTCACTTAATCTATCCTTTTGAAAACATTGGTACTACTTAACCATTACTGGACGTTGTTAGGACAATAGCATCCTTCAAGAAAGGCTGCAGACGAGGAATTTTCTTCTTTGTCCTCCCCGAGAGCAAATTAATTTCATTTATGAGTTTGTCATCCAAAAGAAAAACAGCTTCATTTTCCTAAGAAAATAAATATGTCAGAGTTAAATAAGGAGGTGCCAGAAGTAAACTCTTATCCATAATATCCTAAAAAAAAAAGGTGACATTTAAAAAAGATTATACATTTATACCATACATTAAAAAGATTATACATTTGTACCACAAACCATAAAATGAACAATAAGATTGACTACATATCCTGAAGATTTTTTCATTCTCTCTTAAAATACCTCATTAAAATTATTTGTAAAATGAACTAATGATTACAATTTAGATTTCTCTGAATTTTAAAGTTATAGGAGTGTCTTCTGACTCTGCTAGCCAAAACCGGGTCATCACTTTGAACAGCAGTGTGTACAAGTTTGTAAGTTATTTATTTAAAATAGATACGGCTTCTGCACTCCCCAGCTCTGATCACTTTTTATTACCTAGAAAAAGCATGCTGGTTTGGACTAACTTCGTCTTCCTGCATTCTGGGGCAGTGGTTTGCAAAGTCCCGCCTGACCAGCCACATCAGCAACACCCGAGACCCAGTCAGAAATGCATATTCTTCTACGCCAGACCCACTGAGTCGGAAACTCTGGGACAGGGCCCAGCACTGTTTTAACAAGATCTCCACCTGGTTCTGACCATTGTAAAGTTCATGAGACATGGTTCTAGAGAGGTAAATTAATGGTATAATTTCTCCCAGGAAGTGACACCACACCAAATTTCTTAATTATAATAATTATAATACACTCTTAGAGGCTTTTACAGGTTTGTCCACCTTCCCTGAGATGAGGACACTATTCTATACATTGTGAATAGTATTCCCAGACTGCCTGCGTATTGTCGCCATCTTTTTTCCAGGTCTGAGGGGCACTTTATTGCACAGTCATGAAAACCGCAACGGAAGAAACATTCCCCTGACTGTTCCAGTAGGAAAAGGTTCAGCAGATTAAATATTCCCTGTTCATAAATGCCATCTCCACCATCTTAAATACAATATGAAAAAAAATTGTAAGTAAAACACTTCTTCTAAATAGACTATTAAACTTTCTGGAAAAGCTAATTTACTGTAATAAAAACAAAACACAAATACAAAACCCTGTTTAGTGGGCAAGTGATCCTTCTAAAGATGGATTTCATTGTTTAAATGCCACAGAACATTCTTCAATCTTAGAGGCAAAGCGCTTGTTTAACACACAGTACAACTAGTTTTGTCTGAACAAAGAAACACCCACCTGTCCCAGCCAGGAGACTCGTGGCCAGGGTCTCTTCTGCTTGATACTTGTGGATGTCAAAACTTCTAATCTTATCTCCATGCTTGTTAAGACATCAATGACCAGTCAAGTAAAAACAGTCACAAGGTACTACAAAAAGCAAAAGTAATGATAATAATAAAAAATAGCCCATCATATTCACTGAGGATCTTAATTTAGAATTTACACAAAGATTTCGTGTTTTACTTGTTTCACAGCTCAGTTCTCTTTTTCAGGTAAGATACTGACCATGCATTCAGTATCGCATCTTACTTCTTCAACGGTCTGGCAAATGCACTGGCTTTTTTGACAAGTTATTTCTCACACTATGAAGGTAAACAGAAACCAGGGAAAGATCTTGACAATACAGTTTCTGCATGATTTGTCCTTCTGGGTGGCAGGCTGTATTTTCCAATGATGGCCCCAAAAGTATCTCCCCTCTCACATGCTCCTCTTACACTGTGACCCTGGCACTTCTCTCATAGGTCACTCCTCAGGTCTATGCTTTATCCCTCAGAACAGGACGGGATCTGGACTATTTTAACCAAGAATAAAGTGGAAGTGATGCTGTGCATCTGTCCAGGCTGTAACACAAAGGGCGATACAGCTTCCACTTTATTCTCAGGAATCACCGCTCTTGAGGCCTGCAGTCCCTGTTGCCTGCAGTCCAGCTGCCCTGAGCCACCGAGCTGCAAGAAAGCCCCAACTAGGCCACGTGCAAATGAGGCTCAGAGAGAACATGAAGTGAAGAGGCCTGGCCAGGCCCCATGCTGGCTGTGGAGGCAGTCACAGTGAGTCCAAGGACAGTGTCAGAGCCCAAGCAAGGGGCGGAGAGCATCTTCCTGGACACACGGTCTATTCTTGGCAGAATCTTAGGAGGATGGTCACACTGCGGTACATCCTGCCACAGAGCTTTGGAACTTAAGCTGAGTGAGGACATGGAAGCCATACAGAAAGGGATCCCACTGACCAAACCAAGGACAATCTGAGCATCAAAACTAATTACAGTAACAGATTTAAAATCCATTTAACAAAACAGGAAACTGACTCCATATAAATTTTTTAAAGTAAATAAATTGAACATCTGATGACAAATGGTACATTTATATTGTTTCAAAGTATCTCCTACAAAATACTCATTAATTACAAAGGAGAAAAGATTAACTGTACAATGAAGAAGCCAGGCAGACTCCATTTAATCCACTGATCAAAATGAAAATGATCAGTAATAGAGCCCCAGCTGGTATAGCTCAGTGGATTAAACTCGGGCCTGCAAACCAAAGGATCGTGGCTCAATTCACAGTCAGGGCACATGCCTGGGTTGCAGGCCAGTTCCCAGCAGGGGACACACAAGAGGCAACCATACGTTGATATTTCTCTCCCTCTCTCCTTCCCTTCCCCTCTAAAGATAAATAAATAAAATCTTTAAAAAAAAGGAAAAATTTAAAAACATTAATATTTTTTTAAAAAAGAAAAATGATCAGTAATGGGACAAACGAAAATCTTGCACCACAAATAGACAAATGAGACAAATATCTGTGCCACATGCGTGAAAGACAAACAACCTGAATCACAAGGAACATCAGACAAACCCAAATGGAGGGACATTCTACAAAATACTTGACATGTAACCTTCAAAAGTTTTAAGGTTATGAAAGTCAGGAAAAGACTGTGAACAGCCCTGGCCATATGGGTCAGTTGGCTGGAACATTGTCTGGTCGCCAAAGTGTTGCAGGTTTGATTCCTGGTCAGGTACATACCTGGGTTGTGGGTTCGATTCCTCGTCTGGACACATATAATCTCCAGTCCAGACACATACCAGACTCAACCAATTGGTGCTTCTCTCTCACACTGATATTTCTCTCTCTCCTTAAAAGCAATGCCCTTGGGTGAGGACAAAAAGAAAAAAAAAGATCGAGAATAGAAAAGCTGAAAACTAAACATGCGTAATTATAACTTGTATCCTTTCATTATAAAGGATAACACTAAACAACTGGAATAGCATGAATAGGAAGAGAAATAGGTGGCTGTGGTGTATGAATGTTCATTTTCTGATCTAGATGTTTGTCATGCAGTTAAGGAGGTGAATGTCCTTGTTCGTAGGAAACACACACTAAAGCACTCAAGGACAGCCCTGGCTGGTGTGGCTCAGTGGATTGAACTCCAGCCTGAGAACCAAAGGGTCACCAGTTTGATTTTTTAGTGGGGGCACATGCCTGGGTTGCAGGCTGGGTCCCCCAGTTGGGGGCATGAGGGATGTTTTTATCACACGTCAATATCTCTCCTTCTTTTTCTCCCTTCTTTCCCCGCTTTATGAAAATAAATAAAGTCTTTTTAAAAATGAAAATATTCAGGAATAAGAGAATATCAACTTGTCACTCACTCTCAAGTTGTTCATCAAAAAAAGTTCTCTGTAATCTATCTGCAGTTTTCCTGTAAGTCTAAATCAATATTTCAAGTTAATTTTTTAAAATTTTTACAGTTGTGACATCTTGAACAAAGATGGTATTTGGTCATTGGTCTGGACTGTGTTTATTCATAGCTTTATTCTGCATTCTTTTTTAATTTTGAATTCTATCTTCCCAATTCTATTTAGTTTATGAAATCCAGAATAAATTGAACTTCTTTTGTATGATTGATGCCATAGTCAAGAAAATAGCTAATTTTTAAAAATAAAATTAGCTTGCCCTGGCTGATGCGGCTTAGTGGATTGAGCACCAGCCTGCGAACCACCAGTTTGACTCCCAGTCTAGGACACAAGCCTGGGTGGCAGGCCAGGTCTCCAGTAGGGGGCGTGCAAGAGGCAACCATACATTGATGTTTCTCTCCCCCCTCCCTCCTCCTTTCTAAACATAAAATAAATCTTTAAAAATAAATAAAATAAATAAAAATAAAATTAGCTTTAAAAGAAAAACTATTCAAGCACAGTACACAATGACCTATCAAGGTGCTAGCCCTCATATTTTATACTATAACACTATTTTTCAGTTACTCAGAACCCTAATATTCTAGATGACTACTTTCTTGGACAGCATTTATGTTTCTAAATTTTTAATATAAAAATTATAAATAAGAAATTCTTCAAAAAGAGCTAACCAAGTGTGAGAGTTATGATAGCACCAGAAAAGTATCATTTGCAGCTCTTAAGGACCTAACAGACCTAGTCAAACAGCATCAATGGCTGCTAGAGCTATTAGGGGAAAGTAGAATAGATAAAGAAGTCTAAAAGAGGTAGACTAATATGCCATAAGCCCCCTAATTGATCTTAAAATTATTAACAGTGAAACAAACATTATATTCTTGATATGATGCTACACAGATCAGCAGTACACAGAACCTCTATGAAATATTCTTACAAAGAAAAACATTAAAAACTGAACCTGAATCTGTGTCTGAATCCAACCACCAACTGATAAGAAACAGAGTAAGGGAACATAGTAAAGGAGAATAAAATCAGCCAAATTCCGAATGAAAGAAATTGTACAGAATAAATCAGTGAAATAAAATAGAAAACCATGAATTCATATAACTATAAGTGAAAAAATTGAGCATTTGATAAAAATAATGGATAAATGAGGCAGTTTCTTCAGCAAATAAATGGCATTATAAAAAGGAGGAAGGAGATAAACTTTTATATATGTATATATTTTACATATAATAATGCAGACAGATAGATAGAAAGAGTAACACAACTAAATGCAATACATGAAAACCTTTTCAAGTCCTCAATTCAAATAAACAAGTGGGAAAAAGATATTCTGCAGCTGTTAAAAAGAATAAGGAAGGTCTCTGTGAACTGTGATTTCTGGACTACATTAATTGAAAAAAGTAAAATGCAAGAGTGTAAGAAGAGAAAAATAATACACCATTTAATTTTACAAAAAGAAACAGAAAATAAAACAAATGAACAAAATAGATTAACTACCAAGGGTGGAGCAAATGAAGTGGAAAGGCTAGGAAGAGAGTGATATTTCTTAAAATAGCTTTTTGTACAGTTTTAACTTTTGGAATTATTAAAAAATGAAGTGGTCAATCTCAGTAACAAAATAGAAGTCCTTTATATTTTTCCTGAAACTTTTTGGAAACCTTGAAATTATTTCAAATTTATAAAAGACAACAGGAAAATCTGGGTACTTGATAACATCAAGAAATTAATGTTCAGAGAGATAGCACTGTCACCAAGAATAATTTGGAAGTTGCCAAGGTCTTGTTTTAAAATGTTTTCAAGTCTGACTGAGAACTCTGACATTTAGGGAAAAAAATTAATATTACTTTTGGTAGTATGTGGTACTTCTATTACAGATTTGGTGCATTTTATTTAAAGGGTCCTCACCTCCCTTAACTATGGAAAACAGTATATACTTAAGTATTTATGCCAGGGACGTCCTTTAAATACTCCAGATGGATACTCGGAGATAAACTTTCCAACTAAAAGGTAAAGATAAAGGTAGCTCAAGATGTGAGGATGGAGCCCTAGAGGATTAGATTTTCCACCGCCTGTTATTAGGCGACGATTATTTCGGCTACTCACACTCAAGATAGTAATGCTCCTGACAATAATAAACATCACCAAACAAGATTCGTTAATGGAAGAAAAAAATAAATATAGCCCTGGCTGGTGTGGCTCAGTGGATTGAGCACGGGCCTGTGAAGCAAAGGGTTGTAGGTTCAGTTCCCGGTCCTAGGTTGCAGGCCAGGTCCCCAGTGGAGGATGCATGAGAGGCAACCGCACATTGATGTTTCTTTCCCACTCTTTCTCCTTCCCTTCCCCTATCTCTAAAAAATATAGTATTTTTAAAAATAAATATAACCTTATCACACTCACAAAATGTTAGGAAAGGAAAATATTAAGTCTACGCAAAAAAAAAACAACACAAAACTTTATTTAAAATACACAGGCCAATGCAATTTAAGGGCAATCATCAAAGTGCTTCTGTGCTTTCCACCACACGAGTCGAAAGAAATCACGCCCGTTCCGCAACGTTCAGCTAACTAATCATCAACTAATGTCAAACACGTTAAACAGGTCAGAGACGCGGGGGGGGGGGGATTCTCCCCACGCACAAGTCATCCCCAGGGGCTCCTCCGAGGCTTCCTCCCCGACCCTGCGGAGGAGGCCGGGCAGCGGGAGGTGCCCGCGGGGGCCAGGACAGGAGCTGGGGGCCGGCCCCGGGAGCCCCACGCCGCCGTTGGCCGGAGGATGCTGCGGCGGGAGGACCAGGCCAGAGGCCTAGAGAAGGGAAAGCCGGATGCCGGGCGGAAGGGAAGGACGAGGGGGCCGCGAGCGGCGGGGCCGGGGAGGCTGCGGACATGCAGACAGAAGGTGAGGGGACTGAGGAGCCGCAGGACGCGGGTGGGCCCTAGGCCGGAGGCGGCAGAGAGACTCTGCGGGGCCGGAATCCGCGGGCAGTTACCTCCGCCAAGGCCGGGCCCCTCCAGGGCGGGAACAGCGCGGCGACGCCGAGGGCCGAGCCGGCCGCGCGGCCAGGAGGCGGGAGGACGACCGCCGACGACCCAGCCGGCCGCCCAGACGCGAGCCAGCGGCCGGGCGACGGCTTCGCACTCTTAGCCAAGGTTCACAAGCTCACACCGCGTCCCAGGCTCGGGGTCTCCTGTCCGCGTTCACGGCTTTTATTCTCGCCGTCGCCCCGCCCGCCCAGCGCCCCGCCCACTCAGCCGGCGCCCCGCCCACCGTCCGTGGCTCCCGGGCTGGAGTAGGTCCTGGTTTCCCCGCACTGGTCGTGCTTCACACTCACGGCCTCCAAGTGCCTGGGTGTTGTGCAACGCCTCCCAGGAAACCGTCTAACAACAGACCTATGAGTACCCGTAAGTCACGGGATGTCACCCCGCTAGTGGGGACCGCCACAGACCCCAAAGGAAAGGGGTCGTGCGAGGCCACCGAAAGCGCTCCGAGAACTGTGTCCTTCCTCGTAATCTTGGCGGCTGGTTTATTCCCCGCACTGTGTTCGCTTCTTTCGCCCCTGCCCCGGTCCAACCCACCGACTGGGAACGGTCAGGAACAGCGGCTCTCCAGCTGAGTTTGTCCTGGAAAAGCATTTTTTTTCTGTAGCTTAAACGTGCAGGCTTTAGGCAGGAGCTTGCTCTGGTTTCCCTCCTATTCACGTGCAGACGTCATCGGCCTGGTGTTTGAGGGCTTTGGGCTGGTTACCCTCAGCTGGGATAAATGTATGCTGCCGAGTAAATCGCTCAGCCCTCCCAGGTGAAGAGCTACTAGGTCGGCTTCTCTTAGTAAGCAAGATATACAGGGCAGGAGAACTTCCCAAAGCATCCTGAACCACACCTATCCCTCTGCTTGGGTGTGGGGTCACAGGCAGCTGGAATACTGGCAACTCAGCACCATTTATCTCAAAGCTTAGAGAACGGAGATGCTTCAAGTTCGCCCAAACTCAGGAAGAGCTTAGTAGAATGAGCACCGAAAATCTCAAGCAGAAAACTTCAGGAACTAAGAAATCCTGACACATTCCCACAGTTTTCTTTCTTCTCATTTCTAGTTCTTAAGATGTGATACTAATAGGTAACTGTGGCTGACTTTGCTGTGTGCCCATAAAACCTAGAGGTATTGGTGTTATTCTGGAATTAACTGTTCCATGCCTTTACCTGTTCTTTAGGTTTTACAGGAATAACTACAATTTGCTAAAATAATTGAATGTCTATAATGTGTGAGACACTTTGCTAAGTACGAGGGTGGGCCCAGAAAATGAAATCTACTAAAAATAGTGTATTTATTCCTACACGTTTAAACTTCAGTCACCTTCAAAGTTTTCTCCATGTAATGCAATACACCTATGGAGACACTTTTCTCATGACTCAAAACAGTTTTAGAGCTTGTCAGTTTTGATGCCTTTTAGTGTTTATGTTGGTTTTTGTTTCACCTCTTCCACATTGGCAAAACATTTTTCTTCGAGGACTTTTTTCATCTGGGGAAACAAAAAATTGTCTCTCTGGGGCAAGATTGGGTGAATAGGGAGGTGGGGCACGGGGATCATTTTGGAACAAAATGGTGCGGGCACTCAATGTGGTGTGGGCAGGTGCACTCAAATCACTCATCATGAAATGGGAAAATGCGTTCAGTCTTCAAAAAAAATTCACTGAAGCCGAACGCAGCCTCTCACAACACCACCAAATAGTACACTGGGGATTCCTAGAAGAACACTCACCTAGTAGAGGAAGCCTGTACTACAAGGGCCCCCAACTCCAGCAGATAATTCCAGGGCTTTCTCGGGGTCCTTTGTCATATGAAGAAAGGTAGATAATACTGTCCCTGTAAAACACAGGCACATGAATTACAGTGCAGTGATGAATTCCATGGTGGCAAAATGCACTCTGCATACTGCTCCCTAAATGAGCGGGAAGGTCATTTCTGATGGGCAGGTCAGAAACATCCAGGCCAGGTTTTAAATGGAGAACAGTTCGATTTGAAGTACATGCATCTGGTGGTGCCTTTGGACTCCCAGGTGGAACCTCGTAGTGAACAATTAGATACGTGGTTCAGAAACCCAGTGAGAGGATTGTAGGGAATAGGATATGGAGCCTAAGCATCAGCCTCCCCTTCAGCTCTCCCCGCCTCCCCGCACTTTTTGTGAAGATCTGAGTGAGCTCAAATAAAACAACCCTGAGGATTCCCCATCAGATTTGGTGTTTTGTAGCTATAGTGCCAGATATGTAATAACTGAGGGCCTTTTCATAGCAGCTAATAAAATCACATCTGACTAGCCTGAACAAGGGAGGGAAATACATTCCTACAATATATGTAGAGGTTTTGGTGAACCCCACAGAATCTAAGGAATGGATTCAACAACCAACCTTTGAGAAAGACGGGGACCAGGGGAGGCTGTGGACGTCCTCTCTAGAGCAGTGCTGTCTAGTAGAAATGCCTGCACTGATGAAAATGTTCTCTGTCTGCTTCATCCAGTGCGGGAGCCATAAGTTGCAAATGATACTGAGCACCGGAAATGTAGCTAGTGCAACTGAGACACTGAATTTTTATTTTATTTTATTTTTATGAAATTCAAATAGCCACATGGGGCGAGTGGTTCCTGTATTGCCCAGTGCAGCTTCCAAAGCTTTGCCCGTTAACACGGCTCAGCTGCAGTCATTCTCAGCTTTCGCCTCAATTGAAAATCTCAACTCTCTTGGAGGGAGCACGCAAATGACGCAGTTTGGGGGAGATGCACTCCTGGGTCCATCAGCTATGGCTAGGACCACATAGTACAGAAGTGGCTGCTGAGGGCTTGTCTGTGTTCCTGAGTCCACTCTTCCTCCACCAGGGAATCATTATAGGCTGAGGTCTACAATAACATGGAGTGGTGACTTATTTAGACTGGGCTGCGGCATCAAAAAGCCCCTCCCATTCATCTGGGGCCTAAACAACATGGATGCTTCTTTCTCTCCTGTGTAACTATTGTGAGGTGCATATTCAGTTTGGTGGAGTCGCTGTGCTCCCCACCATCATCCAGAGACACAGATTTCTTTAAGAGGTTTCCTCGGTCATTCTCCAGTGTCTTGTTGCATAGTCAAAACAGTCACAAGGACTTCCAGCCACAGGCAAGGGGAAAAAGAGAGTATGCCCAGTTTTAAGGCCTGGGCCCACAAATGTCACTCATGTTTCTGCTTATGTTGCATTGGAGAGAACTTAATCCTCTGGTCACACCTAACTGCAAGGGAGGCTGGGAAATGTATTTTAGCAATGTGTCCAGTGAGACTCAAAATGAGTTTTGATGGGCAGGAGTTTTTAGAAAGTGGTTAGAATACAAAAAATAATAATACACATTTCCTGCCTTCAAGGATATCACAGGTTTGGTGAGGAGATAAATGAGTACTTAACTAGCAATGAATAAAGAACATGCTGTGAGAACTCTAAGAAAAGAATGGCTCAAAGCACTGTTTCTCAGACTTTATATATGAATCACACAGAACTCTTGTCAAAACCTCTGATTCAATAAGTGGGGGGCGGGGTTGGGGGGTTGAGACCTGGTTTTCTGCGGGGGTGACATCCCCCCACTGTCTGACACAGATGAAAGTAACACTACCAAGACATGATCTGCTTGGGGAGGAGAGATGGCCAGTTTCTCAGAGGAAAAAGGCCAGGAACCACTTTTTCCAGGGGCTTTTATTGGGTTGTAATACACAGGAATACAGACGGTAAGGATCAAACAGTAGATAACATTTCAAAGAAATGTGAGGGCTTAGTCTGAGTCAGTGTCTGCCAGGAAAGGGGGTTGCAGAAACTTTGGGAGACATACTCATTTCCTGCTCGGACCCTTAACGTATGAATGAAAACACTCTTAGCAAAGCAGGTTTCACAGGGCTTTTAGGAATTCTTTCTTATGCCTTATTTACCCCGGATCCTGCTCCAGTTGGCAAGGGGCCGCACTGCCCCCATCACAGGTTTTCAGGCTTAAGTGGATTAGAGCCAGGAAGCCCTTCTCCCAGAGGACATGGGGACTCGGGCTATGTCAGAATAGCTGGGGGCAAAGGTCCATCACTCTCTCTTTGTGGCACCCCCCCCCCTGGAGTCCTTCCATGATGGCCTCCCAAGTGATCGTGTCTGGCTGAGATTGCCCCTCCTTTGAGGAGTCTTACCCATCATCAACATCGACCATGCTTTTGGGGGCAGGGGGAGGAAGCAGAGGCAGCGTTTGCTACCAGAGACAAGATTTGTCTCCTAAGTGGCTCACATTCCAGAGGTCGCCCACTCAGTCTTAGCCATGGGGGGTGGTTTCAATTCCTGAAACCAGGCAGAGCGGTTCCCAACACTTTTGTAAAAATCTTCCATGTGATGCCAATCCATCCCTTGGACCATACCTTGAGTAGCAGGTGATTTGAGATTCAGCCCACCCCACAGAGGGAATGGCATTTGAACTACATTTGCAATCAAGTGTAGTGATTGGGACCTGCTTTGGATGTTGCATGTACTGTGTTCAACTTTCAACTCTGTGATTTACTGCGTGATTTAAATGGCCAACGTACAAGCCTATGAGAGATCTTAAGTAACAGAGAACTTCACGCAAACTGGACTGAACAGTAAAAGAAGTTGAGTAGCTATGATCACAGGCTCAGCAGGTGTCCTGCAAGTTTTGACCAGGCAGGTCTCGTGTGTTCCATTTTTTCTAGTTCTTTTCACTCATCAGACTGGCTTCTTTTATGATAAAGTGAAAAGATGGCAAATTTACACCTATTTTACAAAGAACATGTAGTTAATTTTTTTCTATAACTGAACATTTTCACGAGCCTCTACCTCAATGTGTAGCAAGGAAAGTCTTTATCTTGACAAGTAGTTTTACTCCTGTGTCTTCTTCGGTGGAATTTCTTTCCACCCAATTCTCTAGCCTGCCGATTGTCTCATTCCCATTCTACTTACTCCACAGAGCAGATTCATAGTGATAGTCGTCGGAGGGTGTTTGTGCCTTCAGAACACTGCTGGACAGAGTGATTTCACTCAGCCTTTGTTTTCTGTATGCCTACCCATCACCGCTTCAGGATGTCTGATGCTTGCTCCTGGGTGGGGTGCATGGAGGTCTAATGTGGTGTACACATCTAGTGAGTCTCTGATTTTCCCCGTGATGATGCTACAGTGTCTGTGCAGCCCCAGACACATCCTTCATTCTTCCACTCCACTGCCTCTACCGTCCTCTTGCCCTCTGCAAACTTGTCCTAAGAACTGAGAGCAGGTCAGGGATGTCACAGCTCCATTCCCATCACCTTTTGTTTTACTCTGCTGGGATCACCCCCAATCGGGGGTGAGGGAGCATCCTGAGAATATTTTCCAGTAGTTGGGAAAAGCTACTCTGCTTTCAACTTTCTCTTCAACTCTATCCCCATGAGATTTTACCTTGAAATACATGTATATCTGATTCCTTTTTTCCACTAAGTCCGAGTTTTCTTCTTCTTCATTTTTCCTGAATAGTACTCCTCTTAATGTACATTCTGAGTCCTCTCTGGATTGTCCCAACACTGTGGCTTATGGTAAAGCTCCAAATTCACACAATGCTCTGAGTTTGATATACAGGGTCTGGCAGAAGTAATGTCCTTTTGAGTGTCATTGGTAGGTAATAATATGGGTGTAGTAATTTATAGCTTTAATTTGAACATTTCAACTAAAATGTTATATGGTGTGCTTGAGTGTGAGTGATGTTAGAGTTACATGCTTATGATTTTGTAATAAAAAAGGAGTTGTTTGTGCCATACTTCATACAATGAGAAATTTAGAGTCACTTTCTCTGTGAATAAAGCTGAACTGTTTGCAAAGAATCAAAATAATTTTGCTTGGAAACTCCATACTGCTTTCCACAGTGGCTGCACCAGTCTGCAATCCCACCAACAGTGCAGGAGGGGTCTCTTTTCTCCACATCCTCACCAGCACTTGTTTGCTGATTTTTTGATGGTAGTTATTCTGATAGGTGTGAGGTGATTATCTCATTGTGGCTTTAATTTGCATCTCTCTGATGATTAGTGATATTGAGCATTTTTTCACATCTACTGACCACCTGTATGTTCTCTTTGGAGAGGTGTCTATTCAGGTCCTTTGTCCATTTTGAAATTGGATTGTCTTCTTGGTGTTCTTTATGTATTTTGGAAATAAAACCCTTATCTATTACTGGCAAATATGTTCTCCCATATAGTGGTTCCCTTTGCATTTTGTTGGAGATCTCTTTAGCTGTGCAAAAAGCTTTTAAATTTGATGTAGTCCAATTTGTTTATTTTTCCCCTTTGTTTCCCTGGCCTTAGGAGGTAGATCAGCAAAAATACTGCTAGGTGAGATGTCTGAAATTTTACTGCCTGTTTTCTTTTAGCATTTTTATGGTTTCGTGACTTACAGTTAAGTCTTTTACCCATTTTGAGTTTATTCATGTGTGGTGTAAGCTGGTCTAGTTTTATTTCTTTTGCATGTATCGGTCCAGTTCTCCCAACAGCGTTTATTTAAGAGACTGTCTGTACTCCACTGTGTTCTTGCTCCTTTGTCAAAAATACTGACTGTGAAGGCATGGGCTGCCTTTTCACTTAAATGTCTTGAAAAGCAGATGTTTTAAATTTTGGTGTTCAATTTACCAACTTGGTCTGACTCAGGGTTTCTGTGTCCTAAGACACCTGCCCAATTCAAGGTCATTGTTTTTCTCCAGCTTTCCTCCAGCAGTTTTGTACTTTCACCATTTAGTTTTTCTTTTTTAATATTTTATTTACTTTTAGAGAGAGGGGATGGGAAGGAGAAAGAGTGGGAGAGAAACATCAATGTGTGGCTGCCTCTCATGTGTCCCCTACTGGGGACCTGGCCTGCAACCCAGGCATGTGCCCTGACTGGGAATCGAACCAGAGACCCTTTGGTTCACAGGCCTGTGCTCAGTCCACTGAGTCACACCAGCCAGGGCTCATCTCTTATATTTAGTTCTGTGCTGCATATCAAGATAACTTTGTGCAAGGTAAGTGATGAGGGTATTTTTTCTGTGTGAATATTCAACCGTTCCAGCACCATTTATTGAAAAACTATTATTTCCCCCACTGAATTACCTGGGCGCCTGTGAAGAAAACTGAGTGCCCATATGTGTATATCCATTTCTGTACTCTTGTTTCATTGATACTTATGTCCCTATACCGATGCCACATTATCAGTTAATGCACCTTTATATTAAAAATCTTGAAATCAGAATGCTTCCCAAATATTAATATGTTCTTTTTCAGCTGTTTTGGCTAGCCTAGGACCTCTGATTTCCATATACACATTTTAGAATCAGTTTGTTAGTTTCTATTTAAAAAGTCTGCTGGAAACCTGGTTGGGATCACATCAAATCTGTATATTAATTTGGTGAGAACTGATGTGTTAAAAGGATGTCTTCTAATTCATGGAGGCACATTGTCATTAAATTGCCAAAGATTAAAGATAAGGAATCTTAAAAGCAGTAAAAGTGTTCCGTAAGGCTATCACCTGATTTCTCAAAACAAGAACAAAAAATAACCCCAAGCCCTGGCTGGTGTAGCTCAGTGGATTGAGTGCAGGCCTGCGAACCAGAGGATTGCGGTTCAATTCCCAGTCAGGGCACATACGTGGGGTGCAGGCCAGTTCCCAGCAGGGGACCCCTGAAAAGCAACCATACATTGATATTTCTCTCCTTCTCTCCTTCCCTTCCCCTCTGAAGATAAATAAAATCTCTAAAACAAACCCCCCCCAAAACTTGCAGGAAAGAATGGACTGGAAAGTATGCAGTCATGAAAGGCAAGGACCTACATCTAAATGACTCTATCCAGCAAACCTTTTATTTAGAACAGAAGGGCAGATAAAGTGCTTCTCAGATAAGGTCAAGTTAAAGGAGTTCATCATCACCAAGCCCTTGTTATATGAAATGTTAAAGGAACTTATTTAAGAAAAAGATCAAAACTATGAATAGTAAAATGACAACAAATTCACAATTATCAACAACTGAACCTAAAAAAACAAAAGCAAACAAGTAGAACAGGAATAGAATCACAGAAATGGAGATCACATGGAGAGTTATCAGGGGGAGGAAAGAGGGAGCATGGGGAAAAAGGTACAGAGAATAAGTAGCATAAATGGTAGGTAGAAAACAGACAGGGGAGGTTAAGAATAGTGTAGGAAATGGAGAAGCCAAAGAACTTAAATGTATGACCTGTGGACATGCACTACAGGGGGCGGGGGAAGCTGGAGGGAGGGAGGTGCAGGGCGGAAGGGGAGAAAAGGGAATGGACAGTATAACCAGTAGAATATACTTTTAAAAAATAAAAAAAATGAGCTATTAAAGATGGAACAAATAACTAAATATATGAATAAAAGACCAAAGAAATTGGTGACTGGATTTGGAGAATGTTAAGATGGATCCATATTTCCGATTTGAATGACTAGATGATAAAGGCTGAGATAGAAAATGCAGGAGGAACAGGTGTGGACAGCGGGCAGGGGAGAGGGGCGCTCGGTCTTGTTCCAACTGAGGGGCTTTGGAGATCACCCAAGTGGAAATGTTCATGACACAGGTGCACACGCAGGTGTGGGCTGGCGCTAGGACAGCCCTGGCTCCCGCATGGTAAACTGTTTATCTTAAGAGAGTTACCTTTCAGGCTGATAGGAATTGCTAAACTGCCAAAAGCATACCTAAGACTTTTAAAACACATATTAATTTCTAACACCATGAAGTGGAAGTGATACTTATAAGGAAAATTGCTGGTGAGGAAACCAAACTCAGAAGAGTTTAAATAATTTACTACAGCACTCAAAACCAGTCTGAAAAAAGGTTTATTATTCAGAGAATTTAAATGAAGAAACTGATAGAAACTGGAAGGAAATTATGTGCCCTTTTAACACCTTTATATGTAATGTTCTTAGTTCTTCATTTCCTTGATACAAATGTATCATGATCATAATTTTTTCCCTGACGAATACAAGGAAAACAGATGGAGGTGGGAAGTGTCCCAAGGGGCAACAGGAGTGATCTGTGACAGTCCTGGGTGAAATTAACCTTAATACATGGAAGCGGAGGATGTCTGTGTGGTGTCACTAAAAAGCATTGAACGAGCATCACATGCATTTCGGGGTCAGCATCCCAAACCTTACAGTTACTCAAAATAGGTTTTTCTCCTTTCCTAACCATTGCCACACTAACATGATCTACCTAAAACATAAATACATAACAATCAAGGCCTTCATGACTCCTCACTGACTACAATGAATAACACGCTGTCTCATAAGCCATGTTCTATTCATTGTTCATGGCCTATATGTTTAATAGTCACTGTAAAAAACATGTTGAACAAATGCCAAATACAAAGTACATACTGATGCAGTGGATGCAAGTGCAAGAACAGTGCTACCCCAAGTTTATCCAGTGACCACTGGTATCAGCATCACACTGGAGGTGGAAGTCACTAATCTGTTTTATAAGGCCATGCAGGTGAGTCTTATGAATGTTAAAGTTTCAGAAATACTGTCCAGAGGACTAAAAGTGAGGAGATATAATCTCTTTCTCTTAGGGATCTCACCTCCCCAAAGGGTATTGAAGACATCTGTCAGGCAGCCCGGGTTCTTAAAGCCTCTCAAAAGGAACTGCGAATGAAAGGGGCAGGGTTCACGTTTCTGACCCCTAAGAACCATTAAGCCATGCTGGCCTGCAGCCCCTTTGAAAGAAGTAGCTTCAACAGTGTGGGCTGAGGACATTGAACATATATGTATTAATGTGGTTGTGTGTAAGTGTACTTAAAACACAACTATATAGTTATATTTTATATATATTCTCATATATACTATATTAAGTTATACATAATACATAATACAGAATATATAAAATATATACAACTATATATTTTATATATTGTATAATATGTAACTATATATTTTATATATTAGTATACTATGTCAGTATACATTATATAATTTATATATATATAAAACACAGACATATATAAAACAAAACTATAAATATATCTAGAGAACTGGAGTTACAGCTCAGTTGTAATATTTAAGCAAGACTTTCATTTTAAGTAGACATAACAGAGATTTAAATGTACAGAATTAGCAAAGTATAGCATATATTCATTTTTCATATTAAAAAACCTTCACTGACAATCTGAAAAATATGAGGTAGTTGTACCTAATGGGTGATATTTTAACATTCTATTGAATCGTATAAATTAAAGATTATAGGAGAAAGGAAGCCAAATTCTAAGAGAATAAATAAGGAAAGGGCAACCCATGGTCTTGGGGAAAAAAGTAAAAGTAAATCTATTTCCAGATGTCATTTAGGAACCGTCAGACCCGCACTGGCAACAGAAGTCAGAAGGCCAGTCACTTCTGGGAGCGTGAAAGCAAGAGGGAAGGAGCCCTGTCCCCAACTTTTGGTCAGTCCTGGTCATTCTCGCCCCCTTTTCCCTCCCCGCTGCCATGACTTTGGGGCCCCTGGTTTAGTTATTCCAACTTTATTAAAGCCTGAAGTCGACACTACTAACAGCTTTGCTTCGCCTACTGGGTATCTTAGGCAAACCTTGCAGGTGGTGGTCACTCATGGGGAAGAGAGGAGGAGGAGCCAGAGAGGGAGCTCAGGGCACAGACTGGCTGGGCCCTGGAATGCAGGGGCCCAGGCTGGACGTGGACCAGCAGGCTCCCAGAGGGCTTGTTAGGGCACAGGGTGCTGGCCTCACCCCACATCACGGATCCCGCAGGTGTGGGAATGGGCTTGAATCTGAGTGTCTAACAAACTCCCAGATGATGCTGAAGTGCTGGTTTGCTGTACACATTTTGAGAACCATTGCTCTAATAAAGTCAGTAGTCACAAGGCCAAAGAACTCGGTAGACAGCAGGAAACAGTTATCTCCCTGTATGGGTTTTCAGGACACAGACTGTTAGTTGTAAGTGTATCACCTGCTCAAAAAACAAGCAGGTATGTATTTCTCTTCAAGGATTGTAACTGACATCATTAGTAGTTAGAAGAAATTTCTTTCCAAGGATAAACCCAACACCTAAGGAAGTTTTATGAGACAGTGTATGTTTGCTTTTTTAAGGATTGTTTTAGAATCCAGTATTATGGGAATAATACTCAGCTACCCTATTTAAAGTTTGATATCAATTATCTTTGGATTAACTTAAAAATGAATACGATAAATTCAAAATTTCTGCCTGAAGTAAAATTCAAAGTAAGAGTTTCTAAATATTCCTTATCCTTGTTTTAATAAGAGGAAGAAAAAAATCTTAGTTGTTTTTTGACCTGATTATAAAACAAAGCAGTAGTAAAAAAAAGAATTCATCTGGCAAATGCAGTTTGTGGATACTAGCCACCTATGAAAAACACGTTTCTATTAAAATTCTCTTAATGTCTTAGACTTAAGAGCACTTGATATCTGGACCCAGATGAGATTTTATTTTACAGTTCAGAATGAATGGGAAAGAATACATCACAGTAATTAATGAAGCCGCTCTAATTTCGCCTGAAGTGATTTAAAATTCCCCGTGACGGCCTGCACTGCTACGGAGGAGCTCACAGACTGCAGCTCAACCAGGTACCCGCAGACGGCGTCCAGGCAGAGGTTTGTGAATCTTCTCCTGTGAAGGGAAAGACAACAGGCCAGCCGTCTACATGTGTGCGACATCCCTCTCGACAGGACCCCCCACTCCCGGGGACCTTACGCTCCCTCACAGCTCAGGGATGCTGTGAAGAACTAAATAGCAAACAAAGGAAAAGAGGCGGAAACCTGGGGGTAGATGGATTACCACCAAACCACCATTTTTCTTTCGAAGATTATTAGAATGAAGAGGCAGTAAAGGATGATCCCTTAAATTAATATTAAATCATTTTACACGCTTTTGACCTTTTCAAACAAATATACCTTAAGATGGCCAATAATATCACAAAGTCATAATTAAACTGTCCTTGATCACTTATTCAAAGCAAAAGTTTAGAAGTAATTCATAACTTCCATTCTTTCACTTGTATAAAGAATTCTGCATAAGAGTTGAAAAATAGAAAAAACACCAACCCCACATACATGACAATTAGTATCATTCAAATAGTTATTGTTAACATAAAAAGCTTAAATCTCCTGTACTTCTTTATAATCTCAGTATCTTCCCCCGTTCTGTCCAAAGTTGTTACCCAGATGCTTATTAGAATCACTTAAAAGCTTTCCCTATATAATGCCATATTTAATTCGTCATTACCTCTCACAGTTTAAAACCTGGCTAGGATTCTCAACATATCTTGTCAACAGTACATGTAAACAATCCAAAAGGTGCAGTGGCTTCTTCATTCGGTTCCAGAATGGATCCTATTAAGAAAACATACATTGTAAGTTATAAGGCAAACTGTTGTCAACTGATTTTTCAACCATTGATGTTATCAGCTAAAACAGCTGTCGAGTCCGTAGCAAAATTTACTGACATTAAAATAAGTATTGAATATTATGTGTCACTAAACTTCTTTTGTGGTTATGATTAATATTTGAACAATATTGACAACTGCAGTGTGATGTTATTTATGAGGAATATTTGGTGATACCAATATACTTTGTACAGCATGTACATTTCCTATTTAGGAGCCAGAGGTGAAGAGAAAAAAAATTAATCTCTTCTTGTCATCTGGGATATCACTTTTACTCAGAACCTATGCAGACTTTACTCAGTCTGATATTATAAATAAGAGACTAAATTAATGGTCAGAGAACCTCAACTGTACCTCTGCCTTCACCTGGTACCGGCCACGTGTGTTGAGCAGGTAATTGACATCTCTGCCCTTGTCAGATGGGGTAGAGGAGGGGATACCACTACTTGCTCATTTCTGTCACCGGCTCATTGTGAGGCTTAAATGAGATGCAGAGGTACCTTCTAAAACACCATGGACATTTTGATGATGCTACTATAAGCGACATGATTTAGTTCAACAAAGTTTTATTTTGATCTGTTATTGCAGATAAAAATTACAACGTATAGTCTAAAAACAGCAATTTTCAACTGGTGTGCTGTAAGAACTTTTAAAACATGCAGTAGCTGACTATTTAGTCAGGGGCTCTGACCTCTTTTCTCTTAGATTGTCCAATAAAAAATGACGACAGACAACACAACAGCTGTCCGGTGTGAATGCCCTGTGTCTCAAACCATAAATACAAAGGTCACATAAGAGAGCTGCATCTTACCGGTCACGCTGCATAATAAAGTTATGTCTGACTGGTTAATTCTTGGTCAGAAATCCTTATGTACAAGTATAGGCACCTCATTTTTTAAAAAGTCACTTTGGAGCAAAAAGGGTAGGCAGCTACTTTTTAATTATTTATTTATTTATTTAATTATTTATTTATTTATGGTAAACCCATCAGTAATACACCCTTTTCTTGGTCAGACCAGCAAAAAATACACTTTTTGGTGTGTGGCAGAATTTTAGTAATTAGTTTACGACTTCTGTGAGATGAAAAAGGTTGACAATTGTTGGTCCAAGAAGGTTCAACATGGTGAGAAAGACCTTTAAGTATGGATGTTTTAGATGAAGTTACAGTTAATGCAGCTATTTTGTTCTTGTAAAGTACATGATGATTCTTAATGTAATGCATTTAGCCTATTCCAAGAATAAAACATATATTAATATTATATTAATATTATATATTTTATATTATATTAATATTAATAAGTAGTATTTGTTTTTTGTTATGATACACAGTAAAACTTCTCTCATTATTGGTTTTAAAAGTTTGACTTATAATTTCTGATACGAAATCAATGAAGCAAATTTCTGATTTATTACACGTTGAGAGACAAACATGCACTCAATAAACCACTCCTATGTCTAGAAAAAGTTACATAACTTTAAATAAATGATTTTACTTCCGTTAGTATTTTGCTTACCCGTGACTTGAACAGGTGATCATACACCTCCAGCAGCCGAGGTAAGGGCACCCCGATCTCATTCATCGTCTGTATGACGAAGCCCACATCCCAGTTCAGGGTGCAGACCTGCTGCTCTAAGAACTGCACGATGAAATCTGCAGGGGAGAAAGGGCCAGAACGCAGGGCTGTCAACTCTTTACTTTCCCCAGCTCATTTACTGCAGTGAAGCTTTCACGTAACAGTGTGTAAGGTTAAGGTGTGCAACGACTGGATGCACACACACTGTAAATGTTCACTGCAATCACATTAGGTAACACATTCATCACCTCATGTAACTGCTATGTTGTAGGACTGTTAACTCTTGATATTAAAAAATAGGTCTTATTCATTCATAAATGAGCAGTTCATAAGGGGAAATCCTTTAAAAAACAATTTTTAAAAACATTTTCTATTGAAATCCTTTTAATAAACCCAAGTACTTATTTGAGACAAAGTCAAGAAGTGCAAGATAAACGATATTTAAGCTCCCCCAAATTTCAAGGCAGTTTTTTCTCCAGTGGGCTGACGGCCGCTCACACTGGCCAATGCAGGGCGTTCTCAGGATCTGCCCAACACCCGACAGGGGGCGCACTGTTTGTCAGCAAAATCCTGCAGCCTGGTGCCCCTGGGGCAGCAGTGAGAGGCAGCCAGTCCGTGTCCCTCTCCCCCTCTCTCCCTCCCTTCCCTAAAGACCTGGCTCCTCCGGTCAAGCACAGCCTGAAGTGGCTGAATCGTCACCCAGTCAGCCCAGCCACGGCAAACAGCACTCTCCCAACAGGAGTCACCTTAGGTTTTCCATCACCAGTTCAGGGGTGAACCTGGGGAGGGGCAGGGCCCTGGGCTGGGCTCCCAGAGCTCAGGACTTATGCAAGGACGAGGCCCCGGCCTGCATCTGAGGGGATCTGAGAGCCCCTCATAGAGCTGTAGACCCGCCCACGAGCGTCAGAGTCTGCCGGCAGCCGTGCCAGCACGCCCCCACCAGCATCCCTCCCCCCACCAGCATCCCTCCATAGGGGCAGGGAGCGCAGCCGCCGCCAAGCACACTGTGTCGTGCTCTCACCACGGAGCAATTTGAACCTCAAAAAAATTTTAATACAAATAAGACAAAGATGTCAGAATGAGCAAGTCCACAGAGATGGAAAGTAGAGCTCAGTGGTTGCCTGGGGCCGAAGGAGTGGGGCGGGGCTGCAACAGGGTTTCATTCTGGGGTGATGAAAGCGACCTAGGTTTAATTGGGCGATGGTCGCCTCGGAACCCTGTGAATATGCGAAAACCACTGAATTACACACTTTAAAGGTATTAGGAAAGAAAACGGCATTTTCATGAATTTGGAAAATATAGGCAGATACAATAAAAAAGAGATCTCCCCATTGTTGGAGAGAACACTGATAATATTTAACAATTAACATATCCTTGACTTAACAGCTTTTCAGACAAGAAAGGCTACTGCATCCTGAATTTAGACATATTTTTTAAATGCACTTCCCAAAGACTCACAAATGATTTATTTTGACCGTTTTCGTGTGCTAACCCATGTTTACGTTTTACTAATTGTCATGTCATAAATAAGATCATAACAGTAACATTCAAACTCCCATTCATGATCCCCAAAACCCGAGACTGACCCACATGAACACCCACGAGTAAGAAGAACCACTGGAAGCACTGCTGCTGAGCCTGAATCCCCTCCCCCCCTCCACAGATGACCACACAGCGATTCTGGCCAAGTAAGCAAACCCCAATCTTGTGGCCTCCTTGCCCCGGACAGACTGACAGAAAAAGGCAGGCCTTCTACCCTCCACCTTTCCTGAGTCCAAAATTAAAAATTCAAGTCAAAGCAGAAATACTCTCAAAAGCGATTGTGTAGAATGTGGCTTTTTCACCATTAAAACTGTCAACTTTCTCATCCTTATAAAATATATGTATTTGCTGTTTATTTTTCTGATCAATGAAATGGCATAGCACGTAAGTATGGGACTGTATTTACCAGAAATAAAGGAATGATTATAATGGTTTTATTTCCTGGCACATTCAGGGAATAAACACTAAATCAGAGGTGGTCTGTAAATAAGTTTGTATCCTGACGTGTAAAGAATGTAATGCTATATCGTGGGCATGGTCATGTTTCTCAATGTTTTCCAAACCACAAAGTGGTTTACATTCTACTTTATAAATGTATTTGTGTTGATTGTATTGTTTTACAACAGAAGAAAACATGCTAGGTTGGCAAATGATTTAAAATAACTACAGTCACCTACATAACCATTATAGTTAGCATATTACATTTTTAAGATGAGTATCTGCTATTTTAAAGAAAAACATGCCCTCAATATAACAAAAGGAGTTGAATCAATTACAGATTAACCATTTACAAAAACACCGGCCATTTTTCTCTACAAATATGTACAGGGTTGCCAACAATATCATCACGGTGGTCTGTTAGTCTACACTATCTCGAGACAAGTATATAAACTTGGAGGGTCAAAGAAAGTTCTGTACTGAACTATTCATCAACAAGCTCTGCTATTCTTTGGAAGTCTTTCTTTTTGGAGAGGTAGAATTAAACTGCTCAACAGCAACAAAGAAATGTTTTCACTCTAAAGCTAATTATTTTTCCAAGTCAATAAAGAAAAACCACCCGCAGAAGAAAACCCAGGGCAGCGCCTGAGGTCACTGCTCACCTACGGGAAAGAATCGAGGTGTGCCAGCATAACTTTTGCCAAGGAGGACAATCTTCAGACTGAGGGCGTGCATTCTGTCTGAGGAGCTCAGCGTCACACTGTCATTCAGTTCTGTAAGACGGAGACATGGCACTAGAGACCCCAATTATTTTTAAGGTGAGGAGTTTAAATGGGCCATTTTATCATTTCAAGTTAATGAAATGCCCTGGAGCCAACATTCACATGAACAGAAGGAGCGGCCCCGCTGGGTCGGCTGGTCTCTGACATGCTCTCATCTCAGCGGGGCAGGGCAGTGCAAGGAGGTTCTGAGGGAAGTGCCTCGGTCTCCTGTAGGCAGCACAGCCCCCACAGTGACTGGCTCTGAGGGTCCTCTCAATCCTGCCTGGGCTCGTTCTCCAGAGGACCACCCTCCACCTCATCCAGGCACCCTCCCCATACCCTCTACACGGGAGCAGACAATTTTCATGAGCCCTGATATGTGAGCCTCCAGCCGCCTGCGTTCCTCTACCAAGTCACTAAGTAACGTGGGCTAAACATATCTTCGCAGTGGGGAATGGACACTTACCTTTCTCTATGATATCTTGCCAAAGGGTCTGCACCAATATAGGGTCTGAATAACCGGCACAGTGAATTATCGCAAGTTTACACTCTGCAAGTTTAAATGGGTCAGCAAATTCCCCATAAAGCTGCAGGAGAAAATGTCAACATTATAAATCCAACCAGAGGTCTGCGTCCAGAAATTAATAGTGAAATACTACTTGAAAGTTAAAAACCAAAGATTTTATCTGAAGTTCCTAAAATGTGACACAAAAATACAAGATGTGTGGGGCTGGCCACAACTCTGGGTAAAGTGGTGAATGCACGGTTGACTCCAAGCAGGCGGATTTGAGGATGTGTGCACTTTTTCTTGGCTGGAACATGTCCCAGTGACTTTTCTTACAGAACCAGTATTGTCTAAAACAGGGTTTGAAGGATCATGGAAACACTGACATATCTCAGGGTGCTTAAGGACACTAAAGCTGGTCCAAGGATAACTGAAGAAAGAACTGCTCAGAAAGATACAGAGAGGATTGGAGAGTGAAGCAAAGATGTTACTTTTTCAAAACAAGAAGCAAGGCAATAAATAGCTGGCACACGTTTTAACCAAGCCCCACTTGATGCTGATAGATTCTTGACTGTTCCTGGCCTGGAAAGAGAAACTCAGCTCTTTCTCAAGGCAAATACCACAGCAGTGATTTGTCAGCCTGGTGGCAAGCTGCCAAGGATGGCTGATCTTATTTTGTGGAGGTAGTTATTCTTCCATGTGAAACAAAAAATAAATGCAGAACACCCCCCCATGAATTGAAAGTGTTGGGTGACTGCTTGACTGCAGCAGGAATTCCACCTGCTTTTTTATTACCTTAGTTATGTCCATTAGCTCGGAATCCAGCTGAGAAATTGCATCCTGCACAGAAGAATGGTGGGAATACTGCCTTTGCAGTGTCTCCTGTATCTGCAGTTGGATCCTCGCAACCTAGTTTGGACAGACACAAGGGAGTGCTGACTTCATTATGAAAAATCGATAGGTACACAAAAAAATGACTGTTATACCTGCCTTTAAGTTTCTTAAAGTTAATGTATTCATAAAGACTTCTATCATAACAGACTAGCAACTCCCCATCATGACATAAAAGATTTCCCAGGAAAGGCACGGTGGCGGAGTCTTCACTGCCCACCCCAGCTGTTCCTCCCACGGCTGCGGCCAGACGAATGGCTAGACTGCGCTTTCCAGCCTCCCTTGCAGGGAGATGCGGACGTAAGACTAACTTCTCTGCAAAGGGCCATTAGTGAAAGTAAAGTATGTCACTTCAGAGTTGAGGTTTTTAAGAGAAAGCATGTGCTTCTTACACGCTTTTCCCCCTTCCTCCCTTTGACTAAAGAAAAAAATTACCTTTGACTAAGGCCAAAGGTAATAGAGCCAGAAAATAAAACTTGGGCAGCAAAAATCAACCCAGTGGAAGAAAGCCACCTGTCAATCAGAAATACCCATTCTGTATTTTTGCGGTTGAGAAATAAGCTTTTGTATTGGGACTATTATACATTTTTTGGGTCTCTCAGTTAAGACAGTGCAATCTCTATTCCGCATGTTTACTTTTTAGCTTCCAGAATAAATGGTGCATGTCCTGTAATCTGCTTCATGGTGGAAGAGTCGGGAAAATCTTTATAAGTGCCATAGAGAAAAGGTTTAAATTACAGCCACAGTGTGACCAAAATGCTGTATCATTGGTCTTCCACAGTTTACATCTAAACACGAATAAATAAATAAAAAAATACAGGCAGATGAGATGAGAATTAATAATACTGACTGCTATAGACCTATCATTTACTAGAGGAAGAAAAGAAAGTACTCAGTGTGAACAGAGCTTAAGTATCATCGCTTACTTCCATTTTTTCTTCCAGTTCATGAAGGAATTCACCGTCCGCAGCTGTTGAGGAAATGGCTGTGGAACTCTTGGCACTAAGAATGGCTCGAGCAATGTACTCCAGTCGCTGCTGAAGTGGAATTTCTGTGCTGGGGGGAAAAACACTCATTTTTACTCAGATGAATTCCTAAGGTTCCAACATGCAAACGTGTCAATTATGATGTATTATTTTATACCAAGTGGACATAAAAAACCACCTGAAACTTGAAAAAATTATTAGGGGATTTCTGGTAAGAGAGAGCCACAATTTAAGGCAAAAAATAAAGAAAGACATGTTTGTGTCCAAAAAAGCTACTTCCTATTTTAAAACTTTAGTTCAGGATATTAAAATTTGGATTCTTCTAAAATTAAATTAAGAGTATTCTTTATTTCTCCTCATATTCTGCATTTCTTTGCCTTAGCATGGCCAATACTACATTTAATTGTCTACAGAGCAACTAGAGTGACCACTTAAAAACGAAAACCCGCCCTCACATGCTTTCTTAAACCCCCCCACAGGGTCCACTCACTCCCCGCCCTCCTCTCCCTCCGCTCCCCCGTTCGCTGTCTCCGCCCCCTGGCTTCCCTCCTGTATTCCTTCCTTCCTTGAATATTAATCTTCTCCTGTTGAAACTATTATTCATTTTTTGTTATGAAATATTCAGAAGTTCCCTAACTTTTAGGAACACATTTACTTTACACACATGCACCCTAATTTTATTGCATTGCCTTTGATAGAATAATCTAACTAGAAACTCCACTGTTTTTGTTAACAGGATTCTTGATAATCTTCCAAGATGTTGGCAGTAATTTAACCCAATGTCAGGATACAGAAAATTAGTCGGGAATTGATAAACATTTAAAACCTTCAAGAAGTAGTTTTTGTCCTTTTAATCAAGAATAGCAATTAATTATCATTAGTAGAAAGAATCTAAAGACATATTTTAGAGAAAAGAATTTAGAAGACAGTCTGAATAAAAAGGGCATTACAAATTCTTTTACAATCTCCTACACATTCTTAAAAACAAAATAAAAGAGACTTTAGATAAACTTTAGATAAATCCAAATAAAAGCATAAAAACTCGGCATGTGTAAGACCTGAGTGGAGTCTCATTCACACTCTGAAATCCGATGTTCCTAGTACCGCACGGTGGGCCACCACGCCCATGCGGCAGGCGCGCTGCTGTACCTGTGCATGTCGGCCAGCTTGGACAGGACACGGGCGGCGCTACTGAAGCTCCGGTTCTTCTCGTAATACCTCCAGAGCAAATCCATATAGCGAACTTTGTTTGGATCAACTTTGGCCATTCGGGCCAGATGTGGCTCCAGAAATGGGGAAGTGACCTGGAAGTCGGACAGGCACCCAGAAACATTTTCTCACCACCCACTCGCTCTTTACACAGTAAGGGGACACTTTAAAGGTAACTACAGATGTGCCCCCTACTTTCTGACCATAAAAGCAAAATTACAGTCCAACAATAGATACAAGAGAGGGTAATTTTCTCATTACAAATGATTTTTTGTTTTACCACAGTTGATGAAAGAGTTACTAGCATAGTTGCATTTGGTTGATAAAAATAATTTACTATGATCTAGTCATAAATCTTTTAATAAACCCTGAGAACACAGCTAGTGAATCCTAACTATGAGCTCAAAGGCATCCTGGAAATGATCAGACGCCGCCTATTCATTTCACAGACCGAGAAACACAGACTAGGGACTGAGGAAACGTGTGAAGTCCCTGTGACCTAATGGCAGAGCTGAAACAAAGTTCAGGTTCCTAATTCACAATCCAGTGATTCCCACCCCACAACAGAAACATGCCAATTAGCTGATAAATAACAAGAAAACTGGAGCGATGGTCTATTTTATACCGTAGGAAAAAATATTACATTACTTATAGAAATTAACAATATTGGAATAAGAAACTTTTACCTGTAGCAGTTTATCTGCAAGGTCAGCTTGTATTAGCCAATTATAAAGGGCAATACTAAAGAGCTCATCTTTTGATCGTTGACACAATTTAAGCATTTGTTCAAACTAAAATAAAGAAAGCAGGAAAAATTAGCACAAACCAAGGCTCTGCTGCCGGACATCATGAACCCTTAGCCTAATTAGCCCCTGGAAAGAAAGAATAGAGTATCCTTAAATGTTCGACGAGCTACTTACTACCCTTCCCAAGACGATTATGCTACCACCCCCCCACACAGGTTCTCAGCACAATGCATTTCAGATGGAGAATACGCTGTCCGTACGTGATGTCCAGCTTCTTCATTACTCAGCATGTTGGGATCCGAAGACAACACAGGAGGCCCCGGTTTTTTGGGTACACTGGGGGACTGAGGGGCGGCCTTGCTTTGATTCACCAGCTCCTGCAGTGTATCTGTAATGCACTTGTAACTGTTTAATCTGAAGAAGAATGGGAAAGGAGCAATTGCATTAATTGGACAGCAACTGCTTTATCTTCTCTAATTTTAAATACAAGAATTTAAAGACTATTTTGGAGAATAAATATTTGGTCTATATATTTGGTATTAAAAATAATAGAGATCGTATAATTTTTCAATAGGTTTCAGAAACATTTGGTTAAACATAAAAGGGTAATGTCATAAAAGTGAATGTCTTAACAAAAACCATGTCTAAGGTAGTAGATTATGTATTTCCTTTATGGACATAGCACTTCTTTTGTCTCTACTAATTCATGGACATTTCAAAATCATCCTATAAGACAAAAGACTTCATCCAGAAGAGGAGATGAGGAGGTGGGGAAGCCAGGTTTGTTTCCGAGTCGTTTCATTGAAAACCGACATTAATAAAGCCTCAGAAAAACCACAGAAGCGACTTCTAAGACATTTATAAGTACTTAGGAATTTTTAGCAGATGAAAATTTTACCTGTAGGCAAGAAATTATAATCCTGATACGGGCTTTTAATAAAACAAGTCACTTTAAAGTGAAAGTGTAATTGAACCTTATAAGGGTTGTATCTGAAATATTATTTCCCTACTACTATCTATCAAATTTTACACAAAGAGAAGTCTGCTAACATAATAAAACTTACCGTTCTTGGAAAGCCTGAAGCCCAATGACGTCTTCCTCGGGTTCTCCGTGTTTATAGAAGTGAAGGCCAAGCCCCTGAGGATCCTTCTTCTCAGCAGCCGTGAGGGAGAGCTCCGCCACGCCCTCGTAAAAACGCACTGATGGGAAAGACAAGGGTGAAGGCTTATTAGGTTTGTTGTTGAGCTGCACATTTTCCTCTTATCTGCTTATAAAAATACCAAATATTATTCGATTTCTATTGCACGTTAGTCACCCTGGTGACAATATCATATAAAATATTTCTTATGAGTTTACCATAGAACAAGGTCCCCAAAGAACAAGGTCCTAACATGACTAAATGGCAGACATTGAATATATTTTCTTCACTGAAAAGAACTTTTCTATTTAAAATAACAAACAGGATGCTCTGGCTTGTGTGCCTCAGTCAGCTGAGCATAGGCCTGTGAACCCAAAGGACATAGTTCGATTCCCAGTGGGGGCACATGCCTGGGTTGTGGGCCACTGAGAGGTGGCCGATTGATGTTTCTCTTGCACACTGATGCTTCTGTCCCTCTTTCTCCCTCCCTCCCCCATCTCTAAAAATAAATAATATTTAGAGTTAGTTGTTGAAAAAAGTCTTGGGATTCAAAACGATACCTTTCATAAGAGTTACTACTTTTATATTATGTTAGATTTAATTTTAAGGTAATTTTAAATTTGACTAGGTAATATTTTATGGCAGGTAATATATTGGTAATTAAACAAAAGCTTTATGCATCTTAAAATTAAATGTAACCCGGCAAGCAATCCGATACACGTGGTAGTTTAACCGGACCAGGACTGGAACACCAAGGGTAAAAAGTGACACATTTGAAGACATGAAAAGGCTCAGCAGCCTTTGCAGAGGCCAGTGCGCTCACCACAAAGTACAACACAAGGGAGGAGTTTCTATGTCAGATACTTGGGCCAATGAACCAGAAGAAGATTTGCCTCTTGGAAGAAGCTCTTCTTCATCACTACCTTGTTTCAGTCACACAGTCATTTGTCCCCTTAGTTAAGAAGCTCGGAAGGACAGTCTTCACTGAGAGTTGCTGTGGTTTCCTGCTTTGACGGCGCTTGAACAGAACCTGGTGCTCCATCCCGGCCAGCTGCCCAGATCCATCCTTCTGCCACTGCCTCAGGACCTAGGACCACCCCAAGGCCCCTGCCAACACTCCAGTGCCCTGAGACCGCCTGTCCTCAGCTGCCCATCATGACGACCACGTCCACCTCACAGGTGCGCCTCACAGGAACTGCCACCGGGACTTGGAGGCCACCGGCAACTGCCAGGTCAACCTGGACCTCACGCTTCCTCGGTCTACCTGTCCATGTCTTACTATCTTAACAGTGATGATGTGGCTTTGAAGACCTTTGCCAAGTGTTTTCTTCACCAGTCTCATGAGGAGACGGAACACGCGGAGAAACTAATGAAGCTGCAGGACCAACCAGGGGCCGAATCTTTCTCCGGGATATCAAGAAGCCAGACCGTGACGACTGAGAGAATGGGCTGCATGCAATGGAGTGTGCATCACACTTGGAATAAGTGTGAAACAGTCACTACTGGGCTTGCACAACCAGGCCACTGAAAAAAATGACCCTCACTGTGTGACTTCATTGAGACTCACCACCTGCATGGCAGGTGGAATACGTCACACAACTGGGTCGGGGGCCCGAGTCAGGCAGGGCAGAGCACCTCTGTGACAAGCACATACTGGGACACAGTGCAGAGAGCTTGGCCCCCGGGTACTCTCCCACGGCCACAGCGGGGACATCCCTGGTCACCAAAGCAGCATGTGCATGTCAGGGTTACCTTCACCCTTCCTGTAACTGGTACCAAATCACCCACTTATGTCTCTCATTTGTGGCATTCCTTCAAATAAAGTAATTTGGAACAACAGAAAAAGAGGAAGAATGGTTTGCTTCTCACCTTGTCTATACTGAGCACAAACATTGGAAAGGTCAACTTGATTGCTGATTTTCTGGTACTCCTTCAGTGATTCCCTTAACATCCTTTCCTTTTCCATCTTACTTTGAACTTGTCGGGAACGTTGGAGCAGCTCATTTGCCTAAAGTAGAAATGACAAGAACTTAAGAAGATATAAAATCAAGCACACACATGATGCTGTCAACATAAGTTTTAGTCTATGTCTAAATTTACATCTGGTTTATTATAATCAATGATAAAAACAACTCTACAAACTTACTTCTTCTTAATTTTAGGCAGAAAAGTTTTTGACCATAAATCCTAGCTATTCTTAATTCCTCTCACAAACATGTTAAGCAAGATAGCTTTTTGTCTGGCAAATCTCTTGCCTAGTCAATACTTTATTGGTCAGCAGGCAGTCCACGTGATACTGATTTTTTAAATTCCTTCCACCTGTAGGAAAGGATCAATAAAAATTGCCCAATTAACTCTGATTCATTACAGACTTACTTTAGGTTTTAGAGACTTTAATTTCTAAGAAGAGGCATATTTAAGCATCGTCTTCTTATTTTTATTTGTTTTAAAGATGTTATTTATTTATTTATTTTTGCAGAGAGGAGAAGGGAGGGAGGAGAGAGAAACATCGATGTGGGAGAGGAATATCAATAGACTGCCTCTTACACGTTCCCAGCTGGGGGCCTGGCCCATAACCCAGGCATGCGCCCTGACAGGGAACTGAACCTGCAGCCTTTAGGCTCTCAGGCCAGCGCTCAATCTACTGAGCAACCATTCAGCCAGGGCAAACCATCGTCTTTTTAAAAACAGGCTAGACATACCATCAAAGATTCTTTACGAAAAATGCAAATATATATGGATTTTGAGAAATCATGTATCCCCACACCTTTCTTACACAGATGAGGATTCTGTAGCCAGGAGAGGCTCAGAAACCTGTCAAGTTCACATACTGAGTCAAACAAGATGCCCCTGATGCCACAGCACCTCCTCTTCTGTGGGGAACACGGAAGTGGCTGCCGGAGCCCCGTACCTTGGAACAGACCGCGTCATCAGTGCTGTACAGCAGCGGGCAGATGTCCTGTAAGTGCAGGCTAATGCCATCGACAGCAGCATTGTCTCTGATATAGCAGTTGATGAGGGAAGCAATTAATGCCCCGGTCAGTTCCTTGTCCCGGATTACCAGGTCTTTAAAGGTGGTGATTTTCAACTGCTCTTGAAATTCCTAGGAGTATAAAAAAACTTTTCTTCTATCAAAGATGTAAGAATATCATTTCCACACAGAATAAAATTTCTTTAATAATGTAACCAAAACATGAACGGACTTTATAATTGCAAAGAGAAAACATACTAAAACTATACAAACTAACACACATTTGAAATTTTCATAGAATCATACAGAATTGAAAAAGAACCCACAGTATGTCTAGTTCAAACCTCTCATTTTACAAACGAGGAAGGTAAAGTCCAGGCAAAGCCAAAATTACAGCCAGGTCTCCTGACTTTAGTTATAACCAGAAAAGAATAATCAATTAGCTGTATTAAAATATCTTGGGCTTCTGTTTTTTTTCCTAAAATAATGTTAGAATTCTGTTATTCGAGGCCTTCTAATGTTGAGGTTTAATCTCATTCTGAACAAATGTGCTTGGTAAAATAGAGTTCCAAATTATTGAGGCACCTGTAATTTATATTAGAGGGAAATACTCTATTTAGTGATTTGACTGGTACTTTTTTTTTTTATTTTATTTTATTTTATTTTATTTTATTTATTTATCTTTAGAGGGAAAGGGAAGAAGAGAGGGAGAGAAAGTTCACTTTTAATAAATTTCAGCAAATACACTACGTCCAAACTTTTGTGCTACTATATAATTTGCATTCCTTAAGCACAAAAATTGTAATTCAAGGGACGGAGCTTTGGAGATGGATCCCCCAAAAGACGCCTAGGCTAAAACAACTACGTCTTGCTTTTCACCCACTATAATGTATTCTACCTGGTATGGAAAGGTTTTCATAATTAGACATTTTAGCTTGAGGAGTTTTTTTTAAGTATGTGTTTAAAAGAAAATCAGCAATAATACAACTTTCCAGACTTTACAGAAAAGAACTAGGGGAATGCCTTTTAACTTTAAAAATTTTACTAAAAAGTAAAAAACTAAACATTTCAGGATAACCAATAGTCCCGACTGATAAGAGAACATTGTATTAATATGGAAGACATCAGATTTGGGAAATCACCATCTTGTAACCATAAATGAACTAAGCCATTCAGACAATGAATGGCAGGGGCAAAGCAAGTCTGGTGGAGAGTCCCATCGGCAGGATTGGATTTACCACCTGACTCCGGCAATCGACCTTAGAATCACTGAAAGTGGGACAAGCAGGCCTCCTGTGTCTCCTAACAAACACAGACTGACACACAAACCACTGCCTGTGGAGTAATTTAATGCTTCCTTAAATGCATGGACCTGAACTTGAATCAAGCTTCTGTAGACTCCATTCCATTTTCCATAAAAACGAAGGTAATAAAGAAACAAGTTAATTATGAGAAAGGAACAGACAACCTCAGAATGCCGGCTTTCCATAGGATAGATCACCCAATATCTACAAGGCAGCAGCAAGGGAAAATAGCCCTAAACTGAAAGAGATGTAAGAGACACAACAATAAAATTCAATGAGTGAACCAACTCTTTAAAATGTGATTTGAGTGAACTAATTTGTAAAAAGGTATTTTTAAGCCAGTCAGAGACATTTCATTATTTTAGATGCTAACAAAAAACTGTTAATACTGCCGAGTGTGAAAATGACATTATTACTCAAAGAAATGTCCATCTTTTTAAAGACATACATACTAAACTAAGTTATAATGAGATAACATGATGTCTGGATCTAATTTAAAGCAATTCTGTAAAGTAAAAGAAAAAAAGGATAGATTAAGCAAAGTTGGTAAAATCTTGAAAATGCTGAATACCAGTCAAGTGTATATAAGGATTAGTTGTAGTACTGCTCTATTTTCATATGTTTCAAAATGTTCACATTAAATAATGGATAGGAATATATTCCCCCTAAGTAAATCTGCCTAATATTTAGATAAGTGCAAGTTATCATTATTATTTAAAAGGATTCAAATAAGGACAGCAAAATAAATGCGGACCATTCATTTCCCACAATGGGAAACATCTTTTTTGAAAGTATGAGTGTTTAATTAAGGCTGATGGACTCCCTGAAATCACATGCAAAAATGTATGTATATGACTGTATGCGTTCTTTGAGGGTGAAAAGAGAGTTCAGTCAAGATTCCCAAAAGGGCCTGTAGCCTACATAAAATTTACAATCTACTGTTTGAAAAAGCAAACCAGCTATTGTCAAAAAGTATTTCTGGCAAAGTAAGATTCCATTCCCATACCAGCCAAAGCTCTCAAACACTGCGAAGCCTCGTGGCTCTGAAGAAGCAAGCCCCCCAGTCTTCAGTGTGATCTTCCCGTGACATCGTAGCTTTATCGGAGCCTAAACGCTTCCCCAAATAACCCCCTCCCTGACCAAAGCGTAAGACTAGAGTTCACTCGAAAGGGAGAAAATGAGGCATAAGATGAACAGTATGGTCTTAGGGAACAAAAACAGCCTACCTTCTGCAGTTCGCCTACAATGACAGTGAACTGGTGTTCACAGAGGAGTTTCCATAAAGCCAGAGCCTGGTATGATTTCCGGACCAACTGCTGGATTGCCTGAAGTGAAATCTTTTCACTCACTTGAGCCTCTAATTACAAAAGGCAATTAATGAAGTTTTATAAAACAACATAGGTTAATTGTTTTATTTCAAGTAAAACAATACTTTGCCTCAAATAAAAACAACTATTAAGGTGAGGCTGCCATTGTTCACCTTCCCCCACGCCCCACCACAGGCAACCATGAGCACGAGTCGTTGAATCTGGTTTTATATTCACTGTTCTATACACGAGCATGTGTATGTGCACTTAAACAATAAAAATGTTTGTTTTTAGATCATTTATGCCATGCTTTCCCCCTCAGTTACATTTCTGCAAACAATCCTTACTGATACATGTAAACTTAATACATTTTTTAAATTGCTGAGTGTTCCACTGCGTAAGTATACTACAATTAGGTACACAGTCCAGCTGAAGGACATTTATATATTTTTTCCATTTTCCTACTAAAACAATAGCAATAAATATCCATAAAAAGGTCTCCTGGAAAGTGCAGTCAGGTTTTTCTAGGACTGTTTCTTAAACCTTAAATTAGGACACACCGGCGAGTCATAAAATCAATTCGGTTGGTCAAGACAGCTTTTTTCCCTTAAAGAGGAAATAAAATAGAATTTGAAAAAAAGGAAAAAATATTAGAGTGTAAAACAGGTAGTTATGTCCTAAATTTTTGTTTCAGTTGTGTGTGTAATGTACCCTACTGAGAGGGAAAAGTCTGACATACTGTTCTAGCATGTATACCTAGAAGTGGAATTGCTGGCTTTGGGTGTATGTGCATTCTAAGCTTTTACTAGATATGATCAAACTGCTCTACAAAGCAATCATCTCAAAGAATATTGCCCGCAATTTGAACGCTCCTGTTTCTGCTTGCAGGATGCAGCGTACAGCCTGACCAAGGTACTGAAAAAAGAACGTACAAAGCAGTGAACAGAAAACAAGGGCCAGCAAGAAGGGAAGAAAGTATTTTGGGACAAAAGTCAGTGGCTAGGTCTTAATTAGCCAAGTTCAATAAGCCAGAATAATGAGCTTAAACAAAAGAAGAAAAAATTTTAAAAGTTGAATTACAGGCAAAATTTAAACAATAATTTATTATTATTTCAATTCATATCTGGGATAATTGATGACTATGAGAACTTTTTGATTCCCCTTACTCTTTCTTTAGTTGTTACTATTTATAATGAAAAAAAAAAAACAACACAAGAAAAACTCGACTCACATTTTTTACTCTACAAAAAAGTGTTGCTAATCCTTAGTAGAAAGCAAATCAAACCACAACAACACCATTTCACACCCACTAGAATGGGCATAAAAACCACTGAACAGTAGCTGGTGGAAATGGGAAATGCTGCATTTGCAATGGAAAACAGTGTGTCAGTTCCATATGATTTGCAATGGAAAACAGTGTGTCAGAATTACCATATGATCCAGAAGTTCTACTTCTTGGTATATAACGAAAAAATTAAAGGTAGGACTTGAATTTATATTTGTACGCCATGTTCATGGCAGAATTTGTTCAGAATACTGCAAAGGTGAAACCAACCCTAGCACCCACGGGGATGAATGGATAAACCAAATGTGGTATTATACCATGGAATGTTATTCAACCTTAATAAGGAAGGAGGTTTTGACATGAGTTACAACATGGATAAACTTTGAATAAGCCAATCACAAAAGGATAAACACTGTATGACTCCACTTACAGGAGGTACTATGATTCAGAGCTAAGACAAAAGAAGAATGGCAAGGGTCAGGGACTGGGTGAGTGGGACGGGAAGCTGTTGTTTCACAGCTACGGAGTTTCAGTTTGGGAGGCTGAAAAGGTTCTACAGATGGTGGTGATGTTTGCACAGTGCGAATGCACTAAATGCCACTAACCTGTGCAGTTAGAACTGGTTACAATGGTAAATTTTCTGTTATGTTTATTTTACAGTAAAAAAGTCATTAGAAAAGGTGTGTATCATGTGTTCTGAGGGGGAAGGGAAAAATTTTAGGGGGATGTTATAAAAATACATGACGTTCACATTGCCCCACTTTTCTCAATCACATAGATATTTTAATAAAAAAATTGTTACCACAAACTAGATCTTACTGAGAGATGTGCGTTATGTTCTATGCAACTACTAAAACTCTTTACTGTGATCATGTACATTATGCGATCAAAAGTACCAATTTACCATGAAATTTCCTCTGCAGTTCCTGCTGCATTTGTTGGGTATTTCCATTTTCAGGACGCATGAATCCCGTCAGCCGCTGCTGCATTTTGGCAGTGGTACTAAAACAAAAGGTCCAGAGTGTGTATTTGTGTCTTTCACAGTGTTACTGAGATATAACTCATGTGTCACACAATTCAACAATTTAAGGTGTACAACTCACTGGGTTGCACAATTATCACCTCACTCTAATTTCAGAACACCTCCTAGCAATCACCCCCATTTCCTTTCTCCCAGCTCTACCCTTAGCTACCATCCAACTTACTTTCTGTGTCTCTAAATTGGCCTTTTCTGACTATTTCATATAAATAAACTGAAATATGTTGTAAATATTTTCCCTTGTAGATTAGTGAAATAGCACTGGCAAGTCAGTGATGTTTTAAACTTGAAGCATTGTAATTTCTTAGGTGCTTAAAGTTTCACTGAGTAGATGGATGATAACAATACCTTCTTTTTATTGAGCACTTGCTTTCTGCCTGCACCTTTAATACAACAATTCTGTAGGTAAGTATTATTAAGAATCCCATTTCACACATGCGACAATTTTAGGACAAGAATAAAAAGCAAAGAATCTGTTGTAAGAAAATACTGACCACTGAGGGAAATGAGTAAATAAGAGCATTTTGAAAAGAACATCAACTTTCAGGAGAAGCTTCTATTTGGTAACCAATATTCAGTGAAATACAGATTAAGATTTTTAACTTCAAAAGTATGAGACTACTAGAGCTGTAATGGGGACATTGTAGGAGAAAGCAAGTAAGTGGTTATGTCAATGTTGTTAGAAAATAAGATTTTTTAGGATAAAAACAATACAAATATACCCTAAAACAATTTACAGACAGTGAAATATCCTGTATTTGTTAATCTGAACCTAAACAATAGTACTACTCACAATTTTATTAGAAAAACAAAATCAAAACAACATACAGCTTGACCAGGAGCAACGAACAGCCCCAGCTACACTCTCCAACATCCTTTTCTACAAAAGAAACCGGGGCCTGTGGGAGAAATGGCTGATTTCAGGGTTATGGCAGGAATTGTGCCAAAAGAACCCGGGAGGTTTTATCATACTAGGAAGCAAAGAAGCTGTCAAAGACTGTTGTCAAAATGATTCAAGAACAATCTGGAGAGGCAAAATATGAAAATATTTACATTAAAAAAACCAACCTGCTACAGGCTGAAATATTAAAATTGTAGGCTGATGATGTTACTAAGTAAAAACCTCCACTGTCTGCAGTGGCCAAGCTGGAGGGAGGCTGCTGCGGCCCTTCTCACAAACTACAGCGCAGAGCCTTGCACCCGACACAAAGAACTGAGGCAGCTCCACAGAGACAGACAGACGAGTGGTTGCCAGGGACCAGCGGGAGGGGAAGCGATGAGTGCTGAGGATAAGACATTTGTGTCCCGCCACTTTCCCCCTACCTCCAGAGTAATGGTATTTGGAGGAGGGGGCTTTGGGAGCTAGTTAGGTTTCAGTGAGGCCATGGGAATGGAGCCCCACGATGAGATCAGCACCCTCATAAGAAGATGCCAGGAGACTTCCGGCCAAGATGGAGGCGTAGGTAGACACACTGTGCCTCCTTGCACAACCAAAATTAAGAAACAAACAAAAAAACCCCAGAACTGACAGAAAATTGAACTATATGGAAGTCTGACGACCATTTATCAGACTAGAAAGGGGTGGAGTCGGTGGCTGGCAGAGAGGGGTCCCGGGAGGAAAAGGCAGTGGCTGGCGGACCTGGGTGCGCAGGCGGTGGCTGGTCAACCACAGGCACGCGGTGGCAACAAGCAGACCCAGTGAGGCGTGCAAGGCGGTTGGCTGACCTTGGACACACATTTGCACACAGATAAACCAGGTGAAAACGGGCAATGAGACAGACTGCGCAACCCAGGGACCAGCGCTGGAAAATAAAGCCTAAAAACACCAATTGAAAACACTTGTGGGGGTTGAGCTTCTGGGAGAGACTCCCAGCCTCACAGGAGAGTTCATTGGAGAGACCCACAGTGTCCTAGAACACAAGCCCACCCACCTGAGAACCAGCACCAAAGGGGCCCAATTTGCTTGTGGGAAATGGCAGAGGGGACTGAAATCCAGGAGCGAGCAGAGCAAGCACCATTATTCCCTTTCTGACCCCGCCCCCACATACAGCATCACAACCCAGTGACTGGGTTGCTCCACCCTCATGAACACCTAAGGCTTCTCTCCTCACTATGTAACAGGCGTGACCTGACCCCCCAAAAAGGGCTCAAATCGAAGAACAAATCAAAGCCCCAGAGCTAATACTTTTAAGTGACCAACCTATCACATGCACAGTTCAAAGCACTGGTGATCAGGATGCTCACAGAACTGGTTGATTTTGGTCGCAAATGAGATGAAAAAATGAAGGCTACGCTAAGTGAAATGAAGGAAAATGCACAGGGAAGCAATAGTGTTGGAAAGGAAACTGGGACTCAAATCAATGGAGTGGACCAGAAAAAAGAAAGAAACAACCAAACAGAAAAGAAGGAAGAAACAAGAATTCAAAAAAATGAGGAGAGTTTTAGGAACCTCCAGGACATCTTTAAATGTTCCAACATCCAAATTATAGGGGTACCAGAAGGGGAAGAGGAACAGCAACAAGTGGAAAACTTATTTGAACAAATAATAAAGGAGAACTTCCCCAATCTGGCAAAGGAAATAGACTTCCAGGAAGTCCAGGAAGCTCAGAGAATCCCAAAGAAGGTGGACCCAAGGAGGAACACACCAAGGCACATCATAATTACATTAGCCAAGATTCAAATGAAGGAGAGAATCCTAAAAGCAGCAAGAGATAATGGGACAGTCACCTACAAAGGAGTTCCCATCAGACTGTCAGCTGATTTCTCAAGAGACCTTGCAGGCAAGAAGGGGCTGGAAAGAACTATTCCAAGTCATGAAATCCAAAGACCTACATCCAAGATTGCTCTATCCAGCAAAGCTTTCATTTAGAATGGAAGGGCAGATAAAGTGCTTCTCATATAAGGTCAAATCAAAGGAGTTCATCATCACCAAGCCCTTATTTTATGAAATGTTAAAGGGACTTATCTAAGAAAAAGAAGATAAAAAAAAATATGAACAGTAAAAAAACAGCAAACTTACAGTTATTAACAACCACACCTAAAACAAAAGCAAACTAAGCAAACAACTAGAACAGGAACAGAATCACAGAAATGGAGATCACGTGGAGGGTTAGCAACAGGGGAGTGGGAGAAAGAGAGAAGGGGGGAGAAGGTTCAGAGAATAAGTTGCATTGATGGTAGGTAGAAAATAGATAGGGAGGGCAAGAATAGTATGGGAAATGTAAAAGCTAAAGAACTTATGACACATGCACATAAACTAATGGAGGGGAATGTGGGTGGGAGGGGTGTACAGTGTGGAGGGGAATAAAGGGGGGAAATGGGACAACTGTAATAGCATAATCAATAAAACATACTAAAAGAAGAAGAAGAAGATGCCAGAGAGCATGCGCTCTCACGTTCCCTCTCCCAAGTGAGGACACAGAAAGCAGCAGCTGTCCCTAAACCAGGAACAGCATCCTTGCCGGAACCTGAACATGCTCACCTGATCTCAGACCTCCAGCCTACAGACTGTGGGAAATAAATGTCTGCTGTGTAAGCCCGCCTATGGTATTTGTGTTACTCCAGCCTGAAGACAGGGCGTGTCTACTGGCGGCAGAGGGTTTCTTTCTGGTGTGATGAAGATGTTCTGAAGTTAGACAGTGGTGGGTGATGACTGCATAGCCTTGCAAATATACTAAAACCACTGACCTGTATATTCTACAAGGGTGAATTTTATAATACGTGAATTGTAACTCAGGGAAAATAAGTAAAGAAATCCTACTTATTCTTACTTTGGATTTCCTAATGGTCCTCCTGCAAATTGGGAGTTTCTGTCCAGAAATTCCTGCAGGCCTTTCAGTTCTTGTAGCACTGACTCCAGCAATTGGGAGGGAACACTACTTTCAATCTGATAAAAAAAAAAAAAAAGTTGTTTTGAAGGTTTAAAAACAGCGACAAGGTGTATGTATAGAAAACATACTCTGTACATCTATAACTGCATATAAATGTTAATTTTGAAGTACCCTAACTTCATAAACAGTAAAGATATTTCTTACGTCAATTCATAGTTGGTGACCAGAATACAGGGCTGGGTATCACATCCCTTCTCTCCGACTCTGGTTTGATTTCGATATAATTTACAGACAGTAAAATACACAAATTTTAAGTGACATCTTGTTGACTTCTTACATTTTAATATAGTCATAGCCAGACCACAACAGAGAGTATTCCCAACACTCAGGAAAGTTCCCTAATGCTCATTAGTCATTCCATCTTGCAGGTGACTACTCTTCTTACTTCTATCACTGCAGAGCACTTTAGCCTGGTCTTGAACTTCATATAAATGAAACCACACTATGATAAGTAAATACATGCTTATTCTTAGAAATATGAACTTAAAGAGCATCAGAGTTGCAAAGATATTTGATATCTTATTTAAAAAAGAAAAAGCTTAAAATAAATTGTATTCATATTTCACATTCATACAAATCTTACTATGTGAATTTATGATGATACAAAGTTCTACAAGATGCTTTCTCAAAGTACTCTAGAACACAGGCAAGTACATGGAAATTAGTACTGGGTCCATAGACTTTTGGGTATATAAACAAAATATTTAAATAGTAGTTTTGAGCAACATTAAGTATTAGGACTTACTCTAACCCTCGAAAGAACCTCAAGGAGATGTACCATCCTCATTTTACAGTGAGGTATCAGGCTCTGAAATGTTAAGAAGTTTCCTCACCTGCTAATAAGTGTCAGCGCAGAGACTTAACCCAGGAATTGGACAGTGAATTAGACAAGGACGCAAACACACACATAAGAGAATGCTATCCCTGCATCCTGTTTACAACATCAGGAAGTGTGCAACAACACACTTGTCCACGAAGAGCACACCTGGCCCCGTACAAATGGCGGACACCACTGTGCAGCGCACACTCACCGCAGTGATCTCTTTGTTGCCGCTCCTGAATACTCTCTCCACAACCAAACTGGCATCCCAGATGTTTCTGGAACAGAAATGTTTTCACAATTAGGCTGAGGAGGACTAAAAATAATTAAATACATAGTACATGCCTTTCTGTGTGTTTATTAAAATGTAGCAATGGTTTCATTGAACATTTTACTACATTAACTGAAAAAGAAAAGGGAAACAGGGAAATTTTAAAACCTGATAAATCTAAGTTATTTAACTAAATAAAATACTGTTAAAGAAAAATCAAAAGTCTCTGGGTAATGAACTGTAAACCAGGAAGCTTATAATGCAAAACTAAATTTACAAAGGGGTTTTGCACAGTTTCAAATTTTTAAACAAATAATTAGAAGGAAAGCACATAAACCTGAGAAGACTATATACTGGGCACAATACCCAACTAGATAACATGGTAGACTGACTGCAAAGGTGGCTATTTCTCTGCTCTCTCTGCCATGAACCTTCCAGGTTCACTACCACCAGGCGAACAGTCCCTGGCTAGCCTGCCTGCTGGAGGGCGCGAGGCCGTGTGGAAAACAGCGCAGCCAAAGGTGACAGCTCTCTTCAACTTCATGGCTGACTGTGCATGCACAAGTGAGCCTGGCCAAGCCCAGAACTTTCCAGCTGACTTGCAGAGACACAAGTCACTGAGTCAAGGGGTAGTTTGTAACACTATACATAATAGGTACAGAGATACATTTTGAAGATATATAAAATACAGATGGTTAGACAATAAAAAAGCTGAATGAAGGAAAACAATCTGAATGGAAAGGGAACTAAGATTCGGGTACAATTTAATAGGGATAAATGATGCCCCAAATATAGAACTAAAAATAGTCAGTGCAGCAAACTAGGATAAGGTGAGCAACAGTTAATTAGTCCCTGGAAAACTCACCCCATGATTCGAGAAAAGTAGATGCAGATGCCGTTGTGTTTTCCAGAGCACACAATCTCTGGTCCGGCCATGTAGCCCAGACCTGGGGCCGGGACCGCCGGACTTCCTGTAGCAGGCACTGGGGTTGGCATGACAGGAGGGTGCACGCCTTGTACACACAGAGAGAAACAAACCTTACGGTGTAAGCAGAAACATGGAGAATTCTCCATAACCCCAGTCTGCTGTACCTAGACCCACAGCAAGAAACTATTTACAAAAAATATTGGAATAAACACAAAGGGAGACTTGGACTTAATGGCTTCTCCCAGACAGGTTGTCAAACACTGGCAATGCAGGAGGACAAGGAGAGACAGCTTGCAGTCACTGCTCCTTAATGCTGGAGTGAGAGTGAACTAATTACACAGATTTCGGGGCTGGCAATTAAATCTTGGTATCCAGATAAGGGCCTTTCCAGGTACCACTAAAGGTGCTCCTAAGGCCTTCACAGCCAAAAGCCAGTACTTTCCTGGGTGTCACTTCTTTTAAATTGCATTTTTAAAAAGATTTTATTTATTTATTTTTAGACAGAGGGGAAGAGAGGGAGAGGAACATCGATGTGTGAGAGAAACACTGATTGGGCGCCTCTCGCACATGCCCCATTCAGGAATTAGGCCCACCACCAAGGCATGTGCCCTGACTGGGAATGGAACCAGCAACCTTTTGCTTTGCAGGACGACCCTCAACCAACTGGCCCCACCTGTCAGAGCTAAATTACATTAAAAGAATAGGGTAGGTTAACCTTCTCCACACCAAGCATTAAAGGTAAGTCACAATGGGCAGTAGTAGCATAAAAAAGAAAAGAAAAAACAAAGAAAAAGAGAAGAGGTACCTTGAGATGGTGTTCCCAAAAAGGATGGATTTGGATATGGACCACCACTAGGAAGAGGAGAACCTAGAGAGGAAATAAGAATATAAGATTTATAAAATAACTCCCAATTTTTGAATCTGATCAAATTAGACACCGAAGCTGTTCCTAAGCATCAGAGTGTGCAGCGGCGCCACTCATAATGTATTCGACAGTTAGGGACCCTGCTCATCTCCCAGCGATCTTCGAACAGCCCCCATGATGGCAAGTGTTGTGGTGGAAGTTTATTTATTATTAAATCATCCATGTCCTTCCTTTTGGATAAATAGCAAATGATCTATAAACACTATCAGTGACATCTTATTTTGTTCCCAAGTATACAGTAAGAACTCATCACTTTTTGAGTCAGATACCTTTAGAATTATTCACCAAAAGTGTACACGTAAATATAGTTTAAAGACTTGTCCATTAAAATATGCAAGGTTTCTAAAATGCAAACTCTATTGAAAACAGCTTCATTCATTGCTTCATACTCACTGGCATAGACAGGAGACCCCAAGATGGGACCAACGTTACTTGGCGGGGGGAGCGTGGCTGGAAACCTCATCTGAGCTTCACCTCCGTACCTATTTGCACAAGAACACAGGCTAGTTTATTCAGTGAAACTGTTCGCCTTGAAAGCTGGAATTGTTTCAAGTCCTGCTTAGCTCTCAAAATAAAGCTTTCAACACCAGAGACTTTAATTCACTGTGCTTACAGTGAAACAGAGTGGGGCAACAACAGTAGGTTTAGAGTTGTGAGTACACAGTTTATTCTTTTTTTTTAAAATTTATTTATCTTTAGAGGGGAAGGAGAGAGGGAGAGAAACATCAATGTGTGGTTGCCTCTAGTGCATCCCCTGCAGGAAACTGGCCTGCAGGGAACCGGGCTGCAACCCAGGCATGTGCCCTGACTGGGAATCGAACCGCGATTGTCTGGTTCGCAGGCCCGCGCTCAATCCACTGAGCTACACTAGCCAGGGCTCAGAGTTTATTCTTGTAATATTACTTATTAATTATGGTATTAGTATTTGTATTACAACTGCAAACCTACTTTTGCCCCATCCTGTATATAGATACATTAAGAAAAGTAATTCAGTAAAAGTTGACTTGGAATTCTACCAGGAAGTGTTATAAGGAACTGGCAATTTCTAAATACTGGACAGCAAGCCCTGACTGGTATGGCCAGGTTGGCAGGGCATCATTTCACACAGCAAAAGGTCGCCAGTTTGATTCCTGGTTTGGGCACATGCCTGGGTTGCAGGTTCCATCCCTGGTTGGGGTGCATACCAGTGGCAACTGATGGGTGTTTCTCTCTCACATCGATGTTTCTCTCCCTCTCTTTCTCCCTCCCTTCCCCCTAAGAATAAATAATATCTTAAAAATTATTTTAAAAAGGTCGCCAAGGCATAAAATTTACTTAATGAATACATGGTATTGTCATTTTCATACTAAAGTATGATTAGAAGGTATTTTTGAAATTTCTTTTAAACGAGACAAATCACATTTCAAATTCTTATCCTGAGCTAAAAAGTTTCCAAGTACAGTATCTTTCTGATACGAAGTTTCCTTGGAGAGATTCAGAATCCTCCAGTGCCAATGGCAGGCACAAAGCGGAAGTGATCTAGTGCATGGGGAGTGAAAACAGAGACGTGATGGCAGCCGAGGCAGAAAGAACGCACCAGACGGAAGAGTGGTAACTGCATGAACTGCTGCTTCCTCAGCCCTGTAATCTTCCCAGAGCTCACCTTTTCACAAATGAATTTTACCTCAACTGTTTGGCAAGCCCTTAAACTGTCACAATCTCCAATGCAACCACTGAAAAAAGTGGCCAGGGACAAAAAGAAAACTGTCACACACCTGAAGAAAGCTCGAGTAGCCCAAGCAGATATTTCTCTATCACAGGCAGCGGTGGAACAAGCAAGGATAAGGCAAGTTGCACAAGCCTGGTCTTCCTGTTAAAAAAGAATATCTCCCCTTATATTAAGCATTAACATTTAAGAAAAGTTTTGTTTAATGCTGTACCCAGCGTTTAAATCTGTGCCAAGCATGCAGTTGGGGCTCAATAAATATTTTCTATCTGAATGATATCAGCTGACGTGAAAAAGGAAAAGTAAACACTATTAGTTTTAAACTTAGAGCCTATTGATACTGTTGCCAAATATCAGTACATGTTTAGTCGTTAATGTAAAGCAACAGAGACTGGTAAGATTGCCTGTTAATCACAGTATCTTTGGTCTTAACATAGAATTCAGCTGTCTTTCCCATTTTCTTGTTTAAATTATCATCATGTTTAAAAAATGGTACAAGTAGTTACCTGATGTAATTTAAAGAATCTTTCAATCTCGTCTCCGTCTCCGCCCACATTACTCACAAGCAGATGCCGCAGCTGGTCTACTGGTCTAAGTTTATGAAACATAAGACTCCCCTAAGAAGTTGAAAAAAGGGAGGTGAATCATCAATTTACCAAGTCTAGCTGGTAAAAACTGACCCTGTTATTTTATTTAGTAAAGTCAATAAAACAAGCAAACAAAAGAATAACTTGAAGAACACAAAGCACACCGATGACACGGGGCACCTGTCTCCATCCCGTCTCCCAGCGAGTACCAGCTCTGCCCTCAGAAGCCAATAGGAAGCCCCGCGCTGCCAGCACGTGCTCTCACCACGCACGAGGTCAAGGTTTACATGGTGTTACGCTTAAGAGAGCCGGCGCTTATGACTTGCCTTTTTTTTTTGGCAGAGGTGTTTTCTTATTAATTTAGGAAGTTCTATTACAGGGTCAAGTAAATACCAGAATTTAGACTATGATAAAAGCTTCCCCTCAAACCAGAAGATTGGAGTTAGATTATCCATTAAGAAATTATGGGCACATTCTTTTATGAACCTCAAAGTGAGAAATTTATTTCTTTACTACCATATAAATTCCAAAAGATAACTTGAAAATTTCAACCGCTTGTAAATTTATCCATATGGAAAAATCTTAATAGATAAAATCAAATGACAAACTATGAAAACTCAAACTATATCACAAAAAGTTCCCTTGATACACAAAGAGCTTCTGTACATTAAATAAAAAAGACAATTCAACAGAAAAGTAGGTACAAAGTACAAATAGTTCACAGGAAAACAAGCATTAAAGTGACAGTCAATCTCACTCCTCCCAGGCTGGCACGTTGTACTTGGACAGAACAATGTGTGTGTGTGTGCACACCAGGAACCTGACAACACCTGTCCACATTACAACGCACACACTCTTTGGTCCGGCAGAGGCAATTCTACATGCAAAATGATACAGGCACAGGTTGGAGAACTGCTCTGAACAGCAAAGATGACCCACTAACAGTGGCCTAGTTAAATACGGTTCATCCACATAAATGAATACCTTTCACTCATAGAACAGACTGAGAAAGTTTTTCTATAATGATATGGAGACAGCTCCACAGCACATCTCTGAAATGTAAAAAGCAGAGTATAACGCAGTGTATACAACACGCTACCACTCGTTCAGAAATGTGTTTGTATTGTTTGTGGATTGTGACACATCCTTGGAAAGAAATACAGCTGCCGAGGACTCTGGGGGCTGGGGGGGAGGAGCCTGAAGTGGGAGGGAGACGGTACTTGGTCTAGGCCTTGTCACACCATTTGAATTTTGTCAGTGCATTGCTATTCAAAAAATAAATGTTAGGTAAAATTTTTAACATTTAAGTGAGAGCAATACAAAATAAACTCAGTTTATTTATTTTATGCTATTAAACACGGATGATAGAATAGCTACATTAGAAATATAACATTATAAAAAGCAAGTTCTCTCTGTTGAATTTTGGGGATCTACAAACTATTTCTTTCTTAAGAACACTCCAGGAGAAAACATCCCTACGCACTCAGGTAAATGACTCCACCCCGCGAGTACGGCAGAAGACACACACCAGTCACTGCTTCTCTCGGCCTTCGCCGTCACAGCGGGCGCCTACCTGTGCCGACAGGAGAACGAACTTCTTCGGCGGCAGCATGTGCTGCTGCACGACGACCGGCGAGTCAGTGATCGGGATGTGGTCCTTATTTAAGGGTGTGATTATTTTATCCACTTTCAACTCGTCTATTGCAGAGAGAGCCCAGGAGTGGCCGTCCACACGGGTCGTCGTCTACAGAGGAGAAACCGACTTTTTATACTACTAAACACTACTAAAGTTGGTAGTAAGGAAAACACTACTTACTACTTACACCCACTTTTAACACTACTAAAGTTAGTAGTAAGGAAAACACTGCTTACTACTTACACCTACTTTTAACACTACTAAAGTTAGTAGTAAGGAAAACCTTTAAAAAGAAAAAGTTGTAGAGACTTAATCTGAAATTAAATATAGGATTCAATAAATACATTAATAAATATTCTCAAAAGCCTATATTTAATTTTTTGCTGTCTAATTCTTTCAATCAGACATCCTCTACAGTAACAAATAATCTATCCATATCAAGGGATAAAGGCAAATTTTTCCTAAGATAAACTATAAATAGCATTTATTAGAATCACAGTTCTTTCCATAACCAAAGATTTCCTCCTACCACCTTTCCAGGGCAGACTGATCTGCACTGGAAGGCTCAGTGTTTATATTTTGCTGACACGTGGATTCCTGCTCTCTTCTGAAGTTGTATTTGTTTTCTAAGCTATTTCTTCTTTTAAAAAAGTATTTAGGAAGGTATTATGATAACTTTTACAGATGAGGAAATTGAGGGCCAGAGACATGTTAAGTCCAATGAAGCACAGCTTCGAGGAAATGGAGCCAGAATTCAAACCTGTAACCCCTAACTTTGCACCCCATCAGGACAGGGTTTGTATTAAGTTCTGAATCCTCAGTCTATCACAGAATGAGACACACAGTAGGTGCTCAGTAAAGTCCAGAGAATAAAGGAAAGTATTCGAGAAAGGTGCTCCTTGCCTCCACACCAACCTTCTGCCTGTACCCCAGCAACCTGGTTCATGCCAGCAACTTGGAAGAGCCCTTTCAGACCATGCACCCTCCTCCTCCCACCTACACACCTTCTCCCACTCGTCCTAACGAGAAGGGCTTATGCTGCAGAATAACCAGAAGGCCAGTGACAGCTGGAACCAAAATGCCTTTACAGAAATGGCTCCAAAGGTATCAGGAGTTGTTGGTTAACCTGGTTTGGTTAGCACCTTCTGGGGGCAGGCAGCATGAACTGTGCTGGGGCATCTGGGAGGACGGCAAGGGGTGGGAGCACATCAAGGGGAGGGAGCTGATCGTCCTCATGGGCAGGGATGGGCCACCCAGCTGTGGGGTTGGGCTAGGACCGCTGGGGACACACTCCTCACCAGAACCTCTACATCATGGAGTATGTGGTGGTGTTTACTTTTAAAACACAATTATGTGCTTGTGTGTGCACACTTGGTACGTAGGGAAGAGAAAAGAAATAAGATGGGGGAAATGTTCATAATTCACTAATATGGGGGGGTCAAGTCACCATTTGCTCTATTCTTGAGTCTATTTGAAAATTTCTATAATTAAATTGTTTTTAATTTAGGGAGAACAATCAACTATAGAGATCATTAGAATAAAATTCTGTCATACCTGTAATGGGTGGCCTCACAATAACTAAAAATATAATACATTTAAATGGGACACAGAGAAATTCTGAAAAGATACATGCATTTTCACGTATACTATTAAAAAATTCTACAAGAGCTTCAATGTTTATTTTAAAGAGTTTTAATTATTACTGTGACTTCTAACATTACAGAAGAAAAACAAAGAATAGAATACTTTTTTAAATATGCTTTCTAATCATGCGAGGTTTTTATAAGCAAATAGTAAAAAATCAGAAGATAAAGTTTCTTACAATTATATTCTTCACTTAAAATAATGTAAAAAGTTCTATACAATTACCCTGATCATTTATACCTGGGTTTCCATCATAGGCTTTTGGAAAGGAAATGTGTCGTGGTTCACACACCACAAAATGTCACTGTCTTCATTTTCTGAGGCTGCCATCAGTAGAACACCTAATAATTTAACACACAAAGTATAGGATGCCAAATTATATGTATCCCAAATAGTAACAATGTTAATTATTAACACTAATATACATGTAGCATTAAGTGTTATAGGAAAACAAGTTACAAAGTAAAAACTAAAAGCAGAATACCTAAAAGTTTAACACACAAAATCTTATGACGCCAAACTATATGCATCCCCAATAATCTTAACAGTAATTAATAACACTGATCTATAAAGCATTAATCATATATATGTAAATGATTTACAAAAATAAAACTAAATCCCCTAAAAGGACATAAAATTTTTGGTAGGGTAGAATCATTAAAAGTGCCAGATCTTATAGTGTATTCTTTCAAGTAAACACTTATTTTTTCTCACATTTTAAACATTTCTTTCTTTCTTTTATAAAAAGGATTTTATTTATTTTTAGAGAGGGGGAAGAGAGGGAGAAAAAGAGAGAGAGAAACATCAGTGTGTGGTTGCCTCTCCTGCACCCCCTGCTGGGGACCGGGCCTGCAACGCAGGCATGTGTCCTGACTGGGAGTCAAACCAATGACCCTTTGCTTTGCAGTCTGGCACTCAATCCACTGAGCCACACCAGCCAGGCCACATTTTAACATTTCTAAAGTTAGAATATATTTTACCAGCAATGGATTTATCAGTTTAATTATTAACTTTAAAACACATGTTTAATATACAAAAATGCTCTGACATACAATCAATGATATCTAATATTTGATAAAATAGAGTTTACATATTGGTTAATTCAAATACATCATAAATAATAACGATGAAGTCTGCAACAGAACGGCAAAGATAAATACACTATAAAAGCATTATCTCAGCAACACTAGCTGATGTTGCAGTTTGATTTTGAAATATATTCTCCTGTGCTCAATTTCAGTTTCTTCCACTACTCTGCTCTCTTTGGAGAGCTCATTGGATTGAGCACCAGCCTGTGAACCAAAGGGTCACCAGTTCGATTCCCAGTCAGGGCACATGCCTGGTCCCCAGTTGGGGGGGGGGTGTGCACGCGTGAGACAAAATCGTACATTGATGTCTCTCTCCCTCTCTTTCTCCCTCTCTTCCCCAATGTCTAAAAATAAATAAAATCTTTTAAAAAATCTATTTATGATAGCATCAAAAAAATACTTACAAATACATTTAAAAAGTACAAGATTTATACACAGTACAGTGTACATATATTCTAAGAAATTAAAGGTCTAATAAAAAGATATCCCATGTTCATGGATTTGAAGACTTAACATGGTTAAAATGGCAATATTCCCCAAGGTAATCTACATTTTCAACTATCAAAATCCTACCTGATGTTTTTGAAAAAACTGACAAACACTAAATATTTCTGGTATTACTGGACAATTCCATGTACCCAAGAGGGCACAAAGATTACTACCTCTAGAGTCTTGCTTTCTGCTAGCTGAAAGAGTTGACAGCCTTCAATTCATCTCCCAGTTCCCCAACGAGACACCTGTCTTTTTCCACAATACAATCAGGTAAGAGAGACAGAATCAATTAAAGCTGACATAACTTTTTTAAACATAAAGCCTGTTTAAACATTCAAAAAAAAGGGAAAGAAAAAGAAAAGATAACACTGACAAACGGATTCTAAAATCCATATGAAAATGTAAGAGAGCCAGAACAATCAAAACAATCTTGACCAAAAAAAAAGAAGAAAATCAGTTAGAATTTAAAACTTTCATCCAAGAGAGAGTAACTCATACTGAGTTACTGGCACAAGGACCAATACAGGCCAAGGAATAAAACTGAGAACCCAGAACCCATACACTTCTGGGCAGTTCACCTAAGACAGCGGTGCCAAGACAATCGGGGGAAAGAAGTCTCCTCGGCAAATGGTGCTGGGAACTGGATGTGCATGTGCAAAAAATGACGCCAGAGCCCTGCCTCACGTGATACAGAAAATTTAACTCAAACGGACTAGGGACCTGAATCTGAGACTGAAACTGTGACACTCCTAGATGAAAACATCTTTGTGGACTTGGGGTAGAAAACTTCTCCTAAAGTAAACCCAAAGTACAGAAACAAAAGAAAAAATAGATAAATTGGACTGCATGTAAATTAAAAACTTTTGTGGCTCAAAGGACATTCATTAGAAAGTGAAAATATAACCCACAGAAGGACAGAAAATATTTGAAAAACATATACCTGATAAGGGTCTCATGTCTATAATATACAAAGAACCCTTACATATCAATAATCAAAAAACAATCTGATTTTTAAAAGGGCAAATGCTCTGAATAGTTACTGCTCCAAAGATGTACAAATGGCTACTAAGCACAAAACAAGATGCTCGACAGCACTGCCTGACGGGTAAGTGCGAACCGACACTGCGGTGTTGGCGGCACTTCACAGCCCTGAGGGCAGACGTAACAGAAGACAGGAAAGCAGGACGGGCAAGAACGTAACAGCCGCGGACCCCTCACTCACTGGTGGTAAGAATGTGAAGTGGTAAGGCTAAATTTTATGATCTAAGAACTGTATCTCAATAAAGCTGTTCTTTTAAAATGCTGTGGGAAGTACATGCTATGATGCATTTGAAAAATTCTACTTGTAAAGGGAAGTTTCATTTGGGTGTTAAAAATGTTGTTAGAAACATTAGAATAAGCATAGAAAGGGAATCAAAACTAACATTTTATAAGTGCTTTCTCATCATGGGAAAAAGCATAAAGATTTTTCAAGTTCTGGTGTTTAACTAGAATTTAATTTTTTTATCATCGAGATTTCAAATTCTTGCACAAAAAGCTCTCCACATCCGTAAAGACACTGGCACAACAGGCCTGGTATCAGAAAAGTCATCTGCATTCTCCTAACCATTCTGAAGGAAGAGAGTTCAGATTCTATCACAGTGAATACTAACACTGATTGTGACCACTGAGTTTATATGTATAAGGCTAATAACTTTCTAAAATTAAAACACTTTAAAGGTACTTATCTATTGAAAAATACTATAGTTTTTTATATACTTAGCAACTGAAAATGCTTAAAATATTACATTAACATAAAAAAGTTCCTGGATAAGACAAAAAAACATTGTATATTCTATTGAAAAATCTCTTTATTTTCAAATGCCTCAGATGCATTCTAATTCTAGTAACTTTAAGAATCCAGTATTCAGCATGAGAGTATTTCGGAACTCACCTTTACTGTAGAGAGCTTTATGTACTTTTGAAGGCTTCTCCACTGTGGAAGATGCCGAGAACCCAGGCGGTAAGCGGACGTGAACCAGTGTCAGTGTGCTAGGTCGTGCTAGTGGCTGTCGGAACGGACAGGTGCTGAAGTACAGCCTCACCCCTGATGATGGGGTAAAATGAGAAATCAGTAACAGAAGACAAAAGACCTGAGGCACACACGCTGTAATTAACGCAATTCCAAAGAGACACACAGAACTGTTACAGCCATGCAGCACTTCCCAGAAAGAGCCTGCAACTATAAGCCAGGCACACTTCTGTTCCCATTCAGGCTGTGTCAGTGAATGGCCACTTTAGTCTTAGGGCCTGGCTTTACATCTATAAAATGAACACAGAGAACCGAGGAATCTCCCAATTTTCAAAAGCCTTAATTTTATCAATTATTAATATGGCTTTATAATTGATGCAGAAGTAAAAATTTCTCTCATAGTTCTAATCACAAATTTCCAAATCTGAGGACTATTAAAAGTTACCAAAGCAATAGCAAACATAAATAAAACCACCTACCAGCATGCGTGACAGCCAGTAACTGACAGTCCAGTGACTCCGAATTTTCGATCACTGCTATTTGAACAATTGGTTTAAAAACAGAGCGATCTATGGTCCTAAAAAGGAAGGGGAAAAAAAAACTAGTATGTTTCAAAAATGTGTCCACTGAGTAACAAGGAACATTTCCCACCAACAATTTTACATGTTGAAATCTGTTAAACTAGTTTACAACTAACTTTTCAGGAAACTAACAACAGCAGTTAAGAACTGGCAAAACCCATGAATATTATGTGTTGCTTATATTACTTAATAGTATTAAGAGTAACCGTTTCCAAAGATCATAAAAGAAGGCTAAATCCATTGGCTAAATGACTAGTGGGGAACAAGATGTTCTTAGGGCATCAAGTTCTCACTGTAAAAGTTACCACTAATTAAAAAGGAGAAAAAAATAAGCCTTTATAAGGAAGAGATCTAGCAAACACCGTCCTGACCGACTGTTCAACAGTGGTAAACTGGTACTGTGTGCCTCCTGATGTAACGCTATGAGTAATTCACATTAGCTATGTAACATTAGCTTAAAAAGTATTATCTTGACTCTAATAAGGAAAAACAGGCAAATTCAGAAAATTCCTGCCCCACCCTCCCAAATGTCAATATTTTGAAAGAAAGGTAGTGGAAGTTCTGTTCTATATTGAAAAGACTAATGACTAATGCAACTCATGAGCTCTGATGAATTTGGAAAAAAACAAAGGGAAAAAAAATTATAAAAACTGTTGGGGCCCTGGCCAGGTGGCTCAGTTGGTTGGAGCACCATCCCATACACCCAGAAAGGTTGCAGGTGGGATCCCCAGTCAGGGCGGGTACGAGAGGCAACTAATCAGTGTTTCTCTCCCTCTCTCCCCCCTCCCCTTTTCTCTAAAATCAATAAACATACCCTTGGTGAGGATTTTTTTAAAAAAGAATTTGGGGGACTATTAATTTCAGTATGAACTATATAATTATGAGATGTTACAAAAATTACTCATTTTTAAGTGAGGAATTGTTTATTTTGCTTTTGTAAGAAATTTAGGAGAAGGATTCAGAGATAAGGTCATGATTTCTACAATTTACTTTCCAAACGGCTCATAAGAGAGAGAGTGAGCAAACGAGGGAAAGTGTTAACTGGTGAATTTATACAAAGGGTACATCTGCTTTTACTATGCTGCCCTTTCAACTCTTCTGTGGATTTGGAAAGTTTCCCAAAAACTGCTGGGGAAGAAAAAGGAAACCCTTTGTTTTAGATTATCTGCCTTGAGATTTTTTTTTGTCACTGAAGGGCAAAGAAAATGCTGATTTTTCACTAGGTTATCTGCATGTAGCAATAACTGAAGCATGCAGATAACAGATGCTGAAAATGTGAGGCCCTTGCTATTTGAAGAGCCTTCTGTAGCTGAGCTAAATCAGCTGTGATATGAGTAAATTACAGTGTATTATGTCGAAAGACTTAGTATCTAGCTTGGGTTCCAGCATTTATTTAGGAGCCAGACTTTAGACAAATCACAACATCCTTCAGTTTGTTTCCTCACAAACACAACGTGGGAAACACCTGAGATCTTGCTCCTGGGCTTGTCAGTTTGGCTCAAATAAACGCCTATAAAAATAAGGAGAGGGGGGAGGAGGGAGAGAACAACACGGATGACACAACTGTAAATTCAGCAATTCCAAACTGCATCCTGTCAATCATCAGACCAACTAAACTCACTGTGCAGGCCTCTTAAAAAGGTGGAGCAGTTGTAAGAGGGAAAATTCCCTTAATACCACAGCTGTAATGCCTACACAGACCACATAAAGTTTCAAAGAAAAACACATGTCACGCGGGATTTTACACAGTAAAGCCAGTCTACCTTATGTTTTAAAACATCCAATATAAGAACGAAGGTCTCTAGCAGCTCTATTTCAAACATAACTGATGGTGACACTTCCCTCAACATCCCCCATCCTTTAGAGACATTCTGAGAAGGAAACAATTTTCCTATGCTGCATGTGAACAGTACAATTATGCCTGCAAATGAAATGTCTGACAACAGATGACACGTCACCTCGCGATGTTTCCAGCAGCGGAGACGATGGAATTCTGCGACACTGAGGCAACTCTGCTCATTCCCTGTCCATCGCTGCCCAGATCATAAACCTGCACGTGAAACATTGTACCCACTGAAATACAACTATAATCTGTTTACATTTTATGACTTTATTAAATAGGCTTTTCTTTTTTAGGGATCCTTTTATTTTGGTATTTTATACAAATACAAAAAACATTCACAGATTTGGAATTTCATTAAAAAATGGTTTGGATGTTTTTTAAAAAGCACACAGTTGACAGGAAAAGTCTGAGTGACTGAATCTTCTTCCTTAAAAACAGGGATGCAAGGCTCTGATGGGGAGAGCACTGTCCTAGCCAGGGGGGGTCCAACCTTTTGGCATCTCTGGGCCACACTGGGAGAGCTGTCCTGGGTCACACATTAAATACACTGCAACACGTAATCACAACAAATTTTAGACTGTTTTAAGTAAATTTAGAATTTTGTGCTGGGCCACATTCACAGTCATCCTGTACCATGTGTGCAGCTCATAGACCGCAGGTTGGACACACCCCTGCAGGCCAAGGTTGTGGGTTCGATCTCAGGTCAGGGAACATATGAAAAGCAACCACTGGCTACATAAATTAGTGGCACACCAAATCGAAGTTCCTCTCTCCCTTCCTCTCTTTCTAAAAATCAATACACACACACACACACACACACACACACACACACACACACACACACACACACCAGGAATGCTATTCCCACCTTAAATGGTAGTATAATATTAGTACTTACTTGTATCACTCCTTTCTCAGACCGTGTATATAAAATGTTTCTAGAATTATCAATTTCAATTTGAACAATAGGATCTGAAAGACAAGATAAATGAAACAAAACCCACCCAAGATTAACAAATCAAACACAGTGGCAACTTAAATTAAAACTGCTACACAGAACTTTGCATTCGGGGGCTTGCCTCTTCCTCTGCAGAAGCGTAAGGTGTCGCATGAGGACAAAGCCAAGAAGCACTTACATCAGACAACATGCGGAAAAAGAGCAGACACCAAATACTGTGACTGGATGAAGAGCAAGAAATACAAGTTGTCCTATCCTCCAAAAAAACTTTAAGCCAAACCAAAACCAAGGTCTAGATTATTTCTTCGTTCAACAAGTAAACAGTCCATAAACGTTTGCTATGGGCCAGAAACCCATGACACGCTCACACTCAGTCCATTCCTTCCAGAAACTGCGTTTCGTCAACTGAGTGACTGTGAGAAGGGGAATCAGATATTGTAGTCGTAACAGCTTTTTAAAGTTAATTTACCTTATTTCACTGAACATTTTTAGATTATTTCACTGGCACTTCTCATTTTATTAAAAATAAATATTCATTTTGTGTTGGGAACTTGTTCTAGAGCAGACAAAGCACGCACCACATGTCTGACTGGTTTTCACGTGTGCACATGCGCACACATGCACATCTTGCTTTCACGGCTTACGTATGGCTGTTTTAGACACATGTTCCATGATGCTACCTGGACAGAAATTTGGGAGCAAACCCACCCTGTTTCTGTTTCATAATCCTGTCTTCCTTTAAGAGACTTTATGACTATATAAGAAATGTATTTAAAAAGACAAACTTGCGATTGAGAATGAGAATTTCTTAAGAAAATGTTAAGCCAATGATGCTAAAAAATTTTGTTTGCCAAATTTATTGTTTTCTACTTACCATCTTCTGAAAATGTAAATTGTAGCAATGAAGGAACAAGAAAAGAAAGTGCGCTCTTAGAGTGGTTGATTTTCCTACATCTTTGGCTAAACCAACCTGCTTCTGCCTTGAAAGAGAAAATTGAGAGAAGACTTGTAAATGTAGGTACTTCTGTCACAGCAACTATCGTATACCCATGTTTACAAAAATCCTCAAATCACAGTGAAATACCAATAATTGTAAATGAAGACATACTACGCAAAAGTAGCACTAACTTTGGTCCTGTAGTTAAAATAAACATGTAGTTAACCATAATCAAATTATTGCTCTCAACTAAATCAGCTATGTCTATTCTAGAAATCTCAGTTGTGTTATGCTAGTGAACTCCTATTTTGATTCTCTCAAAAACTATTTCAAAGTACAAGGAACATAATAAGCAGGGTTTATAAGTGCCCAAAGTACATAGGATTGAGGTACTTGTATTATCTTATCCCATTTCTACTAAAAGCAAACTTAACAAGAGAGGCCACCACCATCATAATCTACATTGCATTTCTCAACGACTGAGTTTCGCCACACAAAACCATTTTGTGGTACTGAACAGGCCAATAGAAAATGAGCGAGAAAGAAGTACAATGTAATATAAAAAACAGAGCTGACCTGGGTTCTAAATCTAGTTCTGCCACTAATTAGACTACGAGAATATGACTTTATCAGTTTCTTAAGGTTTACCTTATACAAAAGACAATAATACAGAAGGGGAAAGATACACAGAAAAGGACACAAAAAGGCATTTCAGAGTAGAGAAAACATAAATAACCAATAAATACATGAAAAGATTATCAACTCAGTTATAAAAAGTTATTTCCCTCCCTCAAGATTGGCCAAAATTAATAACAGGTTGCATAATACTGGTGTTGCCAAAATACATTCATAGGTGTCTGTTTAGGGTCTCAAATTCTTACAAGGCAATATGAAAATACTAAACAAGTTTATTTTTGTACCTTTATTGATTTTTCCCCATTACCATTTAGTCCCCTTCCTCCCCACCACCCAGGCAATCAGCACACTGCTGTCTATGTCTGCGAGTTCTTTTTCCTTTTTGCTCAATCCCTCTATCCCCTGACCTCCATCCAACATTTAAATGCATATACCGTTTTTCACTGTGTATAATGCGCATGTTTTTGCCCAAATTTTTGAGGGAAAAATAAGGATGCGCATTATACATGGCTAGTACTAATTCCATATCTATATAAATGCTTTTAATTCTTTTATTTATGCTTATGTGTTAAAAGTGTAACTCTAGAAAGTAATAATGATATCTATATATCATTAAAACAATACCCTGGAATATGACAATAGGTTTTATATATAAATGAAAAACTGAATTAAAAATTAAAATGAAAGATCTTTCCACAAAGTTTGGGCCAAAACCATGGGGGTGCATTATGGATAGTAGTGCAGTATACAAGGCAAAATATGGTACATTATAACCCAACTATTAGAATTCTAAAACTCAACACAAAAAAAGTCTACTCATGTGCACAAGGAGGCCTGCAAGAGAACACTTACTGTGTTACTGGGAACAGGAAAACTGAAAACCTGGACGTCCATCAGGGAAGAAGTTGTTTAGTAAGTCATGTATGTCCACTTCATGGACAACTATGCATCAATCACGAAATATAATATCTATCTATCTATCATCACATAGTGACATGGGAAGACTTTCAAGACATAGTTAAGTGAGAAGCCAATTATGTAACAAAATATAAGCAATAATTCAAGTAAAAACAAATACAAAAATACACGATGTATTTGTATATGTGTATCCACACATAAATACATATGTATGGATATTTACAGATATGTACATCCTGTGTATATATCTTGTTCTAAAATACATATGTTTGGATATTTACAGATATGGCCATCCATGTATGTATCCTGTTCTAAAAGCACATACTCAGAACTGATAAAGGCTTTACCCCTGGAAAGGGGACTGGGTTCCGCAGGCCCATGATTTTAACTGTATGTCCGAGTAGCTTCTATAAGAATATATTAATGTGCTTATGTAATTACAAAATTAAAAAAAAATCAAAACCAAAGTCCATTTCTGTTTCATCAAAACGGAGAGAAAATGTTTATAAACGCCAGGCTTACCTGGTAGGCTACTTCATATAAACAGCCATCCTTTCCAGCCAAGAAAATTCTGCCACTGTCGGTGGAAGTTATTGTTAAAAGGTAGGTATTATCAGTGGGCAGAGAATACAAAGGATCTGGAAGCAACTGCATTCCGCCACACATACTGTCATTCAGAACTCCAGAACCTTTATTTTAAAAAGAAAGAACACAGGAATCAGTTTATTAGCTAGATATAGTATATAACATATAGCATTATAATAGATCAATAAAAAAACTAACTCAAATTTTGGAAATGAGCCTAAGAATATGGTAGTAATAGTAGTTATTTTGAGTCACTGATTCAACATTATTTCACCCAAAACAACACAAAAGAAACCACTGAATGTGATTGTGACTGAGGGTTTCTTACTTCAGTGTTTCATGTTAAAAAAGCCATTCAGTAAATCAGAAGCAAAGCAATTGAAGGCATTATTAAAAATCTCACTAGCATAGATTCTTCTTCTTCTACTACCCTCCCTTTATATTGTACATTTAAAACATGCACATTAGTATGGTAAATATATCCAAAATACTGTTTTGGTAGAGCTGCTGTCCTGAAAGATATTGTATCTACAGGGAAATGTGATTTTTTCTATGAGCAAATAGCCTGAACAGTTAATTTAGTGAAAAAAAAAAAAAAAAAGATTAGTTTTTAATTATGACATTAAATTCACCAACATATTCATGCATTTTTAAAATACAACATGTGGGTTGCTATACCTGTTTGCAAATTGGCATAGCTGAGTCCAAGAATCACTATATCCACAGGGGTTGCCAAAACCAGGAGGTGTCGGACATGAGGCAGAAAGATGCCTAAGATAAAACAGACATGGGTTTAGGATGATTTTTTCCAAAAACTTCCACAATTTAAGCATTGACAGAATAAGGTTTTACCTTTATGAAGAGCTAGTGATTACATTGTATATGAAAAGTCTGAACCCAATTAAGTTCTTTTTTTAAAAAAGATTCTATTTATTTATTTTTAGAGAGGGGGAAGGTGGGAGAGAGAAACAGAAATATCAATGTGTGGTTGCCTCTCACGCACCCTTACTGGGAACCTGGCCCACAACCCAGGCATGTACCCTGACTGGGAATCAAACCAGCAACACTTTGGGTTGCAGCCCACACTCAATCCACTGAGCTAGGCCAGCCAGGGCCCAATTTAGTTCCTTTTGATGTTAAAATATTACTACCTATGATCATTTAAGAAAGTAAGTAGCAGCCCTGGTGGGCAGCTCATTTGGTTAGGGCATTGTCCTGACAAGCCAAAGTTGCAGGTTCGATCTCAGGCAACACACAAATCACCCAATTAACGCATAAATAAGTGGAACAACAATTCAATGTTTCTGACTTTATCACTCTTTCTCTCTCCCCGCCTTCTCTCTCTCTAAAAAAAAAATACTAGTAAAAAAAGTAAATAGCAGAAAAGAACTACCTTAGAAAATAAACACTTCAGTATTCAATGCCATTTAAAATCAGTTATATTACAAAATACTTTAGGTTTATTAATATATAGACTTCTATTTGTATGCCTACATTCATAGCAGTATTAATTTATAGTGCCCAGCAGGTGAAAGCCACCTAAGTGTCCGTCAACAGATGAACTGATAAACAAAATGTGGTGTATACATACAATGGAATATTATTCAGCCTTTAAAAAAACTTCTGACATACTACAACAGGGATGAACCTTGAGGGCATCACACTAAGTGAAATAAATCAGTGACAGAAAGACAACTTCTATATAATCCCACTTATTAGCAGGTACCCGGAGTAGTCAAATTAATAAAAAATGAGTTTACATGTCAACGAGTTTCTCAAATGCATTTATATGTCAACACCAGATAATTTAGTTTCATAGGGGACATTACAAAGTAAAAAAATTTTTTGCTAATGCACACTAAGGTATTGTTTAATTTGGAAAGTGTGGTGTGGCTTGAAATGCTATGTGTAATTAACACTGTCATTATGTTCTGATGTCCAAAGTTAGTGTCTCACTTACAGGAAAAGGAAATAACTATGTCTATGACTATGGACACCTCTTCCTGCACATCTGGCCTACCTATGGGTGTTAAATGTTGTAGAAAACTCAACAGGGCTTACAGCATGACCCGGTCTTACTTCCACTAATGAACATCAAGGGGCTTAAAAGCCAGTGTCGTGTATTCAAGGCCGGGAAGCTGAAGGCACAGGCCTTCCATCTTAATGACCTCAAAGTATACCTGACATTTCATGAGTCGATTCCAAAATCTTGAGCTTACGAAAACTTGCACTTTCCTTAAGAAGTCATATCTCAAAGTATTCAGTCACAAATGTATGTCAAAGGAGTCACCTTTGATTACAGAACCTTAGGGAACTCGGACTTTTATGGATGGTAGAAAAGGTCCATAAAACAGTGCCTTGTCAAGTGATTTCATCTTCTCTAAACTCTCTCATGGCCATGGCCACTGTGGCTCATTTGGTTGGGCCTTATCCCACAAAGTGAAAGGTTGCCAGTTTGAGTCCCAGTCGGGGCACATGCCTGGGTTCCAGGCCTGGTCCCTGGTTGGGGTGAGTGTGAGAGGCAGCTGACTGATGTTCAGGTTGATATTTCTCTCCTTGTCTTTCTCCCTCCCCCTCTCTTTAAATAAATAAAATCTTGCCCTGGCTAGTGTAGCTCAGTGGATTGAGCGCGGGCCCACGAACCACACAATCGCAGTTCAATACTCAGTCAGGGCACATGCCTAGGTTGCAGGCCAGTTCCCAGCAGGGGACTCATGAGAGGCAACCACACATTGATATTTCTCTCCTTCTCTTCCTCTCTAAAGATAAATAAATAAAATATTAATAAATAAATAAATAAATAAAGAAATAAAGAAATAAAATCTTTTTAAAAATCTTTCATGTATTTGCTCCAGTATTTTGCAATAGTTGGTAAAAATGAAGGCCACCTCCCTTCAGGATGCAATGGGGTCAAATAATCGACATTTCTCATTTTAGTCAACTCACTTTTTATCAATAAAGTGCACCTTTTTAGCACCTTTAAGAAACTGCCATAGTTCTTTGGGTCTTTGGAATGGCTCAAAGTTTCACTGCCCAATAAAAAGTTGAATACTTGTGTACAAATATGAACACTTACGATCCTTTGCAATAAATCTGTTTTTGCTGTTTTGATGAAGAAACTCAACAGAACCCTAAATCATTGCTTTTTACAAAGTCATGCCATGGCACCAAAAACTTGGCCAATAGAACCTTCAACTTCAAATGCAATTTCAACGACAGTATAAACTGGTGCCTTTTCAAGAGATTTTTGTCCAGAAATAGAAAAATATAAAGTAATTCTCTTCTATTGAGAAGTTCAGACTTTGCACAAGTAGCTGATTAAACCTGAGGCAGGTTTACTTTATTAGAGACGAGGAAAGACTATTCCAAGAATAACATGGAGGGAGGAGTTTATGGCAGGTTTGACTTTCATGGAAGCTTTACTGGGTCATACAGATGAGGTGAATAAACTGACTCACAATCACACCATCACCATAATAAAAACTGCTCCAAAGCAGCAAGCTCGTCCAGCTAAGCTGCCGCCCTGGGAGATGAGCCTGAAGCTGGCTTCTCCTCAATAAGTGAGAAACACTTCCTTGAACTCAAAAAGTGTGATTAAACTTTGTTAATTTTTCTGTAGCCATAAGGTAAAAATTCCTGAGTGCTAGAAAACACACAAGAATTCTTGTTTTATTCAATGAATCATAAAATTGAAACATGGTTTCATGATCTTGATTACATAGAAGCATCAAAAAGGCAGACTTTTGCCCAAAAGCTTGAGTGACTTAGAAAAAAATTACTTTAATTGAAGAATATTTCCTTGCAAAAGGCAAAGTAAAATGTGGACTTTGTTAACATTAACACACATCTGAGTCAGAATTTTTAGGACTTGTTGACAACAAAATCAGAATTGTTTGATTATCAAAGATAATACTTTTGCTACTATATCAAAGACCACACCATAATTTTAATTTGCCATGAAATTTACACTTAAGTAAAACAAAATTTTACTCTTTGTTTTAGATGGAAAATTTATATTTATTAAATGGGGGGCAGCAATAGCTATTAATTTTCATATAACTAAACTATAAGCAATAAGAGAGAATCAAGGTTAAGAATGCTTTTGAGAATCTATGTAAAAATACATTTCCAAAGTAATCATATAAACAATGCATTAGAACTGCATGTTTGTATTTAGTGAATTGTTGTAATTTCAAAATGGCTGTGACCTTTAAAGAGCTTTACTTCGGACCTGCAAACAAGTGAATTCTGCCTACTCTCTCCTTTGGTGGGAAGGTGCCATGGGGAGGGACTGAGCAAAAAGGAAGGAGGACTCGTGGACATGGACAACAGTGTGATGACCGCCGGGGGAGGGGGTGGAAGGGGACTAAATGGTAATATAAAAAATATAATAATGATTATATATTTTTAAAAAAGAGATGCATTTAAATTTAAATCAATCAACTGTACTTGTCAGTCGCTCTGGTAAAAGATGTGGCACAGTGAGGTTAAAACTGAGCTGAACAATGCCTGCGACTTCTCAAAGGTTTATTCTGAACTGTGTTCCCACTTTCCTGGGCTATCGAAACTAAAAACAAAACAAAACAAAACAAAAAAAACCAAAACAATGCAGAGACAAAAATGGTTTTTACAGCAAGTGATGAAAAATGCCTGATACCAAAAAACTTCAGGGAAATCAAGAGTAACAAAATGTAAGCCAGATAAAGTCTGCCTCTAAAATTATTAAACTATACCCAGGAACTATATAGTTTAATAATTTTAGAGGCAGACTCACTTATACCATTATAAAGTGGGGGAAGTGTTAAATATTCCTAATCACTTTATTTCTAATCAGAAGGACTTGAACAAAACTTCAGTAGGAAATTCAACTACTTAAAATGTGTTGTCATTTGGTCCTAAAAACATTTGAAGTCTGTGTACATACAAACCTAACTTAATCAGTATACATATTTATTTCTTACCAGCTTTTGGTTTCACAAGCCCCACGGCAAGAATAGTTTCACTAAGTCCATCAAAATAGGCAAGGTCTCCCCTGTCAGTAGTGGAAGAAAAACATGTTATACACATAAACAAAAAGTTCTGTCTTATAATACTGTGTACAAGTATAGAACATAATGACAAATAAAAGAGCAAACAAACTGCTTTGGTTCCAGACCCAGGCGCAAGGGCCTGCCCAAGGCCAAGTATGCACGGGAACACAGGGGTGCTGCTCCCCATTCCAAACCTGCCCCCCAGGGTGCAAGTCTCAAGTCACAGCCATCTACTGCGGGGAGGGGGACAGGAGCTAGAGGACCTTTTCAGAAAAGCAGGTGAAACAGGAACACGGCGCGACCCACCTGCCCCCGAAGTGCAAGGTGATTCGGGAGCAACGTGAAGCCTCTGGTCCACTGAGGGTGACCCCAGGAACAGCAAAGTGAACGCAGCCCAGGTCCTGACTTGGAAAAAGTCATCTCCCCCCACAGTCAAGGCCGACTGCTAGGCTCTAGCAATTGAAGAAACACGCTGATTTCCCCCTTAAAGTTTTTTTACAAAATTAAATGTATTGGGGTAACATTTACATTTAGTGTAAATGTAAATTTGATGTTACGATGGTTAATAACATCATATAAATGTTCAGCCGAACAATTTAGTAATACATCTGTACACTGTTATGTACCACCAAAGTCTAGTCTCCTTCCTTGACCTTTCACAATGGCATATTTGACCCCCTTTACCTGTGTCCTCCTGTTCCCACCATTCTGTTAAGTCTATGAGTTTATTTCTTTTACATCCCACATGTGAGTAAAAATCACACGACCTGACACACGCCCATTTCTAAGGATAAATGCTGTTTACTTCGGTAGCCTCTATCCCACACACAATGTCCGGCTTTCCGGAAGAGAGCGCGAGAACAAAGCAGCGATGGGAAACAAGCCCCGCTGTCCAAACACACAGCGATCAACAGAACAAGACGCAGCTATGAGCCAAGTGTCTGAACCAGCAGACAGGAAATGTAAAACAAGTATGATCGACATGGTACAGGTTTTAACGGAAAAGGTGGACGCCACGCATCAACAGGTAAGGCACTTCAGCAGAGATGAAAATGAAAAGAAATGAGTAACTGAAAGTGTCCGAAGTAAAATGCACAGGAGAGAAAGAATGTCTTCTGAAAGCTTTTCAGCAGACTTCACGTAAGAAAAGAATCAGTGACCTGAAGTTAGGTCAACAGAAACTGTCCAAATGGAAACCAAAAGGGCAGAGAGCGGAGAAACAAAAACAGAACAAAGCACCCCGAATCTGCTGTACAATACCAAACGATCTAACAAAAGCACAACTGAAGTCTCAGAAGAGAGAGGGACAGAAGGGGGCAGAAGAAATATTTGAAGATAATGGTTGAAATAATTTCCAAAAATAATAAAAAACAACAAAACAAAGATCTAAGAAGCACAGAGAACGCCGAGCAAGATAAATATCAAGAAAAAAAATATGACCTGGACTTTGACCAGAGAGGGGCCATGCAAACAAAACCGAAAACTCCACAATGGCCACTCATGTAGGCCAGTCCAGGCTTCCCATTCCTCCCGCTGTGGCACCCCAGGCTCCTTGGGAACTGGTTCCTTCCCAAGCAAGGCTGATACTGGGGGAGCCGAGGGCCAGAGAATGATGAAACGCACAAAAGTGTCTGCATCATCCACATGGAGTTAGGATTTAATATAGAAAGCTTGCCCTGGCTGGTGTAGCTCAGTGGATTGAGCTCGGGTCTAAGAACCAAAGGCTCGTGGTATGATTCCCAGTGAGGGCACATGCCTGGGTTGCAGGCCAGTTCCCATCAGGGAATGCACGAGAGGAAACCACACACTGATATTTCTCTCCCTCTCTCCTTCCCTTCCCCTCTAAAGATAAATAAATAAAATCTTAAAAAAAATAAAAAATTAAATAAAATAAAAAGCTAAAGGAATAACTGAAACTAAGCCTCAGGTGTCTGCAGAATTAAATTTGTAAATGAAAGATTTATACCCAGTACTTGTGCCTTGATTTCTTTCAATAAGCACAGTGTTCAGGTAATTTTTCTTTATATGAGTTCTCATTTGAACACACAGTAAGGTGAGACTGTTCCATATTCAATTCAGTGCTGTTCCTAGCACAAAACTAAGACACAACAGGCTCAATATATTTGTTAAATGAATATGTCAGATGTTAATGGAAATACAAAAATTTTCAATGAACTGAAAACCTTTTGCATTTAGTTCTCTTGATGAGACCCATACCTAAATAGAGGTTTTATTCTTTAGTATCAAAATGAGTAAGTTATGGTAATATAACAAACTAGGGCAAAATTCAGGGTGCGTAGAGAACAATCATAAGTAAACACCACTGCTATTATGACTATGTAACATTTCAATAAAAATGCCTGTGGGTCTAATTTTTTTTAAAAGATCAGCAAACAAAAATGGTTTCATTTAAGCTACATGTTCTCACTTAGTGTCAATTCTGATTCAGTGATACAATGTTTTGAGTGTGTGTATACATAAGTGCATTAATTACTCAGAGGCAAGAGTAACATGGCCTTCCTACCCCATACCCCACCTAAAGTTAATATGATGAAGTAAGTACTGAAAAGCCCAAATTTTCCTCCAAAAAGCCAAGAGTGAGATCACCAGATCAATAAACTTTAAGCAAAAATGTCTTGGGTCCTCCCTCAGACTCTATTATACACATTTAATTTATACACAGGTGAAGCCCAGAATTATAAAAGTTAAGTCATTTCTATAAATCAGCAGTCTCTCATCCCACAGAAATGCAAGGAAAACAGAAGTCTTTAAAAATGTCAAACCATCTTTCAAAGAATTACTAAAAGACTATCTTCGCTGAAGGACAAAGAGCTTGGGACCTAGACCCCACTACTCAGAGCGGTGCCTAGACTGGCAGCATCACCCCAGAGCCTGCTGCAAATGCACTCTGGACCCTCAGTCAGAACTGCCATCAGATTCCCTAGTTTAACTCCATTCCCCGTGACTGACACCCACACTGGGAAGCGCTGACTGGATGTTAGATGAATGAAAGATTGATTCATCAGGCCATGTCTAATAAGCAGAACACTAGGAGCAATGAAGATAATCAAAATGTAAGGGCCGCTAAAGTATGGCGGCCTTCAGTGCATACCCATCTTCATAGTTCCACATGAATATGTCACTGTCGATGGTGAGCCAGGCTCTGCTGATGGCGGGAAACACGCCCATCATGCAGTTACACTGCATGTCTGAGGTCGGTGGATGTAAGGTAAACAGGTTTCAGTCGCATCTACTTTCAACTTCTTTCCAAAGAATCTGATATAAAATTTATGATTAGAAAATCATGACCTGCCCACTTTTTAATAGAAACAGCAAGTAAAATACCCTGATTTCAAATGACTTTAATGACAACCACGGTGTACGACAGAAACACTTTAATTTATAATTTCCTAATAATGCTATCTGACTATTCGAAATATATTCTGGACAAATGTAGTGTGTGTGTGTGTGTGTGTGTGTGTGTGTGTGTACCATTACGAACTTTAAAAAGAATACTGATTATGAATAACACCCTTCAACTTTGACATTAAAAAGCTGTTTTACTGAGTCAGATTTTTCAACTGTATCAGAGCGAGAGAGATAAAAAAGCACATGGTATGCTAATCACAGTTAGTGACAATGTGCAATACTTATAAATAACATAATTTAAAAATAAGCAAAGATTTATGTTATGTAGTTATAAGACAATGAAATAATTGTGAAAACAAATTAATTTAAAGGAAATATCTTACACTAAATTTTATATAAAATATTTTAAGCACATGGTAAACTACTTATATACTTAAATGTATTTTAAATAAAACCTTTAAATGAACTTACATACAGTACCCATCCAACATAAGACAGGATTACAATAATGAGACTACCAATTAAAAACAGTTTTAAAGTGCTAAACACAACGCAATAGGATACGTCCAAACTGTTCCACAAGTTCAGGTGGGAGAGGAACTCTTCGGATAGAGCTGATCTCTGGAAGGTTGGGCACTGACAGCAAACCAGGTCCCTGTAGAGGATAATCCATATCTGACATGCCAGAAACAGTGGGATTATCTACAAAAAATAAAGTAAAGCATTTGCTTAAAATCAGTCATGTATTGGACATTAACTGGGTGTACAGATGCATTGCAAGCTCCAACAAAATTGTGTATCTGGTCGTTCTACAGCTGCAGAGAGAATAAAATCACTTTGACCTGATGCAAAGGAGACCTGAGAAATTCCAATGTTAAAGTGGGGCACTTAGCAAGGTTATCTTTCCCAAATACTTCATAAAAGAGAAACTGGTCAGGGCATCTGGTATTTTTCTATTATTTTACTCATCTGGGGAAAAAATACACACACACACACATTCATATATATATATATATATATATATATATATATACACACACACACATATAACTGCTTTGTGATTCTTAAATCAAACAATTGTGGGCAAACTATTGATTGGGGGAAAATAGCTATTTTCTCTTCCACTATAACATTTACAGACTCAGTCCATGCCTTTTCCATTAGATTTCCCCCCTAGACCAACAAGGTAAGTACAACGAATACCACAGAAGCAGCATTTTACTGCTCTACAAAGGCTTCTCACCTGGCAACCTTTCTGGTGCCTGAGGAGCTAGACGCCAAGGGCAGGAGTGGCCTGGCCTCTTAGGCCTGCACTTCTAGTCCTGAACCAGGTGTGGTTGAGATCTGATGACCTACTTAGCTCTGGCACCTTTTCAGGCTCTCTGAAGTACAAAGATGCTGGGGACAACTCACATGACACAACTTTTAAATGTATTGTAGAAACTTAAAATATATAGAACTAGAGAGAAAACTGAAATCAATCCCTATGTACTGATTACCCACCTTCAACAACTAGCCATAACATGGCCAACCATGCTTCATTTATACCACTGTCTGCTCCTTCCCTAATGGATCTTCTCCAGCAAATCCCAGAAATCCCATTTAATCTTAAAACATTTTAATAGAACAGTGCATGTGTTAAATGGCAGTGGGTACACCAAGGACAGAATAACTGGTGAAGATGTGAATAGTTAGCAAAGCCTTCACAAAGAAATATTTAAAGGAGTTTGGAAGAATCACTTGTCAACAAGGAAAGAACATTCCAGAAACAATGAAGGGTACACGTGAAATAAAAAACCCTCAAGAGTGGTCCTCTCATGGAAAACACATTAAATTCAGTGTCACTGTAATGGGGGGCAGAGAATGGAATGGAAGAGGGGGAAGAGATGAGTTTGAAGAGGTGGGTGTGTGTACTGGTGGACTGAAAGGGTTCAGTTCAGGTGTGATGAAAGACCGGAATGTATGGTCTTGCTTTGTATCTTGCTTTCAAACCTAAGGAGTTCAAAGCGAGCAATGCTTTTCAAGGGGAGAATGAAGGGCTAACAGGCCACACTCAGTTCTATAAGACAGACCCGCTGGTAAGGAGCTGTCAGGAACAAATACCTTTTTTTGCTATGTTTTTGTCTTTCCTGTGATTACATGGATACACCACAATTTTTATAAATCGCCAGAGGTGTCTTTCAGGTTTACAATGCATAAATTATTCTGGTTATTTAATCTTGGTTCTTGTTTACCAATAATCTTGTCTCTACCTCACACTTCTCTGCTTTTCGCCAATTTCCATCTCATAAAAGAGTCATTTTTTTTCTAGCAACTTACATAATTCCATATGCCTTGAGGAGCCATAATTCAAAACCGTTAACAAAGCATTTTCCAGCCACTGGTCTGTCTTATAGGCACGTAATTCTGCCCTACCCTCCCTGTCCATCAACATTGCTGATCTCTCTGTTCTCTTCATTTCTCTGGCAATTCTTTTTAACACCTCCCAGCGCTTCATATGACACTAACTCTACACGTAATGAATCATATCTTTCAGAGAACACGGTAAATTCCCCGATTCACTTCGTCTGCTCTTCCGTTTCACTCTAATACTAATACGAGTAATTAACAAGGATGAGGCTTGGATCAGGCGATCCTCCCCACCCGCGCCATAAACACTCGGGGCAGTGAAGAAGCTCGTCAAGGTTGGGGTCTTTGCCTCTTTGTGCGTTTTGCACTCCTACCCTCTCTAGCATCTGCAATGAAGAAAGTAAGGACACGACAAAAAAAAAAAATGAACACAGGCTCTTTTTTGCTCTTCAAAATGTAGCAAACAACTGTCCTGAATGTCAAGCTGCCTTGGCTGGGTCCACCCTAGGGATAAGGACCAAGTTAGGGAGTCCAGCGAGAGTCCTTTCGACTGAGAAACCAGTCACCAAACGGGCACCGATCACTCACTTGGGGCAGACACCATGAGCAGCTCGGAAAGGTCCGGGTACATGCGGTCTTCTTGCAACTGACGGTCGATGAGCCGCCCCGCATTTTCCAGAGCTTCCTGCAGGGCTGCGGCCGACGTGGACGCCGGCATCGCCAAGCCCAGCAAAGAAGAAGGCATCCCGAAAATCAAAGACACCAGTGTCCGAAAATAGTCAAAAGCCAAGGCGAACTGTGCAAAAACCCAAGAGCTTAGCACAGACCCGCGGCTCGGGGCGCGCGCGCCAACCCAGCGCGTCGGCGCCGGTGCCTGACGCACTTCCGGTTTCTCGGGAGGGGAATTTGAAGGCTCCGTTTTGGGAGTTCGGAGGGGAAGCTGTTCCGGGGGGCGGGCGTTAGGGGTGGAGCGAATGGGAGGCGGCAATTTTGAAAGGGAGGCTGTGGTTCGGTGTAGGGAAGGGGGAAAATCAGAGAAGGTTAACGGGGGAAGGGAAGGGGGAAGGGGGAGGGACCGGGAAGGAGAAGGACGGGCCGAGGTGGGGAGGGGTGGGGGACAGGGAAGGAGGAGGGGCAGGGACCGGGCGAGTGGGAGCCGAGCGTTGGCGCCGCGTCGGTGGTGGCGCCGGTGGCTCCGGTTCGGACGGGTCCAGCGCGCGCTAGATCTTAGTGTCTCGAGCCTCCCGGGTCCAACTGCAGCTGTTTGAGTGTGCGCGTCAGTTTCTTCGGTGCTCCAAATAACTCGAGAGTGGCCAGTTGGTGGCTCGTTGTCGGAAAGAGTTTACACAGGAACCAAAATTTCACCACGTTTCTTAGGGGCTTCAGTGTAAATCAAAATCCTCACTATTTGTGAGTCGCTACTGTTTGACTTTGTGACCGATACTGTGAAGAATTGGGTGTCTAATGAATGTTTCACTCCGTGCAGGGGGCCGCTGCCTTGCATTATTTCTCATTACCGAGAGAGGAGCTGATGATTCTAATTGATAGTAGAGAGACTAGTATAGAGGTCACCCAACACATCACCCAGTCCTTCCGCAGAATTTCTCTTTTTTATTGGTGTTCAAGTACAATTGTCTCCGTTTTCACCCCACCACGCTGCTCCCTCACCCCACCCATCCTCTCCTCCCACCCTCGAACTGCCCCCTTTGGCTCTGTCCATGTGTCCTTCATACATGTTCCTTGATGGCCTCCCCATTATCCCTCTCCCCTCTCCTGTCTGGCTACCATCAGATTGTTCTTTATTTCAATGTCACTGGTTTTATTTTGTTTGCTTGTTTGTTTTGTTGATTAGATTCCACTTATAGGAGAGATCATATGGTATTTCTTTTACAGTCTGGTTTATTTCACTTAGCATAATGCTCTCCAGTTCCAACCATGCCGTTGCAAAGGGGAGGAGCTCCTTTCTTTCTGCTGTATAGCATTTCACTGTGTAGATGTACCATAGTTTTTTTGACCCATTCGTTTACTAATGGGCACTTAGGTTGCTTCCAGCACTTGGCTATTGTAAATTGTGCTGCTGTGAACATTGGGGTGCATAGGTTCTTTTGGATTGGTGTTTTAGGGTTCTTAGGATATAATCCTAGCAGTGGAATTGCTGGGTCAAAAGGCAGTTTCATTTTTAGTTTTCTGAGGGAATTCCATACTGTTTTCCATAGCGGCTGTACCTGTCTGTATTCCCACCAATGGTGCACTAGGGTTTTCTTTTCTCTACACCCTCACCAACATTTGTTGTTTGTTGCTTTGTTTATGATGGCCATTCTGACGGGTGTGAAGTGGTATCTCATTGTGGTTTTAAATTGCATCTCTCTGATGGCTAGTGATGCCAAACATCCTTTCATATATCTCTGGACCCTCTATATGTCCTCCTTGGAAAAGTGTCTGTTCAAGTCCTTTGCCCATTTTTTAATTGCATTGTTTGTCTTCCTGGAATGGAGTCCTGTGAGTTCTTATATATTTTGGAGATAAAACCCTCACTGAGGTATCATTTGCAAATATGTTTTCCCATACCGTGAGTTCTCTTTTCATTTTAAAGCTGTTTTCTTTTTCAAAAAATTTTTTAAAGATTTTTTTTTACTTATCTTTACAGGGGAAGGAAAGGAGAGAGGGAGAGAAATATCAATGTATGGTTGCCTCTTGTGTGTCCCCTGCTGGGAACTGGCCTGCAACCCAGGCATGTGCCCTGACTGGGAATCTAACCGCAGCCGTTTGGTTTGTAGGCCTGTGCTCAATCCACTGAGCTACACCAGTCAGGCTAACGCTGTTTTCTTTAGCTGTGAAGAAGCTTTTTATTTTGATGAGATCCCATTTGTTTATTTCTTTTATGTCTCTTGCTCTAGGGGACTATTGGTGAAAATATCACTGCATGGAATATCTGAGATTTTCCTGCCTATGTGCTCCTCCAGTACTTTTATGGTGTCACAACTTTAACCCTTTTATCCACCTTGAATTTATTTTTATGTATGGTGTAAGTGGGTGGTCAGGTTTCTTTTTTTTTTTTTAATGTAGCTGTCCAGATCTCCCAACAGCATTTGTTGAAGAGGTCATTTTTACTCCATTTTATGCTTCTGCCCCCTTTGTTGAATACTAATTGACCATAGAGACTTGGGTTTATTTCTGGGCTCACTATTCTGTTCCATTGGTCTGTGTGTCTGTTCCTGTGCCAGTACCAGACTGTTTTGATTACAGTGGCCTTGTAATACAGTTTGATATCAAGTCTTGTGATCCTTCCTACTTTGTTCTTCTTTCTCAAAATTGCCACGGGTATTTGAAACTGAACACAATGCACCGTGCCAGGAATATCAAACTGATACAGCACTTCTGTCCTCCAGGTGCTTTGTGCAGGGGCACATCAGCAAAGCAGTGCAGTGCATCACCATCATTTTTGTTTGAGGTTGGTTTTAACTGCACTAGAAAGAGGAGAAGTGAGGAGAGGAGAGATAAGCTTCATTTCACACAGAAGAAAACTTGAGTGGTGATATCAAAACACTTCTTCAAACAGCAGTCCTCATTTAATTCTTATTAGCCACTTAACGTGAGATTTTTAAAGCACAGGGAGTCTGAGTAGCTCAAGACTGTCAGAATTGTATCATCAGAACCAGGGTTTGAACCCAGACATTTTGGTTCTGGAATTCATTTTCTTATCACTGTGCTCTTCTGCCTTTCAAATTTGTGAATAAATTTACTTTGCTTCAAAAAGTCAAAGCTTAACAATTATATTATGACATTCATGCAAACAAACCAGGAAAAAATGGTTTAATGTGGAAGTCTCCATTGGTACAATTATTCCCTCTATCTTTTATCAGAAGCAAATATATCTTCCTGTGATTTTTCTGTGATGTGTATGATTATTTACTCCCACTGGTTGATGATTTCCATTTTCCATTTTTTCCCTCTAGCACTTAGTAGTTTAAAATCTTAAGCAGCTTCAGTGACGTCTCCTCAACAAACGGTGCTAGATCAGCTGGACATCCACATCCAAAAAATATCTTGACACAAACCATTTATCCTCCACAAAAATGGATCAAAGACCTAAATGTAAAATGTAAAGCTCTAATACTCCTAGAAGAGAACATAGGAAAAAACCTAGATGACCTTGGTTAAACTGATGGCTATTTTTGGATGCAACACCAAAGACATGATCCATGAAAGAAATAATTGATAAGGTAGACTTAAAAAGTTCTGCTCTGTGAAAGACGATGTCAAGAGAATGAGGAGACAAACCACAGACTGAGGGAAAAGATTTGGAAAAACATCTGACAAAGGTCTGCAGGCCAAAATATGCAAAGAACTCAATAAGATATCAATCTGATTTAAAAATGGGCCAAAGATTTTAAAAAGACACCTTGATAAAGAAGATAAACAGATGGCAATTTAGATGTGAAAAGATGTTCTATAGCATATGTCATTAAGGAAATGCAAACTAAAACAGCAATGAGATACCACTATACACTTATTACAAGGGCCAAAATCTGGAACACTAACAACACCAAATGCTCATGAGGATTTGGAGAGTAGGAACCTTCATCATTGCTGATGGGAATGCAAAATGTTACAAGCACTTTGGAGACAGTTTTTCAGTTTATTAAAAACTAAATACTCAACATATGATTCAGCAATCTTGCTCTTTGATATTTGCCCAAAGGAGCTAAAAACTTTCCATACTTTCTATTTCTGTACTAGAAACTGCACATTGATGATTATCGCAGCTTTATTCATATTGCCAAAACTTGGAAGCAACCAAGATATTCTTTCGAGATTGAATGGATAAGTACACTGTGGTACACCCAGACAATGGCATATTATTCAGTGCTAAAAAAATGAGCATTGAATAAAAATATATGGAGGAACTTTAAATGTATATTACTAAGATGGCCAATCTGAAAAGGCTACATATGGTAGCATGATGCCAACTCGATGACATTCTGGAAAAGACAGAACTATGGAGACTGTACAAATACGAGGGGTTTGGTGGTGGTAGGGAAGAGGGATGAATAGGCAGAGCATAGACAACTTTTAGGGCAGTAAAAATATTCTGTGTCTTGCCATAAAGATGAATACCTGTCATTAACTTTTGTCCTAACTCAAAGGATGTACAACACCATGATTGAAACCTATGTACTTAAGGTGATTATGTCAATGTAGGTTCATCAGCTATAACTCTGGTGGGTGATGTTGATAATGGGGGAGGCTGTGCATGTGTGTGGGCGCAGGGGTATATGGGAAACCTCTGTACCTCTTGTTCTATTTTTCTTTGAACCTTAAATTGCTCTAAAATTAAAGCCTCAATTAAAAAAATTACATATCATCTCAAGCCATTACAAGTTCTTGACTACAGAGGAGATGAGAAGATGAAACAGCTTGGGGTAATGGGTTATATAATGAGCTGCATTCATGAAGTTCTGTTCTGCTACCTAAGTCCTGTTTATCTGTACTCAGAAAAGAGACAGTGGCATTAATAAGTTATTTTGTTACCCTTATTAATTGGAGTTCACATAGACTTTTGACACTTGTAGTTCAATCATCCATAAGGATGAAACAACGTGGTTGTGCCAAGTTATATAACATCTTGCAATAAAGGGAGTAGTTTTTGCCTTCACACCTACTTTCTCTTATTCTTTCATTCCTTTTTTTTTAATCCTCACCCAAGGACATACTTATTGATTTTAGAAAGAGGGAAAGGGAGGGAGGGAGGGAGAGAAACATCAATGTGAGAGAGAAACATCCATCAGTTACCTTTCTTTCTTGTCTGGACATGGGACTGAACCTGCAACCCAGGCATTTGCCCTACTCTGGAATTGAACCTGAGACTCATCAGTTTAGGAAAGAGGCTCAACTAACTGAACCCCTCTGGCCAGGGCCATTCCCTCTTTTATTCATTTAACAAGCACTGAGTGCTCACTGAGGAAGAGGTTATATGATAGATAAAGGGGCCTAACCTAGAGGTCTGCCAGGGTCTGTAAATGCTTGCAAGAGGATTGAAGTTTATTTTGAGGCCTGAAGGATGAGTGGGGTTGAATGAAGGGCATGGGATTGGTGGAGAGTCAGAGTTTCAGGACGTCATGTTCCGAGGCTTCTTGTAGAACCAAAAGACTGGCGTGGTGGAAAATAGAAACAAGTTGAGAACACTTTGGAGGCCGTGCTAATTTTGTGTTTTAAGAGCAATGGAAAGGTTATTAAACTTGATCACTATCATTTAGGGTTTATAGATAGAGCATAATTTGAGATAGATTAAGATAGAAGTGGTGCTAATGAGTAACTTCATGAAAATATTTGCATTCAGTAACATCATTAGGTTTACACATGGTTTTGCTAGAATTCAGAGTTATGTAGATAAATATTATGCCATTAGTTCACAGCATATACAGGGAGTCGTGTTGTAAAGTAATTAAAACCAATAGGGCAAGTGAAAGAGGTGGAAGACGGTATGTGGGTAAATGGTAATGCATAAAAATGCAATAAAAATTTAAAAACATTAAAAGACAATGAAAACGGAAAATATAATGAAGTGAATGAAGTGCTTTGGGAACCCTTGCGGTGGACTGGGAAACTATAAGCATGGCTAATAACCCGAGGGAGGTTCGGGCTAAGAGTATAAGCTTTAGAGCATTTTCTGACAACTCTTTTACTTACTCAGGACTTTTTGGCGTATGAGTACTTTTCAGTCATGTAGTAAATACGTATTTCTTTTAAAAATACGCTCAAAAGGTGGAAAATTGTGGGAATTTCCTCATAGAAAGGACAAAACGCAAAGAAAGGGAGTTTGTTGGCTTCTCTTTATAATTCTGTGAGGGTTAAGTATCACCGTGGCGGTAAACACCTGCTAAAATGTGAAGGGTGTTGTTGTTAGAAGACCTAAAATGTTGTTAGAAGATCCCAGGCGAGTTCCCATCTCGGGGCTGCAGCCTCTGGGGCGCTCATGCCCCTCCAGGCCGCTAGGGCGGCGCTGCTCAGGAGGCCGCGGTCCCTCTGCGGACCGCACCTCTCTTGGCCTTGGAGGCGGCACTGACGCTCTGAGAAATTACTTCCTGCTGGGTTTGCAGTGAACCTGGTGCAGCTGTTAGAGCTGCAGCTGATGCTTGTTCTGCGGTGGGAGTCCAGCGATGGAGCGCCCGGGGCCCAGCGATGGTGGGTTCCGTGAGGCGAGCACGGGCGGGGTAGACGGGGCCGGGTACTACGGGGGCGCCGCACTAACGAGACCGCTTTTTCTCTTTTCCCCTTGTGCTAGTGACAGGCTCAGACGCAGCGGGACCGGACCCGCAGCTGGCGGTCACCATGGGCTTCACGGGCTTCGGTGAGTGACAGCACAGGCGTAACGCCGTCTCCTTTTGCAGGGGTTTTACGATCCTCAGGTTTGCGGGGGAGGCCGAGCTGTCGCCTCTGCTTCGCGCCTTCCTCTGTGCCAAGTCCGGGTTACTCTGGCTGTAGGTACATCTTGCAGTTTCTACACTCTCTTTTCACTGTCTGTTTTCCGACTCCGGCCTATTTGTTGGGACTAGCTCAGCTGCCACGTATGGGAAGGACTTGTGAGAAAGACAGACTGCTTTGTGACCCACGTGGTGGAGAGTGCTGGTTGGTGGAGGGAGTTTGTGTTCGGTGACAGTGGTTTGTAATGCGATGGCCCTTTTGGCAACAAATGGGACGTTAAGTCTTGTTATAATGGTTTTAAGTTCTTTTTGATTCAAGTCCTTCATCTCTAGAGTCGCCACTTCAGTCTCTCTTGTAGAGCCTACTCTTGGCACGCTTTAAGATAAAAAGGTCGCAAACAGATAGTCACCTGTTGAAAATACTACTGCTAGTAAAAATAAACGTAAATTGTTTTCTCATCCCATGTCTGTTGGGTCTTGGAAAGGACAGATGTCAGGCTAATGTGTCCATGTCTTGTCTTCATTCTTTCACACATTTATTTATTCTGGTAACGTCTTGAGCCACATTTTTTTTTTTTACTATCTTGTAGATGCTCATATCTACAAAAGTACTGTAGACTTCCGTGGGAATATTCTGCTTATTTTTGCATCAATTCTTTAAAATAGCTTTCTCCCTAACTTCAAAAATAGCACACATAAGTGGTAGAAAATATTGAAAGTATAAGGGCATAAAAACAAGAAGGAAGTAAAATTATCCATAATCTCATGATCTAGAAATCAAGGCTTATTGCCTCTTGGCCTTTTGGCTAAGATCAAGTGTAGAAATCAAGTCTTAAAAGTCTGTTTTCCAGTACCTTCTCATGTGTATTTACTAAGGAAAGTAAAGATCATGTGTATGTATAATTTTATATTTTTATTAATTATACATAATTTATTTAATTCTTCATATTGTGAGGATTTCCCCATATTATAAAATGCTCTCCCCAAACCTGATTTGTTAATGGATGATAGTAGCCCATTAAATATAAGTGCCATAAGTTGTGATATTTTTAGCTTTCCCCTACATAGTTCCTAATTCTTATATCAATAATGAATATTTTTATATATAATTATCTCCTTTTGTAAAAGAAATTTTATGTGTAATTCCGTAGGGTAGATTTCTAGAGGGATTACTTTAATAAAAATAAAAGTATTAAAATGTAACAAAAAGTTTGTGTATTTTTAAAAAAATTCTTAATGCATGTTATTATAATGCCCTTCAGAAAGGTTGTTTCAATTTACACCAAAGTCAATGTTAGGTAGAATGCTATTTTTAACATTTTCTTACCAATAGAGTAGGTATTATTATTTTTAAAAGAGAATATAAAATTGCTTGCAGGTGCATTCAGAATTCGGTTCTTTACAGTTTTGGGGCTGAGTCCCTGTTTCCTCGCCAGCTATAAATGCGAGTCTTAGCTTCTTAATGTATCTACATTACTTGTTGTCTTGCTGCATTCATCTTCAAACAAACTATAGTACCTTCAGTCCCTCTCATACTTCAGGTCTCTCTGACTTCTGCCATACTTGTTCTGCCTTTTTGCCTGTAAGGATTCCTGTGATTAGATTGGGCCGGCCAGAATAATCTTTTTAGGATAAAGTCCAAAACTTTATTTTTTTATTTTCCTTTTTTAAAAAAGATTTTATTTATTTCTTAGAGAAAGGGGGAGGGAGGGAGAGAAACATCATTGTGCAAGAGATACATCAATTGGTTGCCTCTTGCAGGCCCCTAGCTGGGGACCAGGCCTGCAACCCAGGCATGTGCCCTGGCTGGGAAATGAACCTGGGACATTTTGGTTCATAGGCCGGCAGTCAGTCCACTGAGGCACACCAGCCAGAGCTGAGGTCCATAACTTCAGTCACATCTGCAAAGCCCCTTTTGCCATGTATTGTTACATATTCACGGGCTCCAAAGATCAGGGTATGCACACTCTCCATCCTGCCTACCATATCCATGTAATTTTAAGGGATGGTGTCCTGATGAGTTAGAGGAGGATGGGAGAGTTGTCTGGTTGATGGCACTGGTGATGAGGTTGTCATTCAGAATTCACTGGGAAGTAACAAACTCTTTCTTCCTTGATATTTTTGGTTGTCTTATAGCCATGCTGTAACTTAGACAGATGGAGTGGTTAAGGATTGGTCAGTGTTTGTTGATTACTTAAAGTTTGGTCAGCTTAATGCAAGAAGATCACAGTCTGCTACTTACTCCTATTTTAGGAAAAAAAGCTCGCACATTTGATTTGGAAGCAATGTTTGAACAAACTCGAAGAACAGCTGTGGAAAGAAGTCGGAAAACACTGGGTAAGTTCAGTTATTTGCTGTGTCATTGGTTTAGATATGGTGTACACCTTACATAAGGATATTGACAGATAGTGTAAGACTGAAAAAAAGTTCAAAATTCTTAAAAGGCCATATGTACTGGTACCTTGGGAAGCAGACTTTTTTTTTGTTTTTTGTTTTTAAACATGGTAAAAGTTGTATCTAAATTGGGTAACAAGGTCTGAGTACTAAAATCTTAACATGTAAGAATCAGAATAGCAATTTCTCTATTACCTCTCCCTCCACCTCTATCTGATTCTCATTTCATTTTTTCTTTCCTGCTTACAGCGGAACCAGTATTTGGAAGGCTGGGCGAGAGGTGGCTCTCAGAGCTGTGTACACCACTGACTGTTGACCCAGACAGTATAGAAAATTGAGACATACAGTGAATGTGGCTGCTGCTGTTGAACCCCTGCATTAATGAGTTGTATCAGACGTTTAATGAAGGCTTTAATTTCCACACTGTCTGGTTTGATATCAGGTGGTTGCCAATTCTAGGTGCCACCTCAGGGTCTTGGAAGGACACTGTTTCCTTTCCTGCTTCCTTTGGGTCTGCTTCAGGTCATTCTCACACTAGAGAAGGGAGAGGTGTCACCTGATGGAGCGGGAGGGGCTGGAGATCAGATAGGACTCCCGGAAAAATTCAAGTGAATGTTGTTCTGGTACTTGTGGTTGTTGGTTTCAAAGTGATAAATTATATAGCAGTAATATTTAATATTTGGATAGGAGCTTCACTTGAAATATTTTTGGACTCTGGAAGAATGACATTTTTTTTATTGTAAAAAAATAGCTCTCTACAGATACTATTTATTATGTGAAATTTCAAATACAGAAGTATAGTAAAAAATTCTATGTCCCTCTTACAGATTTAACTACTGTAATAATTCATGGCTACTGTTATTTCCATTCACTTTCCCTCGTATTATTTTGACACAAATTTTAGATATTTATGTTTCACCTGAAAGTATTTTAGTTTGTGTTTTTAACAGATACGGATTCTTTGAAAAAACTTAAAAATTCAATTACAGTTGACATACAATATTATATTAAGGTGTACAACATAGTGAGTAGACATTTCTATAACTTACATGGTGATCACCCTGATAGGTCTGGTAGACATAGAATTCTTTTAAAACACTTAACTAGAATACTATTACCACACCTAAAAATGTTAAAATCATTTAGTATCATCAAACACGATACAAGGGCATGCTGTCTGAGGCATGTTTATAAATGCTTTAACATTTAACCTTTTAACATTTTAGTGAATGCTTTTACTATTACAGCTTTCTTGTATTTACCTCTTTTACTATGTGATACAAAATGCTTTGAACGGGGATTATCTTATTCAACTAGGTAAGTTTTGTAGTGTCCAGTACCATGCCTTGCACCAGAGGTTCTCAATATATATTTGAGAAGGTTGGATTGAATATGTAGAACTGTAATAATGCTTTCAAAGAATTCTGCTTTGGAGAGTGTTTTAAAATGGTAGGATCCATTATATAGACCTTGGGATTCGGAATTGGAGGACCTAGGTTTGAGGGTCAGCCCCACATTCTATTAGATGAGTAGAATTTGGATTTCCAAATTCAGACCCTAAATTTGCTAGGTAGATGTGAGAGTAAAAGCTACTCTCTGGCTTAAAAATCTGCTACTTATTCCTGTTTTAGGGAAAACAGCTCACACATTTGATTTGGAAGCGATGTTTGAACAAACTTGAAGAACAGATGTGGAAAGAAGGTTCCACAGCTTGGGAAGGTTCTTGAGGGGATTAATATGTTGGATATAGTGCCTTTGAACAGTGCAGTACTTTATAAGTGTCATTTTAAATTCCTATTGTGTTTTTTTTTCCCATAAAACATGTTTGCATTTAGCACTTAAGAGGAATTTCAAGGGAGTCATTAGGTTTTTAAAGTTTTGAAAAGTTACCTTAAGACTTTGTTCTTCTGTGATATTAGTGGAAGAATTAAATGTGTTGAACTTCCTTGATTTGTTATTACGTCCTCGGACTGCTGTTTCCACTCTGATCTCTAAACACACAAGCCCGAAGTTTGACTCACTTCATAGAAGAAAATTTCAAAAATTCCTATACGGGCACTAATTATCTCATGATGGTAGGAGTCTCTCCTGGGCATTGGCATCCAACTTGAAGAAAATAAGGACTTAGGCCACACCTCTTCCCCCCCATTTTTGTGTTTGTCCTTAAAAATTGTTTTGATTTAAATTTTTCAAGTTCATTTGACATTGAATATTATTTTATATTAGTTTCAAGTGTACAGCATAGTGGTCAGACGTTTATATCACTTATGAAATGACCCCGCGCCCCCATAGGTCTAGTGCCCACTTGGCACCACCCAGAGTTATTACAGTGTCATTGACTGTGTTCCCTTGCTCCCTGTGATTGACTGCTCATCTGTACTTCTCAGTCCCTGTGGTCCCTTTTAATAGCAAGTTCAACTGTGTATGTGGATATAGACTGTTTTGGTTTAGGTGCTTTGGTAGAAAGGATGAATTACTATAAAACTTCAATAAAGTGTTACGTAAAATATCAGGAAATATTGTACAAGGTGTTTTTGCATTTTTGTGTGTGTTCCTGAAAGCTATAAGTGTGTCTAGGACATATGAGAGATTCTTTTTAGAGCTGGTATACTATGAAGAGATAAATGAGGAAGAACATTTTTTTTAAATTCAAATTTTCATTTGGGGTATGGCCATGCTGTGGGTGGATTATGAACCAACTCTGTTGTATGCTGGGGGAAAGCTTCCTTGAAAAAAATGATTATGGTAGGATTGAATATGATTTCAATGGATAATTTAATGATCCTGGAAAGAAGAATAATCACAGACATTTTAGAAATGAGAAAAGCTTTAATTTTTTTAAACTTGAAACAGTCTTCCTCTCCAGTTATACCCTATCTCATCCTCTAAGGCCTCACTCACATGTCACCTTTTCTGGGTATTATTTCAGAACCCTTCTGGACATCATAATTGTTGCCTGCCTTTGTTTTTATAGTCCTTTAAAAATGTTACAAATTTATTTTAATATTGTTCATGTATTGAGGATAGAACCTTATTTCTTTTTATATTTAGAGTGGGTAACAGACTTTTGTACACAGTAGTTACATAAATAGTTAATGGAGAAATGGAACTAATGTAGTTAAAGTGTTATTTTTTACTTTCTAGTATTTTGACATTAAGCATTTAACATTAAATGTAAATTTGCATGAAATTTAATTGTTTAAATTACAATAACAAATATTTAGATAAATGTTTAATATCTAAAATGTTTAACTTTAGGAAAAAAGAATGTCATGATTAGAAAACATTTATTCTAGCTTATATTTATAGTAGTTTTATTTCCTTTACATTTGTTTATCTTAACTCATTTTTGCCTTTAAGTTAAGTGGTCGTTATAGTGACTGGCTATGAGATTTTCAGGTGCAAAATTACATTCATTTGAATCTGCAATTTATGCGAATCAGGCCAGATAGGACCTGGTAGTTGTGCATAGTTTGCAGTTAATATAGACAAAAGTCACATACATCTGGGGTGCTTTTGCAGAAGTGGTTACCCCAAACTGGAAACTACTTGGAAGTAAAGAGGTAACAATAAAATGAGGGGCTTGGAAGAATGAACTGTGTTGGAGAGCAGGTTACTTCCCTTTTGTTAAGGAAAGGCATTTTACAGTGTTTACAGTGGATTTATTTCTACATTTGGTGAAAATGCACAAAACAGTCCCCTCTGACAGGGACTTACAGTCTATTCAATTTTTTAAAAAAGATTTTATTAATTTTTAGAGAGAGGGGAAGGGAAGAAGAAAGAGGGAGAGAAACAATGATGTGCAAGAGAAATATCAGTCCCTTGTCTCCTGCACATCCCCAGTGGGGACCTGGCCTACGACCCTTGCATGTGCCCCGACTGGGAGTTGAACCAGCGACCTTTTGGTTCTCAGGCTGGCACTCAGTCCCCTGAGCCACACCAGCCAGGGCTGAATTCTTTTGGTTTGGTTTTTGTCCTCAGTCAGCAATGAGGAAGAAATCTTTTTTTCCTCTAATGTCTTCTTTTCTCCTGGCCACAGCCCCCATTACAACCTTGCTTTGATGAAGTAACAGATAATAAGCACCTCTTGGAATAAAAAATTCTTGCTAGTGTACAAAAGAGCTAAAATTTTAAATTGAAAAGTTAGTTGCTTCACAAGGCCGGGACAAGCAGTTTGGAGTATATCTGCTGCTGAGGAACTCCAGTGAGACAGGGGTGGGTCGAGATGCCCAGACAGTCCGGTGAAAGGCTGCAGGCTCACTGTTCTATAAGGTAGATGGTGCTTGTTAGGTCATTTCAATACCAAATCCAGGTTCGGCTGCCTGCTGTTCAAAAACCAATAACCAAGAGACGGGCTGGTGGAAGGAAAAAGCGGTTTACTCAAGAGCCGGCAGTTTGAGAAGATGGTGGACTCTCATCGCAAAGACTATCTTAATTTGACACAGGCAGGGGTTTCTGTAAGGAGGGAGGAGGAAGGAAAAAAAAACAGAACAAGGGAATCAGAAGGAGGGAGTTGAGAGTTCTCTGTTGAGGGGACTACGTGCAAGTCTACACAGTCTGTTCAGATAACTGGTTGAAGGTCAGCAAGTCTCCCAGAGCCGGAATGTCTCGAGGTCAGGGTCTGCTTCTTTTGAAGACAGTTGCTAGAATTCTTGAGCAAACAGGCTGTTTATCTGCAGGAACGCGTTAGTGAACAGGTCATCACGGACAGGAACAAGGCTGAAAGAGTGGTGGGGTGGGTTCCAGGCCCCGGCTCCAGGAAGCCCAACCAACTCCACGATTCATGGCCCTGCGACTCGGCAGCTCTCACTCCACTTCTCTGTGCCTCTGATTCTTCAGCCGTAGAGTGAGGGTGGTGAATGGTACCTACTTCTGCTGTATTGGACAGCTGGAATTTACTAAGAAAGTAGAACTTCAATGTTTCTTCTAATAAATATGCGGATGCTCATTGACTCCATTCCGAGAATCCTTTATTTCTTCGTATATCAGATCATCATTACACTAACATGTCTTACAATTTTATTTGCCAAGTATGTCTCAGTGAAACTGAGAACAACAGAACCTGCTTCAGAGGTTAGGAAGATTAAAGACTATAGGGCGTGCTTAAAACAGTATCTGGTACATAGTAAATTCCATGTAAATATTAGCTACAATTGTTAAATTGAGGCTGATATTAAGATGCTTTTTTTTACTTTGCAAAGAAGTCACAGAAAACACACTGGTGGCTCACACATGCCAGGAACTCCAGAATGGGGCTCTGCCGTCTTCTGAGGTTCAGCACAAAGAATGTGAACTTTATCTCTCCCTTGTCTGCTTTGCCGGCTTTAGGGTACTGCTTGTCCTAAGCTGACTGTCCTTGTGACCCAAAGTTATCAGCAGAATTTGTTACCTGCAGATGACCACTACTGCAGGCTGAAAGGGAACTGTTTTGTATGTCACTGTTTAGGAGGAAGAAAGCTTTTCCCAAACGTACCTTCAGCTGACGTCCCTTCCCATCTCACGGACTAGTAATAGTGTGGCGCACCAGTTCCAAAAATGGCCACTGGCAAGAGCAATGTGGTTGACTTGGAATCGATTATCTCCCGCTATGGGCTGGGAAGTGGGGGCCCCGGCATCTCCTGAAGCTCGGTGCTGCCTCCCACCTGGAGAGGATGGGCTTTCTTAGCAAGGGAAAGGGGACAACTGGCTGCCGGGTAGGTGGTTGATGATGTGCACCTTGGTACTGTTCCCTGATCAGGGTCAGAACTGTCCCTGAGACCTGAGCCCAGAGGCCAGGGGTCCAGATGTGGTGTCCCGTTGCCCACCCAACCTTGCCCCTGCCCTGGAGGGCATGGAGGCATTGGGCGGAGGAGCTGGATGAGGGTAGGAGCCGAGCAGGCTCACTCTCAGATTTGGACATTATCCTTCTGTCCTCCTGCTACCAGAGTGTAGGCTCGTTGAGTCCTAACCTGTCTCAGCCTAGTGGAGAGCACACACACAAGAAACCAACCGATAACAAAAACCCAAACACAGAAATGTGAACTAGAGCTGTAACATTGGCCTTATATCTTCTGGAGAGTTTTATCTTCCATGTTTGAAACAGACTAGTTACTTGTCAACATTTTCTTGTTGTCTGCTTAGTTCTCATCCTTCATATCCTAGCAAGGAACGACCCTGAAAAGTACAACATTCTAATTAATGAGTGCCTTTTGATATCACTTCACTTTGGGTGTATTGTTTTTCATTATTAAAGAAGAAACATTAAAGTTATCTCGGGTTATATAGGGTGGTAGCAATGGAGAACCCGACTATACATATAACTCATTTACTTCCTGTGTGTCCCGTATTGTAGAGTGAGAAAAAGATTTGGTTTCATTGGATAAATTTTGGTCTTTCCAAGGTAAACAACTCTACAAACCTAGTGTAATTGAAATTTTTTCTAACCAAAACGCTAGGGTAGGAAATTCAGAAATGAACAAAGTACTGCATTTAGGGTTAAAACATTAAAAATAAAAAATGAAATTATGTGGGGATGTAAAGTACAGCATAGGAAATACAGTTAATAATATTGTCTTAACTACGTGTGGTGTCAGGTGGGTGCTGGAAATATCAGGGGAGGCACTTTGCGAAGTTTGACTGGCTAACCACTATGCTGTACCTGAAACTAATATAAAATAATAATCCATGTAAATGATAATTAAAAAAATACAGCGAAATTACATCAAATCTTACTTTTGAATATTTGCTTTACTTACCACTTACAACATCCTTTTTTTTAAATTAAAAAAATTTTCATTTATTTTTAGAGAGAGGGGAAGGGAGGTACAGAAGGAGAGAAACATCAGTGTGTGGTTGCCTCTCATGTGCCCCCTACTGGGGACCTGGCCCACAACCCAGGCATGTGCCCTGACTGGGAATCGAACCAGCGACCCTTTGGTTCACAGTCTGGAACTTAATCCACTGAGCCACAACAGCCAGGACACCTTCCACATCTTTTTATATAGTGCAATCCTGGTTCATATTCTATTCACATGTAATTTGGATTATACTTCTCCAGATTTGTACTTTTATTGGTTTTATTTTATATTGTTGATACACAGTAATTTAATTATTTTCCCAGGATTGGGCATTTAGGGTGATAATTTTTTGCTGTTAGTGGTAACACTCTAAGTTACATCTTTATGACTGTTCATTTTCATCCTTTTTAAAACTGACAGATTTTGAAGTCTAAGTATTAAAATTTTATTTTTACCTTTTCAGAAGCAAGAGAAAAAGAGGAAGAAATGAACAGAGAGAAAGAATTAAGAAGGCAAAATGAAGATATTGAACCAACATCTTCAGGCTCAAATGTGGTCAGAGATTGCTCTAAATCATCTTCCAGGTACTTGACTTTTTCAGAAGGGTTCTATTAAACATCATTGTCTAGGTGTTTATACCGTGTTAGGCAAAGTTTCTGGTATTAAAAGCTGGCATAATTTCTCCCATTTCAGGCAGCAGGGCATTGTAGCATATCCCTAGGGTCATGAGAAGGTCCTGGGTCACGTGGTAAGTCAGTTGAGTTCTTCTGAAGTGTTCTGGGTGTAGTGTTGAAATCTATGCCATTTGACTGCAGAGCATAACTGTATAAAGTTGGTCAGATGTTGACGAGTTTGTAATTTTTGTCATGTTTATTTTGACACTTATGTCTTTTGTACCCTCCAAAATTCTGCATTCATGATGATCTTATTTGGAGGGATCTGTTAGAGATACAGATAATCAGAAAGAATGTAAGTGACCATGGCCAGGTGGTTCAGTTGGGTTGGAGCATTATACTATACACCAAAAGGTTGTGGGTTTGATTCCCAGTCAGGGCACATGCCTAGGTGGGGTTTGATCCCTGGTTGGGGTGCATATGGGAGGCAACTGATAGATGTTTCCTTTTCACATCAGTGTTTCTCTTTTTCTGCCTCTTGAAAATCAATAAACATATCCTTGGGTGAGGAGTGAAAAAGAGAAAGAATATAAAGGGAGGCACATTATAAAGTTTACTGGGTTATAGGAGAAAGCAGCCATTAAAATTACTTTAAAATGAAATTTAATACTATGTAACTTAATTACTAAGAGCTTTAGAAGACATAACGAGATATGTAGATATCAAATCTGGATGGAGTAAAACAAGAACTCTAATGTTGTTTGGGTGTATTTATAATTGTCACATTGGCTCCATAAAACTCTTCCTGGCAAATCTACCATTGGACAGACATTCCTTCCGTTCACGGCAGAAAAACATGAAACGCCTGACTACACAAAACACCATTTGTAGTATCTCCTCCGTTTCCTGGTGCAGATCTTTGGTATGGCAGTCTAGGCTCTTGAACAGACTCGCACTGCTTTCTAAGTGTGGTCTTTTCTATCCTGTCTTCGCAGGGAGGGGGAGTATCTACATGGGACTAAAGTCTGTTTTCATAGCAGTGCAACCCTACAGTCTGCTTAGGCTCTGGGGCATATGCACATCTTTGTACACATTAGAAAAGAGCAGGTCGGCCAACTTTCTCTGTAAAGGGCAGATAGTAAATATTTTAGGCGTTGGGGTCCCTACAGTCTCTTTCTCAACTACTCAACTCTGCCATAGACAATACGTAAATAAATGGGCTGGGCTGTATTCCAATAAATCTTTAAGAAACATGCACTGGGGCCCTGCTCAGTTGGTTAGAGCATTGTCCCGATGGGCTAAGGTTGCAGGTTCAGTTCCCAGTCAGGGCACATACAATAATCAATCAATGAATGCATGAATTGGTAGAACAACAAAATTAATCTCTCTCTCTCTCTTCCCTTCCCTCTCTTCCTCCCTCCCCCATCCCCTTCTCCTTCCCCTTCTCCTTGCTTTCTCTGAAATCAGTCAATAAGGGGGAGAGGGAGAGAGAAAGAATCTACCCCCCTCCTCCCTGCACCCCCCACCCTCTGGCATCCCTCCCACTATATATAATTCCATATAGTTCATGTCCATTGGTTGTATATATAAGTTCTTTGCCCTCTCCATTTCCTATTGCAACATGAACTTTAAAACCCAAAGATAAAGATCATGCCCTCTTGGTCTTGGGAATACATTTTATTGATATGACAAAACCCAACCATTACTTTTGTCACTAGTGATTAAAATTACAGAACTATTATTGACAGTATAATTATAAAGTATAAAGAAATTATCATTAAAAAGAATATAATAGAATGTTACTCCATTTCATTGGTCAAAGAGTAGAAGTTTACTTACCCCAGTCAGAAGACCTCAAGTGAATAATCCATGGCAGGTGAATGGACTCGTCAAAGCTCGTGTTTCATTTCCTGTATCTATTATAGGGTTCTTTAAGTTGCTCTGTGCGTTGAATCATTTTATTCTAAAGTAACCTGACTGTGGCTAAAATTAATTAAAACTTTGGAGTCTGTTTCAGTAAATAGCTATATTAAGAACATCTTTATTTATAACAAGATGCAATCCAAGATATTTTCTATATTAGAGTGCATATAATAACTATTTATTTTAGAGCGGGGAAGGGAGAGGGGAAGAGAGGGAGAGAAACACTGATTGGTTGTGTCTCATGTGTGCACCGACTGGGGACCAAACCTGCAACCCAGGCATGCGCTCTGACTGGGAATTGAACCAGTGACCTTGGCTTTGTGGGACAATGCCCAGCCAACTGAGCCATACTGCCCAGGGCAGAAGTTTTTTTAAAATTTAATGCCAGGACAAAAAAAAAAAAAAATCCCTCTCTTCTCTAAGAGCTTTTTCTTACTAGATACATAGGACACTATTTCTTTTTTTGCCATGATTCCCAGAAGGCTTAGAGCTCAGTTCAGTGTTCGTCTGGGATTGTCTCATCCCAGAGCTCCAGTGTAGGGAACAGTGATTTTGAGCTGGAGATAGAGTTGTGGTCTGGGAATTGTGGGAACCATCTGGCTGCAACTGAGTGTTTAGTGAGTTATCTTGACTGCACTGCAACTTCTACCTCTGTGCAGAGCATTAGTAAATCAGTGCCCCTAACATTTTTCATATTAAGGAAACACATGAAAATGTATAGAAATCAGGTAACTGTTACAAGACCATTGAAGTCAGTGGTTGAATTGATGGATGGACTCAAACAAAACATTGCTGACTTTTTGCCTGCCTACAAATTGTTTTTAAGAAAAACATATGAAGTTTGCCTGTGGGCCAGGCTGTATTCTATATTTTAAGAAATAAAGGCTGTTATTAAGACAGGGTTCCGATTTATTAAGGATGCAACATGCTAGGAATTCTTTATAGCTATGGTTGGCTGACTTCTGTCACTCCCATTTAGGATCTGACATTAGACACTGAAACTAGGTAGTTATCTGTCAGAAAGAAAAGAAACAGAATGTAGTTAAATTTGTTTTAAGAAAATTATTTTTTCTTACATTTTCAAAGAACTTCAATTTTAAGTAGCGATTAAGCAAGTGGGCACCATCAGATTTTAGTTTTCCGAGAGACAAAGCAAGTGGCAGCCTCCTCGTTGGTCACCACAAGCATCAGCACTGTGAGCGGCTTGTTCACTGACCCTGGAAAGGGACCTGCTGACGCTGGGTCAGAGCACACAGTTAAAGGGGATTCTTGTGAAGTTTTGTAAAACAATATGCAATTTCAATTTAATTTAATTTAATTTAATTTTGAATCCTCACCTGAGGATATGTTCATTGACTTCAGGGGCGGGGGGGGGGAGACTTGGACGGGAGAGAGAAACTGGGATGGGTTGCTTCCTGCACGTGCCCTGACAGGAGATCAAACCCACGACCCTGCCCGAGGACGGAGCCTGCAGCCTCAAGCTGCAGGGAGTGATGCTCCAACCATCTGAGCCACCAGCCGGAACCGTGTTTCTAAATCGTATCCTGTTGCTACTGTCTTGATTTTTTTATTATGAAAAAGGTTTTATGACATAAAATTTACCACTTTAAATATTGTAAAGTGTACAATTTTGGTGTCATTAATAACATTTTTAATATCGTGCAACCATCATCACTATCTATTTCCAAAAATATTACCACTCCAAACAGAAATTAGAACCATTAGGCAATAATTCCCCACTTTCTTCTGCACTGAGCCCCTGATAATCTCCTATCTGTTGGTATTTTCCCTCTCCATGAGTTTGCCTAGTCTAGATATTTTAATACGTGGAATCATATTATATTTGCCCTTTTGTGTCTGGATCCTGTTTGCGTAATGTTTTTAGGGTTTGTGTTATATCACTACTTCGTGCTTTTGAGTGGCTGAATAGCATTCCACTGTATGCATATGCCATTATCTGTTTATTCATTGGTTGATTGATTCTTGGCTTGTTTCCACCTTTGTGCATCATGCATGCATAGCTCTTATATTTTGGTCATTAATTCTTTTTGAGTTACTTTTGTATATGGTATGAGGTAGGGGTCCAGCTTCTTTTTTTTTTTTGGCTCATCTTGGTTATTCCAATGTGTAATGTAAGGTATGATTCTAGGGTAGTTTCCTATTTTATTTTATATATGTTTAGCACTTTCTTCATGGTGATCATTTTATTCACTATTTTTAATAATATATATTGTTTAAAGATTTTATTTATTTATTTATACACAGAGGGGAAGGGAGGGAGAAAGAAAGGGAGAGAAACATCAATGTGTGGATGTCTCTCATGCACCCCCTGCTGGGTACCTGCCTCCCCAACCCAGGCCTGTGTGCCCTGACTGGGAATCAAACCGGCAACCCTTTGGTTCGCAGGCTGATGCTCAATCCACTGAGCTACACCAGCCAGGTCTTCACTGTTTTTTAATGCAGACTTGTTATATATAAATTGTTTCTTATAATTTGAGTTCAGTTTTGGGATTTGCTTTTCTGCTCTTCTGGCTGTATTTTTTTCAGTACTATATGTTTTAATTAAGTTTTTTTTTCCCTTTGTGATATGTTGAGAGTCTGTTTCACAAAACATAGAAATAATTATTTGAAAATCTACAGTGTTGTTAAAATTTGTTTTAGAGAAAGACAGTCATCTAACATGATCACTTTTATTGGCTTTGTATAAATGTTATATGGATGTGAGTTGCCATTGAAATACAAATAGTAGGAAGAAATATGTCATTTATTTTGTGAAATATAGCTGTGAGATCGGTGAAAAATATTGATATACTCTAAATTTGTAAGGCAGGAATCAGATATTTGCATTTCCTTTTAAGAAATTAGTATCATGAAAGAATTAATTTGCTTATGAATTTAATTCCTGAGTTGAAATTGTACAACTATACATCTTTTTAATGCTTAGCTAAGCTGTCTTTGAAAAACACAGCTGAGAGAAGTATTAGGATTTGATTCTTAATTGTCTCTTCATCTGATGCATATTGTTTCTCAGGTTCTGGTTCATATTTTGGGACTACATTGAATCAAAGATATCTTTTAAACATGAAATGTGTTCTGTTTTCTGTCAGGGACATTTTTAGACATAATTTCATGGACTTTGTTTTTCAGAATATTGAAATGTGTTAAAGATTGTTTATTTTTGACTTACGTACATTCAGTTCCGGGTGGGGCTGTGGTCTAGGCGGTCAGCCATGAGATCCACGTGGCTCCGTTCAGTCCTCGGTCCCACGCTGGCCTCTGAACCGGCCCGCTCAGCCGCGGCACGGGCTGCAAGGGTCACCATCATTTCAATGTCCAGTTCTCTGTGGCCTGAATCATTTTGCTTGTAGACAGTCTGATTTCCAAACCAGTACCTCTGGAAATGTGTGACTTAATCATGAGGGGAAAATTTGAAAGTGTGATACTTTAATGCAAACTTATCAGTCATTCAGCTATTATTTATTATGTTTGTCGACCGTCTCTGGGGATGCAAGTCGGGTGAAGTGTGTGAACTTACATTGTTATGGGGTGGAGGGGGAGGGAGAACAGGCTATAAACAGCTAGTAACCAATCAAATCAGATAAAAATGCATGTAATTAAACAAGATAAACACAGTAAGGCGATTAAGGCATAGTGACTGACCAGGATGTGTTTGAGAGTTCGAAAGGGGGGTGCCCTGCAGGCCTCTTTGAGGAGGCGCCTTTTCAGGGGACCCCAGTGAAGAGAAAGAGCCCGTGTGACAGCAGTGCCAGCGGAGCACCGTGGGTGCAAAGGCCCCCATGCTGAGCCGGGCCGGCCCTGTCTGGTCAGAGCCAGGACCAAGGCCTGTGGGGCCGGAGCACAGGGCCCGAGCGGGACCATCGCAAGAGCAAGGGCAACTCTCTGTGTGGGGGTTTGCTAGCGCCACGTATAAGGATAGCAGGTGAGAGTGAATTCCTTTCGAGTGAAGTGAGATGAAGATAGCAAGAATCCCATTGTTTCTGTAATAGATAGGTCAGCCATCGTCTAGATGCTAAAGATACAGCAAGGAACACAAGGACAGAAACGTTTTCTTGAGATTGCACACCAGAAATCCTTAATTAGAAGGCCGTGATACTTTTGAGTCCTAGAAAATATTTGGTAGATTAATCGATACAATTAAGAAGGCAACTCTTGACTCACTGGGGTGGGGCAGGAGGTGGGGGGACGGTGGGTGGTGGCGGCTTCCAGAAGGCAAAGGTGTTTGGTAAAGATTGTAATGAGAGTGTGCATTAGTTCTCAGGTATCCTGGACAGAAAACCAGTCGAGAATCAATATGATACTCACTAGAATAAGATATTTTTAGGATCCAGGAATGTGGCACTGAACATTTTAGCAACTCAGCAAACTTGAATTAGAACTGAGAAATAATTTATATTTCAGAAATTATATTGAAACATTTGGGGAGTAATATTAACTTTCGTACATGACTGGCTTTATTTGCTCTTGTGGCAAACAGTGATTGGATTCAGATATGGTGAAGTGATTTTCTTTTGTGGATGTTGTGCTTTTGTAGTTTTCCTTGCACATTCCACTTGTTCTGCTGGCCCTTCATCAGGGAGGGTGATCTAATGGGCCTCTCATGTAGAATGGGCCTGTATTCCTGAATTTCATTTATGCCTAGGTAAGATTGTAGGGAACCGCTTTTGGAGACATGGAAGTATGGCCCAGCACCCACGTGGAAAAACAGTGGGGCGTGAGTCAGCATGCAGGACCACACCCATAAAGAAGTTCTCCCATTAGAAATCAGGCCTGCCTTATACCTAGGCTGCTTTGTGACTTGCCTTTCTGCATGTCTTTAAAGTAATTTCCTGAAGTCTGTGATAAGAGACTTCATTCTTCCAAAGATTGAAATGCAACCAGACTTGTTACTCTTGTCATTCTCTTGCATTTGCAACATTTTTCAATGGACTGAATTTAGGAGATTGGGTCTTGGCAGCCCTTGGGCACCTCCTTGTTTTAATCCTTATTTATGCTTTATGATGTATATGGAGGTTGTTTTCTCGTGATCGCATTTGAAAACAGCACATAGTGGGTTTCACAGGCCTAACAGCTACAGCTGATTTAAAAAACAAAAAAGGGGGAGATGTTGGGAGCTGCCCTGCCTGGTTTCAGGATCTGTACTCCCCCCTGTCTATGGCTAAGGCTAAGTGAGCAACCTTCAGACCATAAGCCACTAAGGAGACAAAGCTCATCTCCCTGGCAAGAGCTCTGCTTCTGCCCCTTTTACTTCATCCATAACTAGCCTCCAGTGCTTGATCAGTTAGCCAATGAATGATAAGATTCCCCAAGGGGGGAATGACCTAAGACAGGCATGATCATGTGGAGGCCCCAGGGAAGGACTTGGGGGGCTATGGAGAAAGGGTGATGCACCCTCGCCCCTCAGCTAGGACATAGCCCGAGTCCTCATTCTGTCTGTGAGAGTCTCCTAATCTCTTGGCTGCCTTACTTCCCCTGCCTGACTTAAGCCTGAAACAGTGATAGAGGGCAGTGCAGCCCTGTGCTGGAAAGGGCAGGTTCCCCAGGTGATCAGGCCTGAGAAAGAATACATAAACTCCTGTGAAACCTGATTTGCTAAGAATGCTCTCAATTAAATAGTAAAGGTCTGAGCAGGAAACGAGTTTGTTTCCCAAAGTTTTGTAGCCCTTTAGCTAACAGACCCTGACTCAGAATAAGCCTTAGTAGTTCTTTGTGTGCTATCTACTGTTTGATCCTTACTGCCTGACAATGATTAATGAGCTGTACCTGTACTCCTGTGCAAATTGAACCCAATAAAAACCTGTCAAGGCAAGGGTCAGGGTGCTGTCCTTTTGAGAGAGTGGCTAGGCTGCTCGGAGGCGCTCTCCCCTTGAGAAAGCCATGCTGTCCCTTTTCCTCCATGGGACTTGGTAGTCCCTGTGAATGTACCTTATCTCATCCACGACTTTGAGGATACCTTGGATGTCTGCGTCTTAAGATAAGCGGGTAAATTTAGTTTTTCGATTTCTTAAGACAAAAACAATGTTAACACTCAGGCGTTAGGAGGAGAGTCGGGGACACTGTCTCTGGGGTGTGTTCCCCCTTGTGGCAGAGGAACAGAGTCCTGTTTCTGTTCCCAGTGACACGAGCAGCAGTGGAAGCGAAGAGAGCTCCGACCCTTCTGACGATGAGCTGATTGGCCCCCCTCTACCCCCCGGAATGGCGGACGAGCCAGTCCATCGTGTGGAAGAAGCTATCGGTCATTTACCGCCCCCTCTCCAGGAAGAAGAGGAGGAAGATGATGATGGTGATGGTGATTCAGAAGAAGAGGAAGTAAGTATTTCAGTGGTAATTTAAGAACTCAGTGGGGTAGTTCAGAGTAGTGTAGCTAACTACCACTGTGCTAGACTGTTATTCAGGACTGAGGGCAAATTAAAAAGAAAAAGATCTGAATTTACTGCTGAAAGCCCTTGCTGAAAGTTCAATTCTAAAGGATGTACCTCAGGAATGAAGAAATAGAAGTCAAAAATAATACTTGGAGAGTGATACTTGCAGTGTGTTAAAAAATTGATTAATATTTTACTAAATCTTCATAAGCAGGGAGTGTAAATCATGGTAATGATGAATGGAATTTGTGGGATTTAAAAACCAAGTGGATCTCCAATTTTTGTGAAGAATAATGTGAAAGATGTGATAGTGGAATCAGATCATTCATTTTGAAGAATTTGTATTACTTGGACGAAGCTAGAGATATTAACTAACCTCAGATTAGTTTAAGTTGAGCATGTAATTTACAGTGTTAAGAGTAATTGCTCAAAGAATAGAAGTGAATTGTACAACCTCAAAAAGAGTAAAAGGAGAAAACACAAAGGAAACCATTGGTATACTTTGTGTATTTGACACCTGGGGGTGGGTCATTTTTTAATACCACCTTCCTCTGTGATAAGGTGTTTTGGGTAGTAATCAATAAATGACACAAGTCATGGTCAGGGGACATGGACAGCTTTGCAGCTCTGTCAGGGACCTCCCAGACGGGGCAGTCTCTGTGGACTCATATCCACCTGGCGCCATGGATCTGCCCGTCTGTGTTTGTCACGGGGGGTCAAAGAGCGCTTTTGATTTTAATTTTGAAAAAAGTGTTTGGCATGAAGTGATATGCACATATATATGTACAAACATGCATATAGGTGTATATATAGTATTAGGAAAAGAAGCACTTAAGAATAAATTTGGCATTTTCATTAAAAATCATATTTTATAATAAATCTCCAAAACTGCGGTTCTGACTGTATCTTTTTTCTTTTTAACATCATTTATACTGGCTTAAAAAAAATCTCTTTTTTTGAAATGTTTTTACTAAAATCTATTTTATAGAAAATGTCTCATTTTCTAATATATCTGATAAAAACTATTAAAGTTCTCATTTCTGAAAATCAGAGAAAATGTCTAAACAATGGCAAATATTGTCATTAAATGGTTTGTTGCTCTAGAATGTTTTTGGTGCCATCTGTTGAGTTCACATGTTGCCCTTTTGAATTCTGCCGTGTTTTGTTTTTAAGCCTGGCAGTCAAAGAGTAACAGAATGGAAGAGACTCAAATTTTGTCTTTGTTTCAATAATCAGTGTTTTGAATCTGAATCTGCTGTTGAAATGAAGAAATGTGCCGTACAACAGGGGTTGGAGGTGTGCAATTAGCCTTGAAATAAGCTTGAATGATTTCAAAGTGTTAAAAACATCCTAAAACGTGTGTAGCTGAGCATGTGTGGTGCACGTATGTAGTGTGGACTGCATAACTGGGAGTCTTCAAATTAATTTCATGTTGAATGCACTATTAAAAGGTGAAAATATGCTAACTCAAAGTTTACACGTATTATTAAAACTGCACTAATAGCAAACATAACAAAAAATAAATTTCTAAACTGAGAGTTTTACAACCGTCAGCAAATCGTGATTGTATAAAGCAGACTCATCTCTAGGTCATTTTGTTATTGTTTTTAAAAGTCGTATGGAAAGTTCATCCTCTTACTGTCTGCACAACTTTCACTGCAATGCTATCCATATGTCATTGAATGAAACTCAAACATTCCAATACATGACCAGAAAGGAGACAAAAGAGGTAGCAGGAAATCTTGGTAAATAGTGATCACAAAATAAAATGGTAGGCATGAATACAAATACATCATTGTTCACAACAGATGCAAATGAACTTGCCACTTAAAAGATAGCAATTCTCAGACTGGGTGGAGAAATTCACATGTACTCCCTGAGTGATACACCTAAAATGTATTGACACAGAAATGTTGAATGAAAAAGGAAGAGAAGAGAATATATCAGGAAAATAGTAATCCAGAGATAACCAATTAGTATTATAAAATTAATTTAAGATAAAATAAGCTTTAAGTTCATAATCTGAATTAGAAAAATGAGTAGCCTGACCTGATCGTAAAAAGAATAGTGTTTTCTCCAGGAAAATTTGGCAGTCCTTAACCTCTGTGCATTTAACACAGTATACTCAAAGCAAAAATTGGTAGTATTACAAGGAGAAATGGAGAATCTACAGTCATAAAGGGAGATTCAGAAGTTGTTAGGATCACAATTAGTACGAGTAAAGATTTGAACAGTACAAATGTATGTGCTTTATCTGTTGAACATAGACAGAACCTCTCTATCTATCATTTTCAAGTGCATGTGGGTAATCAGAAGCAACAAGAAGCATACACCTGGGTCACATAAATTTATTGTGTACTTCTTTCCCACAACAAGCTATGGACATGAGAAAGATGTACTTAACTTTGGGTAGTTCACAGATTAGGTAATATTTAGGTTGATGCATTAAATTTGAGAATGTTAACTATTTAATGTTTGTGTGCTTCCAAAATTCATTTGTTGAAGCCCTTAACACCATCCCTTCCTTGCCCCAGCCCCCACTGTGCTTGTATGTGGAGATGAGCCTCTTCAGAAGTAATTAAGGTTAAATTAGGTCATAAGGGTGGGTCCTGATACGGTAGGATTAGTGTTTTTATAAGGGGAGAGGCGCCAGAGAGCTGCTGTCTGCAAGACGAGAAGAAAGTCCTGTCACAAATCAAATTCACTGATGCCTTGATCATGGACTTCCAGCCTCCAGAACAGTGAGGAACAAATTCCCGATGTTTAAGCCACCCAGCCTGTGCATTTCGTTAGGCCTGAGACCACTACTTCAGGTCTGCAAGGCTAACAAGGGGCTGGGGAACAGAGGATGGAAGAAACAGGTGTTGCGAGCAGGAAAACGTTTGCTAAAGTGAAGGCCCGAATCCATGCAAGTGTGTGACACGGTGGTGAGATGTCGTATGATGAGCGTGTGGCTGAGTTTTCCCACTAGGGGCAAGTGGGAAGATGAGGCTGCTGAGATCACAGTCAGAGAGCAGCACCCAGAGGAAGTGGGATTTCTGGAGGGCGTGGGATTTGAATGAGCCGTGTAGAGGGTTAGTTTTGGTGCAGGTGGTGGGGGAGGGCCACATCCTGTCTGTGAAGAGCGGATGGCAGGAACAAAGGAACAGTGTGTGTAAGTACAGGGTCAAGATGATGGGAAGATTCAGGTTGTTTAGAGTAGAAAGTTGATAAACAAAAAGGCAGGCCTTTGACGTAGACTGATGTGCAGTAAACCTAAGGTGCAGCGATGCAGAGAAGCGAGCCCTCCTGGGCCTGGGGCTCAGAAACCCACTTGTCAGCTCTAGCTTTTCATGGTGTAGTGAATGACTGTCTATCAGGAGGCTGAGTGACAGCTTGCTTTTTTTTTAGAGGATTTTCTTTTCCATTTTATTTTTTAAATATATTTTATTGATTATGCCATTACAGTTGTCCCACTTCTCCCCCTTCATTCCCCTCCACCTTGCACACCCCCTCCCCCACTATTCCCCCTTTAGTTTATGACCATGTGTCTCAAGTTCTTTAGATTCTATATTTCCCATACTATTCTTGCCCTTCCCCTATTTTCTACCTACCATCTATGCTACTTATTTTCTGTACCTTCTCCCCCCTTTTCCTTCTCCCACTTCCCTGTTGCTAACCCTCCATGTGATCTTCATTTCTATGGTTCTGCTCCTGATCTAGCTGTCCTATTAGTTTGCTTTTGTTTTAGGTGTGGTTGTTAATAACCTTAAGTTTGCTGTCCTTTCACTGTTCATCTTTTTTATCTTCTTTTTCTTAGGTAAGTCTCTTTAACATTTCTTATAATAAGGGCTTGGTGATGATGAACTCCTTGAATTTGGTCTTATCTGAGAAGTACTTTATCTGTCCTTCCATTCTAAATGAAAGCTTTGCTGGATAGAGCAATATTATGTGTAGGTCTTTGCCTTTCATGACTTGGAATAGTTCTTTCCAGCCCCTTCTTCCCTGTAAGTTCTCTTCTGAGAAATCAGCTGACAGTCTAATGGGAACTCCTTTGTAGGTGACTGTCCCCTTAGCTCTTGCTGCTTCTAGGATTTTCTCCTTCATTTTAATCTTGGCTAATATAATGATGATGTGCCTTGGTGTGTTCCTCCTTGGGTCCAACTTCTTTGGGACTCTCTGAACTTCCTGGATTTCCTGGAAGTCTATTTCCTTTGCCAGATTGGGGAAGTTCTCCTTTATTATTTGTTCAAATAAGGTTTCTACTCGTGACTGTTCCTCTTCCCCTTTTGTTACCCCTATAATTCGGATGTTGGAGCGTTTAAAGATGTCCTGGAGGTTCCTAAACCTCTCCTCCTTTTTTTGAATTCTTGTTTCTTCATCCTTTTCTGTTTGGTCATTTTTTTCCTCCTTCTGTTCCACTCCCTTGATTTGAGTCCCAGTCTCCTTTCCATCACTATTGGTTTCTTGTGCATTTTCCTTCATTTCACTTAGTTTAGCCTTCATTTATTTGTTCCTCTAATTTGTGGCTAAAATCAACCAGTTCTGTGAGCATCCTGATCACCAATGTTTTGAACTGTGCATCTGAAAGTTTGGCTATTTCTTCATTGCTTAGATTTATTAGCTCTGGGGCTCTGAGTTTTTCTTGAGCCATGTTTTGATCTGTTCATGCCTGTTATGTATGAGGAGCGGAGCCTTAGATGTTCACCAGCGCAGGGCCACCCAGGTCGGTGGTTTGTGACACTGTATGTGGGGGCCGGGTCAGAGAGGGACAGTGGCTGTCCCCTCTGCTGCTTCCTGCCACTGGGGCCTGCACAGTCTGTCTCACTGCTTGCTCCTTCACCAGTTTATCTGCACGCAAATGTGTGACCGTGGCCAGCCCTCAGTGGGTCCGCCCGCTTCTCCACACCTGGGATCTGCCCACAGCTGCCTACATGCCTGAGTCATGCGCCCGGGTCGGTCCGGTGG